AAAAAAGCAAAAAAAAAACATAAATGAATAAATCAGCTACTACATGATATGTGCCTGCACACTGTCTGATGGCTGTCTGAGAAAGAGTGTCTCTTATAGTTGCAAAGAGAAGTCAAGTTGAATCAAAGCTTGTTTGAAAATTAGATTTTAATTTCATCAGCAAACCATATTGTTGCTTGTTGTCATATTTCCTGCTCATTTGTATGATGTAGAATTAAAACCACACATCATGAAACCTCAAGGCTCACCCATTTGTTCTTTTTTGTATGGTGTCAGGAAGTATTTCTCACGACTAGAATCTCTAGAAGAGAGCACAAGGTGAACAATGCTAATTCAGAGACCTTCATGTGAGGGATCACTGGTTTGAGACTAATCCTACACACAGTATATCCACAGTACTCGCACTTTTCAGTTTCCTTTTCCATCCCTAAATGTAGCTTAAGGTTAGAATGAATGGACATATTTAGATATGTACACAGGTGTATGTTCAGTACCAGTGTGTAATAATCAGCAGAAAAAGCACACTTTTATAGCATAAAATTAAATGAAATATAAGGGCTTTTCTGAAAGCCGTGCCAGTAAAAGGTAAACCCTCAATTAACTGAAAAAGCTTAATGAAGCTCATGAAATGGCCTTGGCTTTCCTCACTGCCACTACTTATTCAAGTGTGCCCTCCAGTGGAGGAAAGCGGGTCATGCTGACTAAACAGATGGCTGCGGACGGATGTGCAATACATGTTTGGTTCCGTTTCCCACCTGGATTTTGACTCCATGTTAATGTTATTTTTCATTGTCTTCGTTTGGCCACGATGATCCAAAATCAGTGAAGTGAATTTCCTTAACAGTTTGCTTAAAGAGAAAAGAAAGGTTATTGTAGATGTTGCTAATTTGAGCTCACACAACAGTCAGCAAAGAGTGAAGCAGCCTGTCAAATATTGTGGATGAAAAAAATACGCTGAGCAAATTCAGAAAATGACAACGCATATTTTTTTTCAAACGGAAATAAGCAGCCTTGGGCGTTTTCCGCTATGAAGGCTGAAAGCCTTATATCTAACAATCCGAAAACAATGAGAACAAGCACAGACTTTATTGAAGCATATGTTCATTAGTGATGCATTATAGTGTAGTTTTTGGAAAGGTCACCAAATGATTGCGGGCCTCTAATCCAAATGCTAATTCCGTAACTGATTGGAAAAGCACAGTAATGTCATGATAATGATATGCAGATGAGTTCTCATCAGAGCTGCTATCCATTAATGAGATGTGTGCGTGTCGTCCATGTGGGTGTGAGTGTGCAGTACGTACAGAGAGCGTTCCTGCACTTTCATCAGAATATTTAACACATTAATGTTCAATCAATCTGCCGCTGTACTGATGGAAAACTTGATTGAAATGGTTTATAGTCAACTGCTAACAGATGAGACAAGAGCACATGATCATATCCTCACAAATTTCCAACACTTGTGCTCACTTTTTAGAAAAGTTTTAAAACGAAAGCTTTGTTGAGTGTATTCGAAAACTCATTCTAGATTGAAGGAACCTTTAAAGTGCCCATTCCGTTGCTTTCAACAAATCTTCCTGCTAATTACACACTGATGTCAATCAGATGTGTTGAAGAAAAGAGATATCTAAAACTTGCAGGACATCAGCCTTTGCAGACTGGAGTTTTACACCTGTGATGTACATTAAATTTCAGAAAGCGATGAAGCTCATTTTCAGTATTTTAGCTTTAAGACATACAGAGATGGGCTGTTTGAAAAAAACAATACACAAAGATATTAGAAAATGCAAAGCGATGAAAACTTTTTTTCTGTGAGGGACTGCAGTTCTTTCTTCTTTCCTTCTACAAATGATCATCTGACAGCTTAAATCCAGACACTGATGAAGTCTATTTTATACATGTTATACTATTTAATCTAGATCCTATCATGAATACCCATCCAAAGTAATAAAATGTCAACAAAGATTTGTGTGCTTGTTGTTTGGTTGACAATGTCAAAGCAATAACTCAAAGCTTGTTGGAGCTGATTCATTTAGTAGGTATAAATTTGAGACTTTGAGCTGAGAAGTAAACTACTGCATCAGCTCATATCCAATTCCACAATGAGTGATGCTGCATTTCGTCAAGTTCACCGTGCAGTTCATGACGGAATTGTTTTGAGTCGATCTCTGCCTGTGAATTATGTTGTTTCATTCCAACGTAACAATTATCTACTTCATTAATTCCATCAAACCAGTAGACACTGCTCATGCTTAATGGAAGGAAACTTGGTTTGCATCACCTCAAAAGCTCGAGCATCATATGAAAAGAGAGCTAATTATAAATTCAGATTGGTTTTTCTTCTTCTACCCATCACTAAAATGAAAGACTTTTTTAACTTGCTCTCAGACCAATACCCGTTAAAAAGTGATGAAACAGAATGTAACTGCTCATCTTCACTGAGTGCAAATATTTCAACCCATTCAGCCACAGCAGTTGTGTTACTTTAAAGAACTTCACACTGACCCACAACAGTGTCCAGCAGCTCTTCTATCAACTGGAAACGTAAAGGATTCTTCCACTATAAAATACATTTTCATCATGTAGGACCTGTACATATTCAAAAGAACCAAGCAAAGCTACCATTCAGCTAATCAGTGGTTTCCATGAGCAGTTCGGAGCTTATATAGAAGAGGAAAGAGAATTTTCTCCACAAACATTCATTCTCTACTGATATTTTAAATTTAGAGGTATAGCCACTTCAAAACATCCCCCATGAAGACCAAACGTGTGGGACTCACTTTTGGAGTGCCACTAGAAGGCGATAAAGAGGGATTTATGTAAGAGGCTTGTAGGTTTAAGATATTGTATCATCCACCCATCAGAAACCTGGATTAAAAAAATTAATAATTCACAGTTAAAAGACACAATGGACTCTTTTTTCCACTCAATAATTCTGATTATATTTTAGCTTTTTGTTTCGCTTCATCATCAAATATCAAATATATTTCATGTGAAAGTTTTTTTTTTCCTGCTCTGTTGTCAAAAAGTGTTTCTTTCTACTTTGAATTTGACCTTTCAGTTGTACTGTCTGGCTAAGCTTTACATCTTATTGTCCTGCATCAATTCTATGCAAAATATTTTCTTCCTCATTCAGCTTGAGACAGCAAGTCCTGCTATCCCTTGCTAAGGACACTGAATAATACTCAGACACTGAAAGAGTTTGAAATAGAAGTTAGCATTTTTTTGCAAGTTTTAAGCAGCAAACACATTATTATTAATAGAATATAATTTTTCATTTTCATGGGGTTGTTTGCTTCGCTCATGTTCAGTCTGCGGGGTGAAAAAGGTGCTGCTAGCTCTCAGGAGGATACGTGAGTGTTGTACTGACATCTGGTGGAAATTTATTTTAGATAATACTCACACTTTACAGAATTCGAAGAAAATAGTGACAGATCATCTCACACCCATAGTTTTGTTACTTTATTTCCACCTCAGTAAAATGAACACTGCAGTACAGTATGTATTTCATCTGCCCCACAAACTGTTCTCCAGTTTTTACCATACGGTTTCATAGTCTCCATTCTTAGATTGAAAATCACCATATCCCCAAAAAATCCCTAAAATGTCCCTAAAAAAATAATAATTATATTGATCTTAAATGTTTTTTAACATGTTCATATTCAGTGAAATCAAGATATACTTAATCATACCACCATTATCACTTGAAAGCACTTTCATGATTATAGTTATCCATATCACATAAAAAAAGCTAAAGCAACAACATAATCTCTGTGTTAAACTATAAGACCTTAAAAAACATTACAGTGGTAACAGCAAAGTATTAACTGTTTACCAATTTTTTAACAATGGTACAAATGCTTTACAAGTAGGGACTGAGTGAGTTAAATTGGATGCATTTCACAAAAACACTATGATAACAATGGGAGAAATATATCAAACAAGCTTTACTAAAGACGAGAACTATAAGAAAGGATTTAAAGGTAGCTACCGGCTTGTTGTGCCTAACTTCAGTGGGAAAAGAGTTTCTCTAAGAAGCCTCACATTTACAGTTGGACGCCTTGTTACAATATGCACATAATCATGACAGAAACTCTTTTTATTCATGCCCTCAGGAGAGCAACAGCAGCAACAAAAATATTACCAAATCTTTCTTATCTTATGTTTCAGGTACCTCATATCCAAGACGTTTTGGGATGTACATATGATGAGTCAGTGTTTTACCTGAGGTAGACAGAACCCAAAAAGCTAAAAGTTTTGAGAATCAGAAGCTTTCTCAGTATATAAGTGAAACCTTAAAGCTACTCGGAAAGAGGCCGCCAGAAAAGAACATCCTCTTAAGCATCTCAATCCCTCCATTGCAGTTTGAGCACAAGCTCTTTTGTGGATTTTCTTTTTGTGTTACTTGTGCATCCAACAATTGCTCACTTTGTAACTTGACTTTCTTAACTTTATAATATCCATGCAAAAATATCCCGGTTGCAACATTGTGTTGCAGCATGGAACAGACCATGTTTTCTGCCTAATGTAGAAGTGATACAGAGTGAAAACAAAAATGTAAATATCCCTTTAATACATTAAAGTCTCCCTATAGTCAAATGCATATTCATGTATAAAAGTTATTGCTTCTTCATATGCCATCTGACAATGAGCAAGAGGCGGAATACACCCTGGACAGGTCACCAGAGACAAAAAAACTACACACAAACTCACGGTCAGTCCTGGGGGCAATCTGGAGTGTCCAGTTAATCTAACATGCCTGTTTTTGGGCCTAGAGCAGTGATGTCAAACTCCAGTCCTCTAGGGCCGCTGTCCTGCAGGTTTTAGACATTTTCCTGCTACTGCTCACCTGATTCTGATTAAATTGGATCTCCTCTAAAGGCTCTTTGATGTGAATCAGGTGTGTTGAAACAGGGAAACCCCTAAAACCTGCAGGACAGCGGCCCTGGAGGACTGGAGTTTGACACCCCTGACCCAGAGAGAACCCATGCAGGCTCAGGGAGAACATGCAAACTCCACACAGATCCACACACTGGGGATTTCGTTTCATTCCATTTTCTCTGGTGGAACCACCTCCATTAGTAGCTGGAGATGCATAGTGATAGGTCCTGTGGAGGAACAGAAGACAGTTAAAACATGAGCACTGACTTTTTTTACCAAGTTTCAAATGTAACTTCTAGATTTATTCTTTACTGAAATAAGAGTAGATTTTGGAAGAAAAAAATAACAGCTGAAAAGTTAACTTACTCATGAACTTGCGTGCCCATTTGACTTTCCAATGAACAAATGGATAGTAAAAAAGAAGTCCACTGATGATGAAGATGGTACAGTAAAGATACTCAAGTTCTGGCTTATCAATGATGGGGGCCAAGACCAGGTAGCAAGACACCAAAACCATTAGGACAGCTATGATGATCGGCACCTTAAGAGAGTCATAAAAATACAAAAAAAAGTTTTTGTGTTGATGTTAAACTACACGGCTTAAAAGCAATTTAGTCACATAACAATTGTCACCAATTCCAACTTTTACCAGTAAGTTTTATTTATAGTACTGTTGCATTGCTGTCAAGCAAAAAGGGGGATCATAATGTTTTGGATTGTTTAATCAAACATTTAAACAGATTAAGCAGATATTAGGTTCGCAAATGATAACTGTCATTTCTTGTTTAAAAAAAACACAACAAAAGGCAAAAATCTCCCATTCTCTTTCACACTTTTACAGAAAGACAAGTGAAAACTGCTCATCCAGCAGGCCTCACCTTCACAGGTCTATGGAGTTCCTTCCTGGTGAAGCGCATCACAATGAGAGCAAAGACTGTTAGACCATAGAATGCCCACTGAGCAAAGCTGAAGTAGTTAATGAGGGTGTTGATGTCTGCTGGGATAATGTAGAAAAAAGCCAAAACACCCTAAACCCAAGAGAGGATAAAAATGTCAACTTTTTTATTTGATGTCAATTTATTTATCTCTCTATCTACAGTATATGCATTCTGTCACTCAGGTGACATTGTGAGACCACATATAAAAGATACAGAAAGAACGTTTTGGTACTTTTAAAATATTTGGAACTTACATTGAAGATGAGAGCAGGAAGGGGAGTGTAGCGCTTCAAACTAATATAAGACAAGATTTTCACCATGTGACCTTCTCTGCCAGATACATAGGCCAGTCTGAGGGGAAAGAAAGACTAAATGAGTGCTGTGTCGTTGGATATTGTTGTGCCTCTGCATGCCTTTTTCTGTGTTACTTCCATTTCTCACAAGCACATAAATATGTGCATCACACAGTCTGTCTTTGGCAGTTCAAAAGGTTTCCGTTTTACCTGCCAGCAGTGAAGCAGCTTCCGTTGGCAGAGCCAAATGTTGAGAAGGCAACAAAGACTGGAACAATCCAAGACAGAGGGTAGAGGACCCTGTCTCCAAACGTCTATGAATGCACATACACATCCTTTTAGAAAAAATAGTGGTGTGCTATAGATGAGCATTTGATAACTCAAAGGTATAACATGAATATATTAACAAATCTGTGTCATACTGACTGGCTCCTTTGAGAAATATCTTTTTTATGCCCTTTAATATTTAATCTTATGCCACAGCGATTAGTTATCACAGGCTATTTTTAAAACCTAATTGCTTTTTTTCTCCAAGACAATGTTCAGCCACCCTTACCACGGCAACAGCTGGAGACAACAGCAGCTCGGTTGTGGTCATAGCGGTGAAGTAGGCAATGTTGACCAACACATAGCACACAGTAACCAAAGGGATTCCAATGATGATGGCCAGTGGCAAATTTCTAAGATGAAATAGCAGGGAAATATTAATTTCAACAAATGAGTGTACATCCCCCAGTGCCATGCAATTCTGTTGTAAGGGCTTATCAAAGAAACTATGATTGTTTCAAAGTCAAATTTAACCTGAATGGGTTTTTCAGCTCCTCAGTGACGAAATTGAGTTGATTCCTGGAAAACAATGGACAAAATAAATACATATTAAAAATATCAAATAATAAAAATGCTCCCCTGCAGGCGGAACTATTAAATTTGCCACGGTTTGGTGAAGGTTTAGCATCTGTGACTTGATCATACTAGACCCAAAAGAAAAATTAAAAAAACATCATTACACATCAAAGTAATTAGGATTCTTGTCTAAGAGTGTTTACTTGAAGAAACTAAGTGAGAATAAAGGACTACGATCAGCATGCTCATCAGCCCATCTCATCAGCTGTCATCTGCAGTGTGTGCTTGGAAAGCTTCAAGAGCATCATCCTTGAGCAACTCATCTGCTCATGATGAGTAACACTCTTTTACCACAAAGCAAAAAGCTGTTTTGGACTTGACAAGCATTGCAGCTTCAATAAAAAAATCTACATGCAAGTTTTGAGTTACAGTGTAGTGGTAAAACAAGGTCTGCTTAAAGTGAGAAACATCCCCATCAGTGAGTGTTCTCTTGTGCCTCATTGCAGACAGATGACGTGATATGTTACTCCTCTGAGCAGCATCACCTCTAAATGCCCACAGTTGTGAAAAGATACACGAGCTGAAAAACTGTGCAGTCGATGATAACAGTATTCAAATTCATTTGAAGACAATTTGATTTGAAAAAAGAAGTTGGTGTGTGGAAAACAGAGCCCTGTTGTATCAATTTCCCAGATTTATACTCATCATTTAATCATAATTTACTCCTCAAGGTTTACCATTTACAAGTGTTGCAAGTGTGTGGTAATGAAAAGAAAGAGAATAATTCGTAATGCTGGAGGTGCTGTAACCTGTTCCAATGTAAAATGTATTGCCAAAAAGTTTTTAGATTTCATTGTAGATTACATTGATCACATAAAGCAGATATTTGAAAAGCTAGGATGGTAATCCTACAGAGACTGTAAAAGTGAGGTGAAAGTTAACTATTACCATCCATCATAAGCCCAAAGCCCATTATAAAATGCGAGTCCAATGGATCCAAGAGATGGCGGCTTGCCTTCAAAGGTATTTGACAGAGTTTCGGTATTTCCTGCACACAAAATACAGCAGTAATGGGTAAACTTATTTTACTTTAAAAAGGAGGCATTTCAAGGGCTTTGATTTCAGCAGAGAACATTGGGAAGTACAAGAGTACCTAACCTTGTGCCAAAAGAGCAATGCCAGCTCCAATTATTACCACAATGATGACAAGTTTGGCTACTGTGAAGAAGTTCTGCACATAGCTTGCAAGTTTGACACTCAAACAGTTGACACCGACGATTAGGACTGAGAGGAAACAAAACATACAAAAATAAATAAATGGATAAATTAATAAATTATTACTTCTACTCAATATTCTAGATTTTCTATTCTTTTAACATAATACAAACTTCTGTATTAGCAACTTGGACTATTAGTTAACTGGTTTTCAAAGTTTTCAAGTTAATATTTTCACATTTGCACCATAACAGCTAAATTAATTGTTTACCTGTTAATCTAAAATAATCTGTCAAAACATTTTAATAATTGACTAGTACAGTAGTTTTCATGTAATTTTATTCACTAAAAACTGGCATCATGACTCTTGCACATGTGTAACTTACATAAAGCTGCTGCTGCCAGACATTTGGTAACCAAAAGAGGAGGTGTGCAGCCAGGGTAGAAAGGAGCAGAGGCGTATTCGGCAAAACTCAGCGTGATGATAGCAAAAGAGGAGGGCTTCAGCACCATGACTGTTGTCCAGGAGTAAATAAAGGCCACAAGGGAGCCAAAGGCCTCCATCAAATAGGAGTACTCTGCCCCTGATTTGGTGATCATGGTGCCCAGTTCAGCATAGCACAGGGCCCCTGTGTAGCCACACAAACAGAAACAAAGAGGAAGGATATCACATGAAGTAATGCAGAGAACTTTTATCATACAACCTCAGATAGTTCCTAAAGTTTCCAGATAGAAAGTAAAATCTTTTTTACCCTGTCCATCTTTTGCCTGTCACTTCACTCACACAGATATTCAGTGCATTAGTAACACTTTTGCTGTTACTCTCTCACTCACACTAATCAATTTTTGTGACCCATACACATTAACATTTACCACTCTGATATATAGGGTCAAAGTCCTACACTTATGTATTCTGGAACAATTTACACAGTGATAGAGAATTTGCTGAAAGCCACAGTCAAGCTCTGTTATGTGGAAAAAAGAAATAGAGATTTCACAATATTCATGAAACTATACATACATAATATGCTGATTTTCAGTGACTCAGCATTTTAGCAGCTTTCTACTTTGTGCCAGCACTTACTTGGGGTTTTCCAGCGCATATCTTTTAAATATAATTCTGTCTACTGCGACATTTTAGTCAGAATATTGTAAGTATTAAGCATGAACAAAGGCTGTAACTTTAGAAAAAGAAACAGGATTTTGAGCTTTTTCAAAATGCAGGCCTTTAGTCTGGTAATCTATATAAGCATTACATAAAGCACAGTCAGAGCCTCTAAGAATAATTCATAATTAGAATTTCTAATTTTTAACTGTGATCAAAAAATATATAATCATAAAAACTAACCCTCTTTTTTTATAATATTCATAAAGTTTATTTGCCTCTGTTAAAATAACCTTGGAGACCATGGTGACACACACACACACATGCTGCAAGTTCAGATAAAAGAAGAGTCTATAGGTTTGATGGGCTCCTACAGAGTCAGAGCTCAGTTTTTATGGACCATCCTATCCACTGCTGTCAGTTGTTTTGCAAAACACAAGGTGATTGTAGCACTCTCTTGTCTATAATAATGAAATTAATTTTCTGTTTGACTCCTTTCATCACAGAGGCAGTGGGAGCCAATCTGATTTATATAAAGAATATCAGAAAACGTATATGACAACACCTCTTTGTTGCTGATAAAAGTAATACATCACTTTAAATGCTTGTCTCACCAAGAGTGGCTAACACTCCACAGGCAGTCCAGATAATAAGGCATGGTCCCACAGCCCCTGAGTAGAGCAGAACAGACTTTGGAGAGATGAAGATGCCTGAGCCAATCATGGTCCCCACAATTAAACAAATACCACTCAGCAGACCAACCTGGGCAGAAACATGAAAAAAAATCAATTTCAGCTTTGACATATGCCAAAAACATGTATTGTCAGGTAACTGTCATCAGAAGTCATTAGGGTAATTTCACTGGCTGGTATGGTGATAAAGTCCAACTGAGTATCATTCCATAAAAAAAATTGAATTGAAAAAGAGAGTGAGGAGAGTGATTTCTGACCCATAGACCTAGAATATCTTGGATAAATAATCTGGTCAAAAACAAAAAATGTATTCCTCTGGTGGTATAAAATAAACCCTTTTAAATTTGACCAAAAAAGATAACAGAAATCGAATTAATCACACTGCTTAGCTGAAGCATAACGATCTGTGGTCATCTTCACCTAAACCTCACATCGGCAGACAAAGCTAACAATAGTTTTAAAATTATATCAGTTATATTAGGTCTTACTCTTCAGGAACCTCTGACTAACATTTTATCCTACCACATACAATATGGTTAGATCTTTTCTTTTCCTATTATGGTCTTTAGACTATATCTTTGGGACAAATGAGCATTAACATTACACCAAAATTAACTGTGCTCTTTCTGGCAAAGTAAAATCTTGCTTTTTTAAATTATTTCTATAGTTAGAAGTACAGGCTTTACAAAGTCAGCCTTTACACTCTAATTATGTTGTAAAAGAGGTACAAAGTAAAGTTTTATGAGGTCACTCTATTTTTGTTATTTGGGGTATGTTGCAAACTGAAGAGGCCATCTCGATGAAAGCATGACTGTGCCGATAAGCATGGTTCAGCAACAAGGTTGCATAGACTGGAATGTATTTCTTGCCCATTTTGATCATTGTGGATGTTTGTAAGGAACCCAAAAAGGAAAAACACATACGTTTGTTTTACAATGGGCTCTTTTCCCCCCCAGTCTTATAGATAAAAGAAAACTATTTCAGATTCATTATTTATTTTCCTGATATTATTTCCATCTCTGTTTTTCCAATGTTTTCATCACACTTTTTTGGGGAAAGTAATCTGTATCTCATGTCACATTCATGAGTGCCGGTCAGGCAGAAGGTCAGTTTGAACTTTGGCGGTCAGAGACTCTTAAATCAAAGATAACCTCCTTCCCACGGCCTGCTGTGAGAGCCTCTTATCTTTTTCAGGGTTTTTATGTAAATTACAATAAAGTGACATAAAAAAGAGGAGAGATAAGACACTGATGTAATGTTTTCATGACAGTTTATCGCAATAGTTCCAAGCATCAATATTTTTTTCATGCTTAAAATCTTATAACAATCCTTCTCTATCCTGTGAAATCCTCTCAGTCCCCCCTGAAGTTGCCTAAAGGCTCAGGGAGCTTAGAGAGCTTGGACAACACCACTGAGTGGCTGATTGCAGTTAATTTGCAGAGACACTTATTGTGGCACTGCCTGGCACTCAGCTCCAGCCCCTCTCACTAAAAAAGGTACATTTGGTGGGATTTTACGATGTGAATATCTAGCAAAACCTTTTCTCAGGGACCTAACCGGACAGAGGAGTGGATACACACTTACATCTTTATGAAGCACAGCGGCCTTTTTGGAGTTTTGGGTGTAGCCGGAAGAGCCGTTTTGCGACTCCCCCTTGTGGATGTTGTCTGTTTCCATTTCAGTCTGCTGGTTCTTTAGAAAACACAAATCAAGCATCAGTTTTGATCACTTTTACATAACAAATCTTATAGTTCCTATCATAGGTCATCATCTGGCTCATGAGTCATAATAAGGGTGTTCCCAGCATTTGGCATTAGATTTGTATCTATTTACAACATGTCTCTCATGAAACATGTCTCTCATAAAAAAGACACAGCCTGATGAAAGTCCACCCATGACCATCTATCTAACCATTGTTAAATGTTAAATCAGGCTTAGTTTTGAAACAGCAGCAAAGATTTTGACTTGTCATCCTGTCGTTAGGGCCTGTGTGTGACACAGCGACCACAGATACGTAGACAGCTGAGTCAGTCTGCAGTTACAGACCTCAGGACCACAGGACCTGTCCCAGGATGATGTTCACCTATCATGAAGCTGTCTGAATAAGTCACAGAAGAATCTTACCAAATTATTAAAAGAAATATATCTTTAGAGCAAGAAGAGAAACCATGGGCAGATTCAAGTTAAGTGTGACATGATCAGTTATGACATAATCTTGTTGTGTTAGTCTAAATTTAAGATTTAGCTTAATTATGTGAAGTTTTGGTTGGACTAACATATTTGCATGCGTTAAAATTAGGCTTTGGCTTTTGGTTTATCACAATTGTTTTTCTAGTGCCATGTTTATGGACTCTGTAAATATGAGCTTCAGCTCAGCAAGTGATGTTTTCCAATTAGCTCTCAGTGATCCCACTGAAAGGGCTGATTTCTGATGGGAAGAAACTGCCAAAAACTAAAGTCTGGTCTGGGTTGGATTTATATTTAAGATATACATTCCTTGAAAGTTATATATCTTGTGAACATAAATCAAGTTGTATTAAGGAAATATAAGGCAAAGAGTGTTTTGAGTTTTCAATTCTACCACAGCATTGAAAGATATGGAGAAGAGACAAGTTCAGATGAAGCAGGACTGTATCAAATTAGTTTATCAGCTAAACCTATAATGTCCTATTTTCTAACATCCCTCTGCAGATTTTTTAACTACCTTCATACACTTATTGTCTGTACATGTGTTTAACTTTAACTTCCACTACTGTTGTCTTGCTGTGATGCACATTACAAGTCCCATTTTGAGTTAATCAAACTAAGAAACTAGGAGAAGGACACACAACTGTCAAGAGAGAGCTCAAACAATGACTGGTCTCACAAGCAGTGATAATGTTTAACTTCACAGTGTGTTAATATATAATCAAAAAAGATTTAGACAGTTAAAGGTGGCAATGAATTTTAGAATGACTTTTTTCACATGCAGCCCGGCACAATAAAACAAGTAGAAAATGTATTGACTTACTTATGACTTGATGAACCTCAGTGACTCTCCATGAGTTTTGAACGCACTTCTTTCTCAAACCCAGGCACAATGATGTGAGTGCAAAGGATACCCAGTCAAGTTAAGTGGAGGATGGCAGGAATGTCTGACACAAATGAAATCAGGAACTCCTCAACAATAAACACACTGCCATGGTGGGAGGTTCCCAAATCCGATTGGATAATTCAGACAGCCCAGAATGAGAAGGGGGATGGATGAAGGAAAGAGTTGGAAGTCAAACAGCTGGTGAGAGCTCCAATGGGAAGTGACCAGGGTAAAAGAATTGGTGAAACAAGATTACCATTATTTTATGCCACAACACAAACATACCCCTATGGTGTTATGCAAAAGTTCATTTAGAAACACTTGGAACACATATTGCCTTGAGGACCAGAACAGAACATATGAACACTGTGAAAAAGTTGACAATAGGGTATGATAGGTATTGCCTCTATTGAGTTAATGAAAACATTTTGAGACAGTTAACTTAATTTATAACTCAGGCATTAGTCTTAAAATCATATAAGGATACTACGAAGGCTGAAACATTTCCGTTCCTCTGAGCTTGCCTAACCCGACATCCCTCACAATGCCTCTTTGATAAAGATATTTGACACCACCCCAGTTGTGTGTTTGAACACTTAAGTGTGTGTGTATGCGTGTATGTGTGTGTGTGTGTGATGCACATTCCCTTTCTGCTCTGCTTCTCTTTTTCTACTTTTTTTTCCTTTTCTTCAGACATCTTTGAAATTCAGAAAACTTCACGTGGTGAGACTATATGTGTCTCCTTTTCATGGACAGGTGTCTTCAGAAGTCATGTTTACCTTTTACCTTTTGCTGATATAAGTGTATTATTCAGAAATGACATCATAAGGAATAGTCATACTACTGGAGATGTTTGACTTAATGACCTAACATAGATACTTACCTAAATTTGAGCTCATTAGCTGCAGTTAATGTCGCACTTTCAAAGGAAAATTTCCTTCTTTTTTTTTTAAGACTTCCTGCTGGAGAATTTGAGCAACTGCTACAGACGCAGCTATAATCTGCAAACACAAGGACACACTGGGGAAAGAACTCAGTAACCCTGAGAGCAAGAACAATATGACCACGTTTCAGACACATTCAGTGGGGAGCTTAGGATCTGACTGACTGCGTTTACAGTAGTAAAATGCCGCCTTGGTAAGCCAGTTTAAGAAGAATTTACTCAGCGGGAAATTTATTTGCCGCATTGTGGGCTATCAGTTAAGCAGATTTGTAGAATGCATGACCATTCAAAGCATTTGGAACGGCTGAAGTGACCAAACCTACTTTGAATTACCTAATTTGAATTATTTGCCTGACATTAAAGTAATTTGAATATAACTGATCCCTATAAACTATAAAGGCATGGTAAGGTTATCAATTAGATTAATTTGATAAAGCTTTAAGGTTGGCTCTGGGTAGTGGGCTTTGGATATTGCTCAGATGTGGTGAGATGCCTTTTTTTTAGGGAAAAAAGCCATATGAAAAAAATAAACAAGAGCAAAACATTCTATGTAAATATGTGCTGTGGACAGTCACAGCAGCATCATAAGTGATGGCTTTCTGGCTTCACACTTGCTAAACAACTCCTTCAGATGAGGCTGAGTGACTTTAGTACAGAACATCTCATTCTGTTGATAGTACACCTAAATACCATGTATTCTGGGTTAATGTTTTCCTGGCACATTATGTTTTTTACAATTTCCATTTATTTTCACGCAATATTTTTAATACAACATCAAGACTTTTCTGAAGTGTTAAAGGTGATGTAATTTAAATTCAGTTGTTAACAAGCCCCTTGAAAAGGATGTTCAGTATTGTGCAGTGCCCCATTAAATCAGTTATGATTTGCACCAACTCGATTTTTAAAAAGTCAATTGTCGCAAAGTATAAATGGTTCTGCTCATCTACGTCTTCTCGGTTGGTCTTATTGCTTCTGTTAAAGGACCTGAATGCATTCCTTACAAAAGTTGTACACATTCCATGATGAAATAAACAAACTACCTGACTAATTAAGACACTTGGAGTCATCCATCCGGTAGGTGGCGGTAGCAACAAAAGTCACTTCACTTTACGTCACTTCCACCAAAACAAATGTCACGGGGGCGACAGTCCAAATATCGACCGTGACAAACTTTTAGAAGCATAGAACAGCGCGGAGACATTAGTTGTTTGAGGATGAACACCGCACTGAAGCACTGGAGGGAGGCGGCCACTTTAATTTTGGCGGCGGGACACAGGCTGGGGGACGGTTTACCGGGGAGGACCGCGCCGCTGGTCAGCGGCCGCGGAGGGCTCCGGCCGCCCCGCCACCGCCGCTTCGACTACGACGTCCTGATGCTCCAACGCAGCGGCAAAAGCGGATTTATGCCCAACGCTTACGTGTTCCCCGGCGGGGTGGTGGACTGCTCGGACTTTTCCAGTGACTGGCTCGAGGTGTTCAAGCCTTTCGTCGACTCGCCAAACTTTGGTTTGAGACATGTCGAGCAGCCCATTGAGAGCAGACCTCCGATATTCGCCACAGACCGCCTCAAACTGGGCTCCGCTGTACCGGGAGAGGTCGCCCTCCGGATCTGCGCCCTGAGGGAGACGTTCGAGGAGTCCGGCGTGTTGTTGGTGGTGTCCAAAAGGGAGAAAGGGTTGTTAAAAAGCTTCGAGGAAACCTGGGGGGGTCAGCATTACACAGAGGACGAGCTGAGCGGCGCCGAGCTGACCAAGTGGAGGGCTCTGGTCAACCAGAACCCCTCCAACTTTGTCCAGATGTGCAGGGAACTGGAGGTGCTGCCAAACATCTGGGCTTTACACGAGTGGGCTAATTGGCTGACGCCGATTAAAAAGTACGGAGCGACGAGGTTCGACACGGCGTTTTTCATGTGCTGCTTACAGGACATCCCGCACACCCTGCAGGATGAGAGGGAAATCGAAGGCTTTCAGGTGATTTCAGGAACCAAAGTGGGCACCTAAAAGTTTCAGAGAGGATAGAAACACTCGCAAATACGTTTGTGTGAGAGAGAGAGGTTTTGTTGTATTTTCTTGGCATTCAAAGTTAAATTAAATAGTGGTTTATTAGGGTTTGAGTTTTAAACAGTGGACAGCCTACATGGATGTCACAACCCCGTGCTTTCAATAATTTATTCAGAAACAAAAAAATAGTACAAACCAGTTAATACTTTTCTTGTAGAAAAATGCACCAACTAGAGTTAGAATTTATTTATTTTTCCATAAGGAAAAAAAAGCACACAATTACTTCATACATAGATTTACATTGTTTACTTTGTTGCTAAATATTGTGGCATTTTGATATTCAGTAACCATTTTGTTCTCATGAAAGGTCTTTTAAATGGCACGATATATTTCCAATTTTGGTTTTATTAAAGTCTAACAAAACATTCATGGTTTGTCTGGTGTTAAAGTTTTTTATTACTTTTTTGAGAAAGTTTAAGCTAAGATTAAAAAAATGCTTCTAACTCCTTAAATTCTTATGATGTAAATGTGCCAAGAAAAATACAGATATTTAAGGAAATAAAAAAAAATGTCCCTCTGCCGTCAGGCTTATAAAACGATTGTGAACTAAGTGACCCAAGAGTTTTAAGCGCTGTTCTGATGTATTTCAGTGGTCCACGCCATCAGAAATCCTGCGGAGCTACCAGGACCGGCAGCTGTGGATCGCCCCCCCACAGTTCTACGAGCTCAGCCGCATGTGTCGCTTCACCTCGCTGACGGACCTCCACAGATTCACTCACCAGCGGGCCACAGAGGGCTGCGAGCAGTTCACGCCTGTGGTCGTCTTCAAAGATGAGCAATACGTATCACTGCTGCCAGGTGCTGACTGCAGATTGGATCTCCTCTCATTCAAAACATGGAATCTAGATATGAGATGGCACCCTTTGCTGTATTGATTGCTTGAACTAATCTCAAACACTAAATGAAAATTCTTCAGTGGATGTATATTAGAGCTGATAAATATCTAATCAGATAACCGATGGATATATATAGGCACCATCACCCTTTGTGTTCTCAGTTATCGGAAAATGTTAGCCTACTCCAATGATAAACCCCTTTCTCATTAAAAGGGTGCCACCCAGTGACATCTGAACATGTATTTTTTTACAGCCTGATATATTTCAATGTTTAGAATAATTTTTAAATGGATCACCAGAGCACTTACAGAAAAAGTGAGATAAAGTAAAAAACTGGAAACTATAAAAACCTTCTAAAAAAAACGCAAGATATGACAAATCAGTTAAGATCTGATGTCATTTTCTCATTAACTCGGTTAGGCAACAGATGTAGGGGATGCACGAGATTTGTGCATCCCCTACATCAGGGGTGTCGCACACCAGTCCTTAAGGGCCTGATTGTTTTTGTATATAAAGAACAAACAAAAAGTTAAAAGGTGTTCCCAAATGTCTGTCTCAGGATCAATTTTGCAATGAAGCTAAGTTTTTTAGATAGATGAACAATTTTCCTTTATTTAATGTATTTATTTAATGTTTCGTGTTTTGTTTTGTTTTTTCCAGGTGACAAACAATATCCAAAGGACAATTCCGAGCAGACGGGGGCTGAGAAGAACCCGGACACTGATTCTGCTCTGCACCGCATATTGATTTCAGATCCCTACACCACTACACTGCAGATCACCATCACGCCCAAATACAACCACCTGCTCCCTGTTGAGGAGCCGGGTTTGTCACATGACGTGAATGGTCAACTTTGACCTTTGACCCTGTAACCTCTCACCCTCCCAGTGGAGAAGCCTTAACAGATTGTCGTGAGAACTCAATAAACAAATCATTTGTCATTATGTAGTTTCTTAGAAGTGGGTGACACCTGTTCAGATTCTAAACGGCCGGATCATTTTCTCTTATTTAAAAAAAAGACTATTTATGGAAGCTCACCAGTTATAGAACTGAGATGATCACTGGAAGGTGTCGCTATCTCCAGGTCTGTGTGCATTAAACTTTACTTATTGTTGATATTTTGGTGCTTTAATCTTTCTTAGTAAGGGGATTCTGAGATGTTGGATTGCTCTTTTATTCCATATAATTTGAAAACAACTGCTAGATTAGATTCTGCACTACAAAGAGCACCAAAATATTTAAAAATACTAAGGGAGGACTCCCACGGCTGAAAGGTGCTTTCGGTGCATTTTAACGTTTTCTTCTTTTTGGAGACTTTTTTTTTTTTTTTTTTTAAATGAACGTAAATCGATACAAACTGCCATGTGCTGAAAATAACTTTATTATTGTGTTCCCTCTCAGCAGGACATTATGTGTATGTGGTGGAGGCTCTGCAGGACTCCCACCTCCTCCCATGTATATGTCACCAAATGAATGATTGATGATAAATAATCCATACAGACTGTAGCATATGTTTGGTACTCAGAAATTCAGATTTCTCAACATTGATGTAAACTTTTCACTGACGCTGACTCAAACTGATTTTAAATCCGGTATAGAAACATACAGCGAGGCGAAGTGGGAGATTTGTGTGTATGTGCTGTGAAAATCAAATCCATTTCTTTCAAATGTCTAAAACGTCTTTGTGTCTCGGCGTTGTTGCCGTTTAGAGCCAGCTGCAGCTCTCTTAAGTGATTCTGACCTGCCTGAAACATTTTCTTCTGAAGCCATTACATGCACTGAGACGGTGCTTCTCCATCTCAGTGACATATTTCTACTCTCGGCGCGGTGAAAGATGCTGTGGTTTTGTCTTCCTGTCAGAACAGCTCTCCTCGGTTTGCACACGTCGTCTCCGGCTGGCTTCAGAGTGCCGTGCGTGTGAGTGTGTGTGTGTGTGAGTGTGTGGGATGACGGATGGCAGAAAGGGGGTGATCTGAAATAACACCGCTCAACCTTCTGTGCTGTTTGCAATCTGTTGAGGAGTTTCTATGGAAACCCAGCGTCTTCGTCCAGATGAAGTGATCCTGCAGCCTGTCTGGAAGCGCACTGTGTTCAACTCACCGGTCCACAGAATGATCAGTTGTGCAGAAATACGAGTAAAATATCCTCAGATCATTGGAGAGAAAGTCAGTTGCTTACAGCTAAGGAGATATCTTGATGGGTTGAGGCTCGTCTGCTTCAAGGTTGTGAGCATTTAACGATTCTTCATCGCCTCCATATATCAAAGCTTTTTTGTGCCTATATAAAATCTATTTATTTTATATGTTTGGATAGGCAACGGAAGTCTGTTGTGAATTTCAAGTTAAAAAGGTCCGTGACTCACTGTTTGCAGAACTTGTGAAATGACAACGAGGATAAACAAGATGCCCAAGAGCCCACTGTGACTCACAGCACCGCACACACTGACTTCTGTCAAGATACTCAGTCTTTTTGACCGTGATGGAGCATTTTCCATATTTCTTTTTATGTTTTTGGACACAATTCCAACCTTGAGAGGTGACTGAGGATAGACAACCTAAATTAAAAGCGACCTGCTGTGTTAACGTTTAACATTATAAATTAATGGTTTTAAGCTGGTCCTCGAGCATCCTTCTACAAAACTTGATTGTGAAGATACATGCAATTTTCAATAGTATTTTTAAAGCCAGTTAAACCTGTTTATGTCTGAAAAAATATCTTTTGAAGACTTGGTAAGTTGTCTCTCTGTTGACAGATTTTATAAACACCAAACCTTTACAACAAATCACACATCACATCTGCAACAAAGTTTTTCCTTTGCTCAGAACTTTAAATGGTAGTTAAAATGACCAATATATAATTTGCATTTCAGGAAAACCAGTACACATTAAATGTACTTGTTAGAATTAAGTTTGATATATACACATATATCTATATCTCAATGGCCATTTTAACATCAAACATCTAAATATGAATTGAAGATTTCCCATTTTAGTTATTAATCAAGATCCAGAAATTCTTTGTACTAATAATGATCCTTTTATATGGCGCTTGGCATGTAGACATCATTTTTTGATAGTGTGAAGTCTGGTTTAGCAAGTACATTGAAGTTGATTCTTATTACAGTTTAAGATCTAAAATGAAAAACTTTTTACCCACTATGAAATTTAACACATTGAATTAAAAAACATGTGTTACCATCAAATGATCAGAATCTACTATTTTCACACAAAGATGTATTTTAAACTGTCCACATTTGGGGAAGTGTTGACAATTTTGTTGCATAAAATATCTAAGAGACAGCTTGAAGTTGGTAGAGTGCCATTCGATCCCAAAAATAGTTCATAACTTAAATACTATCTACAATCAGACAGAATCATAATCCAATCATCTGCAATCACACAATCGCTGCAAGTCACTAGAGTTCTTTGACAAGTCTTTGTTTTCACAAAGCGTTGGCCTCTGTGTGTATCTAATGGCATCACAACAGCTGGAATGAAACTCCAGGATGGGTTCAGTCTGAGAACCAGGAATTGTCACTTCTGGTGTGGTGCCACTGTAGAGGGCTCTTTTTTTTTTTGCTGCATCAGATTGTTTCCCAAAGGAGTCGGACCTCTGCTTAGAGAAAATAGGGTGGCTGTAATTAAATTTGATCCTTTTGGGTTATTACATCCAGCCGGCAGCTAAAGCTGACCACACTTTAAACGCCCGAGGCACGATTAACAATTAGTGCGGAGCCTGCCCAGGAGCAATGAGGTGATTATTTGCATGTATTAAGTGCTCATTTGAACAGACCTTTTCTAGACTTCACATCAGAGCACCAATTCACCAAATTTGTTTGTAAAATTATGTAAACGAGAAATGGTTTGTCTTGTACATGTGCTGTACATCATAATGGGTAGAGGTGTAAGAAACCACTTTATTCTGTGGCCATTTTGTTTGCTTCTGTTACACTTTTTATGACTTATTTATCTTTGTATATCTATGGGGAACCAGGTCATAAAGCGATATATGATAAACCAGGTCATGCTACGACTCCATTTATTAGAATGCTTGAGAACATTAATCAGTTTTGTAATTCAATCTCAAGTAAATGGGTCAAACCTTTTGAGTCTGTTTTGTAGTGCACAGACCCACAAATTAATTTGGGGTAATTAAATCCTCAGCATTTGTACAAGAGGTTTGTTTGTTCACTGCAAGGGTCACGCGTGAATTTGAAAAATGGTCAGCCCAAACCAGGAGTCTTCCAACAGTTTCCAAGTGAAAAAGAAGTAGAATGGTCAGGTGTAAAATTAGCTCCTATATTGGGCCATTCACTCCTTGAACATCAAGAGGAAAAGATCCCTGTAAAAACGGAGGCCAAAGACCTAAGGAAGGATTTGGGGTAATTTCAAAAGACTTTTGTGAAGGTTGTGTGGGACCAGTCTTAGGAGACAACAAACCTCCTGTTTGTAAGCATAAACCATGTACCATATACTGTGCCTCACGAATGTAGCAAGATCTCACATTTAAGAACTTCATTTCAAACCCATACAATCAAACATCATGAAGTGGCAAGAATAGGGGTGGATGTTGAATCTCGACCTCTATCATTTGCATCACAGTCAAATTATCTTTCCAACCCTCTCTGGGCACATAATGAAGGAGGAATTCTGATAAGTTTGGTTATTCTTTTGCTGTTTGTTTCATATCTCTCTTTTAGTCCCCTTCTATGTTCATGATGGCCCAGGGAAACTGCCCCAACCCCACCTGCCCTCACCTTTGTTTCAATCCAAAAATATCTTTTAAAGACTCTTATATCTAATACTCTTAGCTAAAGCATCTGTGTCACTCTACTTTGACACTAATTTAACACTAAGGTTGTTAAGCCTGAGAGTAATCCCTTTCTTGAAATACCTCTAGGTAGATTAGATGTATTCATCTCTGACTGTGCAGTGTTTACAAACTCTGACTTTTCAATCTTTAATGATGACAGATTTTTGGGAGAGGTCAGAAAGCCTTGGGCATGTCACGATGGACGGAGACATTAAAATGCTGCGTGGTCTTTGATTTTTGCAGCACCTGCAAAGCTGTCTTCAAACTACAAGCACATTATCAAGTGTGTTTCAGCGTTTTATTATAATAAATATACCTGATTTATGTACATTATCTGGTATAGACTTTGTGTACAAACCTTCCATACACATGTTGAAATGTTTACATTCAATACTGTTTGCAAGAAAACCCTGAAAAGGTTCGAGAACAGGCGCAGAGTGATCAGGTGCAAAAGACTGTGAATGTCTCTTACTGTAGAGCCCAAAAGCTCTCTTGAAGCACATGGAGATTTGATGCAATGAAATATGATGCAGGTCGTCTACAATCTGTCCATACAGATTATTAAGATGCATTAAAACTGTGCCAGTGGGAGTGTAGAACAGTGCAGATTTGATCACATCCAACTAGCGTGGTGGTAAGAGTGGGGATTAACTGTAAACGCTCTAGCCTTTTACTAGTTTCCACAGGCCTATACCACAAACCTAATTTTCAGACTAGATGGCCCTTCTCCTTGTTTGAGCAAAACTTACTTTCCCAGATTGAAATCATGAAATTTAAAGCATCAATCTGCACAACATCAACAGGAATACTTAACTGCAGGCTACATTTATGCTTGAGCTTTTCCACTAATCCACTTGGATTACGTGTGGTTTGTATCATCCTGATGGCCAGACACTGTCACGTAATTTTCTGCCTTTTTTTTTTTTATCCTCATCCAAAAATACATGACCTATCGCCCCCTCGGAATACCTATGAGGCCGCATGTCCATTCTCTCCAGTGCATGTCCATTATCACACACACTGTCTAAACTGCTCTAGTATATCTGATCAAGTGCAACTGCTCAACTCCACCAAATACATTCACAAATCCGAGAGAGATTCATTACTTTGCATGTCAGGCTTTTTCCAACCCTCCAAGCAACCTCTCTCTCTCCCCATGGGCAGCTGAGCCGGGTGTCCGTCAGGGTAGACTGTTTTGTTTTGGGGTCAGACAGTTCAGGACATGTTGATAACCAAATATCCCAGAACCAGAGCAACAGCGAGAATGGCAAAGAACACAACTACAGCGCCAACGGACGAGGAGCCACCTTGCGTGGCGCCTCCACCTTCATCATCTTTGGGCTCCTCTTCGCAGATGGAGATGACGCCCACGGAGGAATTTCCCACGCTCATGTTGGACTTGAGCTCGGCCCCCGCCTCCTGCTTCGCCACGACGGCCCAGGGCGCCACCTGCACCTTCATCTCCATCTCCTCCATCATCTGGCTCACCTGGGTGATCTCGCTCTGCAGATCCCGGAGGTCCGCCGTGTCGATGTTGCTGTCCGCCTCGTACTTCATGTTCTGGACGCTCATGGCCCGGGCGGCCACCGTGCTGGTGCTGCCGGTCATCCCCGTCTGGATCAGGTGCCTCGTGGGCACCTTGAGGGGGAAATCCTGCGCGATCTCCAGGGACCGTTTCATGTCCACCTCCAGGAGGTCCATGCTGCTGGAGAACAGCACCCACAGGCGCTCGTACTCGGCGCGGTCGTCTTTGCTGAGGCTTTTGTCTTTGAGCAGCGTGGTCAGTTTAGTCCTGTTGGCCACCGCCAGCTCCTGGGCCTTTTTGCGGGTTTTCTTCAGCTCCTCTCGGAGGTTCTGGGAATCCGACGTGCTTCCCAGAGCGATGACCAGATGCCTGTAGCAGGCTGTGACTTTGTTCAAAGCGTCGAGCATGGTTTTGCACTCTTCTTTCCCCATGGCTTATTAAAACAGAAGCTATATCCTCGTCGGAAAGCGCGAAATAAACAAACAAAAGAAGCGTGGCGAGAAATGGCGAGCTGTCCGTGGTGCTGCTGTCACAATCCTCTATTCAGAAGAACACCAACCCGTTCCACAAATCCACTCAACTCACTGGTCAGAGAAAATTCCTGTGTGTATCCATGCTCCTTCCTGTGGTCAAGCAGACAGAGAGCGGCTTAGAAACTAATGCTTCCAAAAACCTAAATAGCATTAGGTTACCTTTGAGCTCCACCGACTGCAGATCAGACGGCCGCGGAGCTCCTCTCCTGTCTCCTGCAGGACGGAAACCAACTGATGTGAAACAATCCAGCCTCCGTTTTTTACGGGATCCAGAATCAGCTACAGGTGCTCCGACATCCGCCTCTCTGCGCGCGGAGTGCACGATGCTGATTCGCTCCAAAAGATGAAAACAGTGTTTAAAAAATAAAAAATAAACCTTCGGCTGGATGAGGATGATTTTTATTCGCGTTAAGAAGAGTGAGATGTGCAAAGTGTCCGCAGAAACGGAGCCGGACCAGCCATGGTGTTTTGGTGTGGTGCTGTTTATCTGCTTGGGGAGCTGTCCACTTCAGCACCACATCGATGATGGTTAAATACCAATAAGCGCCTTCAGTGGTCACATGTGGGCACTTTCTGGAGCCATTCAGCGGCAGGCAGGGAAACAAACCTGCTCCGCACTCATTGGTTTGATCGCAGAGGCGTCTGGTTCCAGCCCGCCCTCTCATTGGCTGCTTCATACGTAAAGTGGGCAGAGCTGCCATGTCCATCAGCAGGGGTTTACAAACAAAAATCCCTCATCTCCCTCAATGAGTTGTCATAAGAATTCCTGCATACTGTTACCCGAGGTACGATCGAAAAAGTGATCTACATCTCATGTCTGATAAGGCTTTACAAAGTTGATGGATTTGAGTTAAGGCGAGCAGAATGAGCCTGTCTGCACATATTGTGGTGTCAAATATAATGCCAAATGTTCCACACGTTGCTGTTCTGATGCTGTGCTGTTGAATTGGCTCCTGCTGGGTTGAGAGGGGAGAGACAGAAAAGGCTCTCTGGTGTTTGCCTGATTTGCTCTTTTTGCATTATTAAAGCAGATGGGGCCTAATGATCCATTGACTGCAGCATAAAGCCAGTGGAGTGTAGCGCCGTTTATGCCCAGGGAAGCTAAAAAAGGGCTCACTGCTTGCTAATATTTTTCAGTGTTAACCCCCTCATGGTAGGCATGAGTCAACTTAGATTGAGAGAACTTTAACAGATGTAATTATCTGTGAGGGCATACATCTTTAAAGCTGTCTGATGTATTTTCTTTGAAGTCTTAAAATCACATGCTCCCCAGGGCTAACTGAGTACTTTGTAGTTCACAAAATTCAGTTCATTCATTATATCTGTTTTATTCTGCTCATCAGACCATTACAAACCCAACGATACACACAGCCTGTCCCAGGAGCAATTCCTAATCACCACCAAATCTAACATGCATGATTTTGGATGATGGTATGAAATCATAGTGTTTGAAGGAATTGATGCATTTACAGGGATATCATGCTAACTTTAAAAAGGCAGATCCTAGCTAAGATTTTAACCAGAAACATTCTTGTAGTGATGTATGGTTCTAACAATCACATTAATACGAGCTCTAAACGATACAAACACAATTTAAGAAATAAGATAGAAGTTTAAATTGATGAGAACAGCAATACCTCTGACCTGTAAACAACTCCCAATTTGGGAGGCTATATCTGGTCGATCCCGACCTCATGGCCTTTACGCCTTTTACCGCTAACGGAATAAAGGCAGAAGTGTCTGTCTCACTGTTTTCCTATAATGAGATTGCTGATAAGCTGGTCCATTGGATTCAAGTGTTGACGATGAGTCAGACATGCTCTGGTCTGATTGCTCTCAGAGTGAACACATAATGGAAAACTCAATTTTTGATTTCCTGTCCACAGGCTCCATGTGGTATGCTGTTACAGAAACAAGTAACAAATCATGTCTTACAATAGCAGTAAAATCTCACTATGTGTCCATTAAGTGCTTTTTGTGACACTTTTTATTGCAAATGCCTGTAACACTGAAAATTAAATGAAGATGCCTTGACAAAAAATGCTATCGATTGACAAAAGCTAAATGAAAAGCTAAATAAGTAGCACTGATTCTCCGTTACTCCAGGATTGTCTGAGACTCTTTTGCCGTTCATGCTTTCATCAAAAATCTGACTCTTCTTGTAACTGGAGTTGTTTATATGTCAAATCAACCCGCTTACAAGTTGACAGCAGAAGGTTATCACTGCAGGTTAAGCAAGATTTCAAACCCAAGGGGTCCAGAAATGTTCCATTCAAATGTATTTGTCAGGTGCAAATGGAAGTACTGAATCACATTTGTCATTTTGCATGCAGAATGACATCAAGATTGAAAGGTTAATGGGTTATATTAAAGCAACTAATTTCGAATCACCATTGAAATTTTCTAAAATACTTTGAAGTTCAAATGTCAGGAAAAAATTCTAAGTTTTTGGTTTTCCGTTTTCAACAGTGACAGTAGTAGCTATCACACATGATTAGAACAGCCCGCATAATATCCAAAGTGATGTTGTAAAGTCTACCAAAACAGATTTTGTTGAACCTTCTTTGACCACAGAACAAGACCGTGATCTATCTCTTCTGTGGAATGAAAGGAAATGCAGTTTTAACCTTGAAAATAACATTGGTAAGAAACCATCACAGGCATATCTAAATCTCCGAAAAACATGTTGAGATTTCAGTTGAATTTGTTCATCAATAAGATTTTTGATTTATCAATGCTTGCAGGAAATATTTGATACTTTTACTTTTTGCACAGTCTGAAGTTCGTTCAACTGTGATTTTCTGGTTCTGTTTACAGCTTTGAATTCTCATAAATTCAGTTTACTTTTTGCACCAGGCCTTGGGGAGTTTATCCCATTTTCCTAGCACTTTGTTCAGTTGGATAGACTAGTGTGTACTGCCATCTTTAAGTCCATCTAACAAGGTGATTACGAGTTTATGTCCAGTCTTTGGCAAGACCAATCAATCAAGGATTTGTCCTGAAATCACATAAGTATCATCTTGGCACCCTTGGGTTATTGTTGTTCCCCTGTGACAAGTTGCCATGCTGTTTAGAATAATATTTTAAGGACCACCCACCTGTTCATTCTCACCTCAGCTCAGATTAGTCTTTGAGACTCTATTAATTATTCTATTAGAGTGGCTGTTCCCTCCTTAACAGTTTCTTCATACAGGACAAACTAATTTCCAACGAAATACATTGTCTTCCATTCCAAGTACTACATTTTCTAATTTAATACTGTCAGTATGGTTTTGACCAAGAATGAATTTGTTAAGAACTTAATCAGCTGACCCCCAGCAGGAACCATGTTAATTTGTGACTTTTAAGTGTGGTAACAAAAGTGGTTAAACATTTAGCATTTTTCCTCTGTCACCCGAATGAAGTAAGTGCTGAATACATTAAATACATTGGGCCAGTACATGTGTCGATACCAAGAGCAAAGGTCCCGTAATATGACCACCAATTAAATATTAATTGTAAGAAAAATAAGCCAACATATCCAGTTTTAACCTATAATGCCATATTTATCATATTTGACACATACGTTTTCTGAAATGGTTATGATCTGAGACTTTTTGCATCATTTGATAGTGACAAACTTTGCTCAAAACCCTGTTGTATACAATCAAAAATACCTGATAACAGGAGTCAGGAGACTATATAACAATAATCTTGACTGATCACACTAATAAATTATGAATATTCACAAAATATTTCTGATTATCTTTTCAGATTCAAATAAAGACTTCAGACAAATAATATTTTAGAAAATGTCTCTATAGTTTTTTCTTGGGGCAGGTTTAAAAGGGTTAAATGGTAAAATAAAATAAAAAGTGGAAAAGTAATTTGCTGGTGGTACAAAACAATACTAACTATAATCCAGATTAGCACTTCATGAAGGCTCTGGGATAAGCAGTGCAATGCCCACTAATGTATCTTTTAATGGAGGCTCGCTTACATGTACTTCCATCATATGGAGTCAATTTTTTTAGGCAGGAAAAGGAGCCTGCTAGCACTCATTAGACTTCATCTGAGCTATTATTCCAACAGTGAAGCCCTGATTTTTTCCCCACAGAGTGCAATAACCCTCAGAGCAAACCCATTAGAGAGCTCTTAAATGAAAAAACGTCCACATTGACAACCTTTGAAATTTACTATAGAAAGCCAATAGGAACTACACAGCATCATTTTACTTCTGCTCTAAATCTACAAACTTAATTCTTCATTCTTTCATAAAAGACATCAGGATCAGCCATCATATATCAATAAACTAATCTATTTGTGTTCTACAAAAAACATGAAGCAACTGTGCCCTCGAGACATTGTCTCCCAGAAGCACCTGAAACACCATTTGCTTCTATCCTCCAAGTTGGACATCTAGAATTAGCATTCTGAGCAGCCCTAATCTTCCACGATCACCTAAAGCTACCTTAATGTGTTGTTACTCATGCAGAGAGAAATCCCTTAAAAGCCAAAGATCACTTGGGCAAGCCTCAGATTTAGAGTTAGAAGTCCCTTGCAGCTCAATTTAATTGGTTTGGGAGCCCTGGCTTTGAAAGGAGGCTGGCAGAGGCAACCAGAGTTATGGGTTGTTAAAGGGAGCAGAAGGAAGATTCAGTCACTTAGAAATACAGAACAGGGAGAGAAGAGGGGCAGAGAAAAAAAGAATTTCTGTCTTTGTTGAATTATTGATAGACTTCATCCACTCTGTGGTCTCCTACATGGCACAGCATGAAGCAACAGGATGAACTGTGAGTCACGGCTCTGCGAAGGTCCAGGCTGTCAACTCAACTTTGACTTACACACACACACACACACAAGTTCACAGTTACAGACATTATGTTGACATACTGATTGCATTAGGTTTAGCCTCGGAATTACTTTCACCTTAACCAAAGGTTCAAGTTGAAATTGACTGATTTTTCTCAGTTGAGGCTGTTTTCTCCATCAGGAAGTACCTGCAGAACGACTGGCACAGACAAATACATACCCAGCCACACACAAAAGTTTTGCCCATTCTGCCTTTATAAGAAGCAACACTGAATCCCCCCTTAAAAGGCCTTATAGGTGTAAAACTTTTTGATTGGATTTGATTTTGATTGGAGAAAATGTGATGCAACTCTCAGGAAAGCACAGTAGGATGTGTGTGGGTAGGAGGGACATAATGAAAGGCAGAACATCAAATGAAAACCCAAATTTTTTCCCCCAAAATGCTCCACTGATCTATTAATATGAGCTATTTAAATCTGATAGTGAAGTCTGCAGAGGTGACGATCAAACCTGCAATTTTCACTTTTCAACAAAATGATTTTGGTTATTAGTTATCTTGGGGGGGATACCTGGCTAGGATTTAGATGCTATTTGACAGAGAAAGATTTTCCCATTTTCTTCCAATCTGCATGCTTAGCTGTGGTCTTAACAGCCACATTATAATGCTGTTGATCCTCTCATCTACACGTCCATCAGATGGAGAGTCAGAGGCATATTTCTTCTGAATCTTTTCGAGGTCCAGACTTTAATAAACTGGACTGTGTAAAAGCATGGACATTTTCCTTTTAAGTGGAGAGAAGTAAGCCTCTCTAATGTGCTACAGTACATGGGACGGCTTGCAAGCCAAACTGAGACGAGCCACATTGATCCATGACATCTGCTGGGTCAAGGCTTAGATTTAATCCTATCACATCATGGTGAACCATACGAGGTGAGCTTTGGGAAACCCAGGGGATGTCTAACAAATGTGAATACAAACATATATAGGTTAATAACGAAACGATAGGTTAAGATAGTTGGTACTTTCCTTGCGTGTTGAGATTTTGAATTGTCTTATGACATTAATCCTGTGTTAGCCTCCTTTCAAGCACACACTTCTCTTGTCTAACTCTAATTTATAGAGTAGCCCTGAATTAAAAACAGGATCCTCCTTAAAGCGTATAGTGTACCCATCCTGTGGGCTGTGTTTGAAGGAGGTACTTGTTTGTTCATTAGCTCCTCTCTCTGAAGCCTTAATGGGATCCATTGTACCTGTGCCTTTTTGCAGAAAATGGAAAGGCTCTGAATAGATGAAGCAACGAGTGCATTACAAATTTGTCCTTCATCAGGCTCTCTGAAGACTTTTATTACAACAACATACTTTAGGAGCTTTGTAGTGTCTTATCAATATGAGAAATATACTAATGTCTTTAAAACACCGAGCATATGGGATGTGTTGCATTTACAAGCTGCAAACAAACAGTCAAAGACTCATAGTCAGGAGCACGGTCTTTATCCTTCTCTGTCACATTTAGAAAACCCAATGGATTGCCCTCAGAAAATCCCTTCTAAAAGGCTTCTAAGTTTGATGTATCTACGTGAGGGAATGCAGTGGAGATAAGCCTGTGTGGTGTCAGACTCCATTCCATCTTGGTCAGTCACCATGTCATCGAGGATAACTCTCTCTGGTCAAGACCTCAGCTCTTTCCTTCTGGTTTGTGTGTCAGAAAATGAGAGTTTGAGTACATTAATATTCACTACGCAGTTGTAAGATAGATATTAATAGTAACCCTGGTGAAATCAGCTGGGCAGGATGTGCATTAGTAGAATTAGAGTTTTAAAAGCACCAGGACATGTAATGTTTGAATCCAGTGCCATCTGCACTCCAAATTTATTGATACAATCTATTGCCATGTATACAAACAGAGTTTCAAAGTGAGATAATTCATTGAGAAATATATTTTCCCCATCAACTATTTTACTATTGGCAATATTGGCAAGAGTTAAGCACTAAGTAGTGAGGCATGAACATTATTTGCATAGATAAAGTCAACCTTTGGTGAAAATTAGTTTTATACAAATTCCCGACACCCTTACCCTTCATTAATAATAAGCTTTTGCAGTAGATGGTTGGAGTGAAGCTTTGAGATAGGGTTGTATCAGCCAGCAAACTAGCAGAGCACATAGCATTGCTGACTGTGCCCAAAAGCACAACAGGTTCATTATTATAAACTGGAAAATATGTAAACCACCAAGAACTATGTAAGTTCCTGCAGTGCATACAGACTGAGTTATCACAAACAAATTCTTCTGATGTGGCAGGTAACCAACAAGTTATTGGGCACAGAAAATTAGCTTTCATTTTTTGTAGAGATTAGTAAACTTTGGATAGGGATACCCTCATAGGTAGCAGTCAACAAATCATGTCAACCCACGGCCAGTTTTGCAGCCAAATATTTAAAGAGCTTAGAATTAAGATCCCCGCACCACGTGAAAAGGAAAAAACTCAGTGAGACCTCACTGCATCTGTAGCAATTAAAGGTGGTGACAATCCCGTCAATTTGTGGCGATGTTTTTAAGCAACAGATGCCAGGAGCCTAATGAGTGTAGAGGGAATTATGGCGGTAGAAAAATATAAAGCAGTCCCAAATGAAAACCTTTTCCATGCTCAGGATCTCAGGCTGAGATAAAGGTTGCTATTTCCACAAGACAACGACATGAAGTACACCGCCAAGAAACACCAGGATTGGCTTATGCTAAACTCATTAAATCTCCTGAAGTAACCCAGCCAGATCTGGATCAAAGGCCCTGGGAGCATATTTGGAGGGACCTGAAAATGACATTGGAATATTGCCTAAATGTAACTCTAAATTCTAAATGTTCTCCAACATAAAATGAAGAAATGGTGGGAAGAAAATTGTGTGCCAAGCATGTAGAATCATTCCCAATAAGACTTGATGTTATCTGGGAATCTAAGTTAAAATTGATTTTGCTCTATCATTTTGGATTCGTAAAGGCAGAAAATCAGCCTGTTCTACGACGAGTCTTAACAAAGCAAACATTTCAACCTTGACAAGGTCTGAAAATCCTCCATAAAATTGTTCTTGTATGTAACTGAAACCCATTATTTCCTGTTCCATTTTAGCTTTTCTTCTACCCCTCTTTTGTGAGTTCCTCTACCCCAAAATTAAAAAAAAAAACACCATTGACAATAATATTGGTTCAGTGTTGTACTATTGAGCCACAAGCTCACCTTCATATTCTTCTTTTGCTTAGAATTTTTTCTCTCTCCATCTCTTTTATTATTTACTGAAGTTGGCCAAATCCCACATCTATTTTATTTTTACTTTCACTGAAGAAGGAACTCAGAGACACACACACACACACACACATCCATACAAATACACATTGTAGCAAACAACCACAGTGACATCACACGCTAGCTTTAAACCACTCGTCTGTTCTACTAGACTTTACTAGACTTCATTTCCCTCCTAAAGATTGCATGTCAACAAAAGGCAGAGGATGGGACTGCACCAAAATAATAATGCACACTGAAAGAAAAGTCCCCTGTGGGGGATTTTATTTTTTAAACCAGCACTTAGCATTCATTATTTAATCAGATACAGGAGTCCTGCTCACATCAAGAGTTGAAACGTAAAAAAACAACCTCCTAACAGTCTGGAATGCGTTTCCTGGTGAGTCCAGATGTTTTGGGGTACGTGTATCTGAAAGGATGAGCCTTGGGGAGGATGCAGCACTCAGGTTAAGGGCAGACACTTTGGCTGCTCCTTTCACCGTCACTCAGATGCTCATCTAACCATAATGAGAGAGAAGCAGCTCTGGAAATGGAAAGGGCTTCAGTCCCCTGATTCAGCCTTTAAGCTGCTTTAAAGGATTGCTGGGTATTTTTTCTCTCGCTCCCTCTAAAACAGACAGCTGATACTGGCTTTGGACCAGAGCAGGAGAGTGCAGGAGCCCGGGGCTTTCACTGCGCAGCTGCAGCCTGGGCAGGCACCAGCCAAGCTGCTTTGTCTTGGCTTAATAAATCTACTCCGGGGAGACACGTGATGGCGGAAAATACTGTTGAGAAGGAGTGGTTGCTCCCTACCGGGGATGTCAGGTGGGCAACTGTCCCCAGCTGACCACAATAGGGTGTGTGCAGGTCAGCCAAAATGTTTCCTAGAGTCAGAGCATGTCTCTTTCTTCAGCAATGCCTGATGTGTATCCTAAAATATCCTGCGCATCACAGACGGGACCAAAATTGAAAAACATTAAAGTTTTAGGCTTCAGCAAGGTGGCACAGAAACTGCTGCTTTTTTTTTAATCACTCGTGTGGATGTAGTGTTTCTGAAGTTCAAGGGAACAGTCATGGCATTTAAAAATTATCCAGTTTTCTTCTCCTTGTGTAAAGGAAATCCAGGTGCAGACTGATTTTCAAAGTATCTATTTAGTCTTTTCTCTAAAAAGAATATGGAAAATTGACAATTGTGGAAAAGTCTCATACAGTTTGAAACATTGGAATGTGAAAGGGGCAATCCTTTTCTGAAATTGTGAGCATGATACACCAAAAACTCTTAGGAATAAAACATATTTATGGAAAAAATTACTGCGCCTGATAAAAAGTACATTCAGAAACATATATATGGTCCCTTGACACAATTCAGCTGAGATGAATAGTTTACTGAGGGGATTTGTTTGGTATTTTAAGACACAAGTCTAATTGAATTAAATCCTTTTTTATGAAGTCTCTGTTGGCTACTCTCTGTGGAGTAAAGTCATGTACACAGAGGGCCAATCCATGCAGTGCATGTATCTATTATATACACTATTATATATTTAGTCTTCCCTTGTGACCTAAATGATTGTCTGACTCATACTGCCGTTAGAGGGGGTGTTTTGCTCTGATTGTACAGACATCATTTTATATTTTCATGTTACACGTCTTTTCATTCGTGTGATCTTTATTTGTTTGGCTTTATTTACTCGTCATCATTTATTTACAGCCACTCATATAAAACATTTCAGGGATAACGCAAAGGCCCGCGGAGAGATTCTTCAATATTTTGACCAACAGCACCAGCAAGTGGAGAACAGGTATATTTCCTTTTTTGTAAGTCAATCATGCCTGTCACCACCAGGTGTCGCTACGTAGTCAAATAAAGTTTGCCGAATGGATGCGAAAGTTGACGGACAAACCCGAAGTCAACCCCGGAAGCTTGGTCGTTACTGGTCACTGTCAGCCTGTTGTTAAAGCGATGTGTTCCGCCTTCTGATGCGCGGTTGTGTTCCCATTGAGTTTCATTTTAACCGGACATCAAATGTATCGAAAATAGCGTGCCAACGTAAGAACATTAGGACCAACAAGGTAAGTCATTCAGCTGTAACTCATTCTGTTTACGCACCCGCATACATTGCTAGCATGCTACCTGTGCTAGCTTCTCTCGGTGGCTAGCACTGAGTTAGCAAGCAAGATTTAGCAGCCAGTGTGTCTGCATGAGAAGGGGCTGGCTGGCTAGCTAGCTGGGGTCGGCTGTGCACCGTGTGCACTGGTATTCAGTTTCTGTCACGACCTTTACAGATCGGATTTTAACTGGGAGGAAAAAAACAATTAATCCTGACAGCCTGGAGTTTATTATTAATAGTTTTCCAACAACGACCATTTACAGAGTGTCGATGATATTGGAGAAAAGGTGATAATGTAAAATCTGAGAGCTGAAATCTCAGTCTTCACACTAACGATCTGATGCTGCCATTTATGTTTTACTTATCTGGCCAAAGGAATTAAAACAATAAATTGATTGCTTTCACAGTTAAATGGTCGTGTTACCGTCGTAATTTTAAAATAATAAGCAATAAAGAGGAAAAAGCTTCCATGTGTCCTGTCAACATGGACAACTTCTTCCATTCAATTCGATTAAACTGAACTGACTCAATTATGATGTGTGATGAATATCTCTGATGCCTCACCAACAGCTTCTTATAAAGCTGAATGTTTAATCAGTTTGTGCTTCTTATTCAGGATTAAACTGACAATCAAGTGCTTCTCTGTTACTGTAAACTGATCAAGTCTGTGTCTTCCTCAGGTGTTTGCCCCGCATTCATTTGTGTGCGTATGCTTCCTCCTGAATGCTGGTCCGACTGGTACACTCCAAAGCATGCTGTTGTGAAACGTAATAGGTATGTTGCCTCTCATCCTGCTGGTCCTTTTTTGCTTATTCAAAAGCTAGAAGAGCTGCATTCCTCATTGTGCTGCAGGCAATGAAAAAGGTCCACAGGGAGACTCAGTCGCAGCAGTCAGTTCATTAAGAGAGTATTTACTCTTAAATCAGATCCCATTCTTTCATTATTATTATCGCTTTAACTGTTAATTGTTATTATCATTGAAGTTGTAAGGCAACTGTGTTTTTCTTTATTCAAATCACAAGAGAGTCCATCTTCCCAGGCTGGACCAGGCTTGCCAAGCTGTTTGTTTGTGGCTGAGGCGAGTTGTGTGGGAGCAGTCAGAGTAATAGGATGGCAGCAAGAGGCAGGTTGTTGACAACGGCTGCTCCCGAAGAGGTTGTCATTAATGCTTTGAGCATCAGCCACATTTCATTGAGGCAAGAGCAAGTCAGGGTAGTCTCTGTGGAAAATATATTCATCCCGACTGGATGCAGAAAAGGTGTGATTTACCAAGCATCTCCACTAAAGAATAGCTGCATGGGCAGTTTGTGCTGGGCAGGTGGTTCATCCAATCACCATCAGATGCCTTGTTTATCTTGTTTTTTCTCATTTAAACCTGACACAATGAGAATGTCAGGTTCTGATCTTCTGTTTTTTCTCTTCTCATCAGGACAATGAAACAGCAAAAAAGCTTGAGTCATTAAACATTTCTCAGTACAATTTTGAATGATGTCCCTTTTTGGAGCTGGTGAAAAGTGAAATTGTTATTGGTGTTGACACCAAGGGGTGATCTCTATGTGAAGACTGAGAGGGAAAAAATGCTGTGCGGCTCGAATGGGGTGTAGCCAGTCAGCTGGACAGACAGCTGGTGTGACCTTAAAGTCAAATCGACACTTTACACTTTCCTCTTCTGGAAAAAAATAATTGCCTATATTTAACAGAATCAAAAAACTAAATGAGGTGCTGACTAGCTGCTGTGTGGTGGGCAGCATTTATAAACAATAAAGTTGTTCTCTCATAATCTGGGATAAATATTGTAACGGAGGTTTCAAGTTCAGTGCCAAAAAAAATCCCATATCCATGGCATCTGCTTTATGAGGATCAATTAAGCACGTTGATGCCTTCTGTGTTTGCAAGCTTCCGGCTCTACGCTGCTCTCATGGAGGATGTCTTGTACGTTGTGCTTCTTGGGTCAGCTTTACCCATGTCTCCAGGCCTAGCTCCATTTCAGAGCTGCAGTATAAGTGGTTCTCTTACAAAATCTCATTTGATTTTTTTTTTTTTTTCTTTGAATGAAAAACTGGTCCTATGTGCATTCTCAGTCCTCGCTGTTACAAATTTGTGGGCTGCATGTGGTCAGCTCCAAAGGGACCTGCTGGACCTTTGTGGACTGGCGTGGGTGGAGAAATCTACACCACACAGGCAGGCACAACCAGCGAATACTGATTTTTTTTCAAAAAGCTTTTTTGCAACATAGCCATTTGCTGATAAAAAGCAGCTCAGTCTTTGATATTCACCAGATTAAAAAAAAAAGAAAGTTTCTAGGCTATTTATTTGGACATGGATCCCAGAAAGACTTTAATGAGAACACATCATGCCCAGATATATGTTCCTGCAGGACCTAAAATGATGCCTTAGCGTGTTCTTCGTGTTGTGAGTTTGTGTCTAGAGTGTGAAATTAGTTGTAAGTAAGTTTTGGTCCCATCTGACAAATCATAGAACAGTGAAATCTCCTACAGTGGTTGACTGTTTTATGTCTTATTTAGTATATATCAAGCGCTCTTCCTTCCTGGTGGTTGCCTCTTCCTGACATCCAACACACACATGATAGGTTGGAGGAACTAAGACAACAGGAGGTGTGTTAAGAACAGGAACACCTTTAAAAACACGAATGAAACCTTGGTTCTTACCATCATCAATAAAAAGACAAACTTGCTGGCTAATTAGGCAAAAACATTTTAAATCTCCTAACTTAAGCCTGGACAGCAGAAAGTCCAGTATGAACGTCACTTATTTAATGTTTTAATGAGACATTTGTAATATTATTTTTATTTGATTGTTTTTGTTGTTACTTTAGGGTCCAGTGAAATATATTTTAAAAAATGTGAAGAATTGCAAACCAGCAGGAAAAACATATCGAAGAGTTTATTAAAAGACAGTATAAATAAGCGTTCATTCATTCTGATAAATGTTCATCTATTTTAAAGCTTACCCAGGGATGGTTTGGGTCAGGCCTTTGGAAGTCCAGGTCACACTCTGGGGTTTTATTTCTGCAGCATATGTTTGGGTAAACCATTTTAAGTCACTAGGCAATGTTTTCCATGACAACATACAGAACTGTGTCACCATCTGCTATAAGCTCATCAGCAACTAGATTTAAGTGCGGCTTTTGGAAAACATGCAATATTTCATAAAAGATCATGACCTAAAGCCAGATGTTAGACAGACAGCACAGAGCAGATGCGTTTGGATGTCTTTTTACCCCAAATGTAACTGACTCTTTGACTATCAGGCCGACATGGGTAACCCTCTGAGGCAGCCAGGCAGTATACAGCCCCTGCAGTCTGTGGAGCAAAGTCACATTTTAACAGAGAGCGAGTTGCCTGTTCTCAGCTGTCAGGAAGACACCTGATGAGTTTTGAGATGTCAGCACTATAGGTGAGAAAGCTCCCCAACACTTACACAAGCACCCACTGTCAGGTTTTTTCTGGATGCAAGCACAAACAACATTTGGACATTTTGGTCAGCTAGAAACTGACAGCTTAGCTCTCGCTTTGCCCCTCGTTCTGGAAATGTCAAATTTGATTGAATTAGCTGAGAAGAAGAAGTGATCATCATCTTCAGAGTATCTGAGTCACCACTCCAGAACTCGCTGAGAATCGCCACCCCTTGGATCAGCTCATCTTTAACTATTCTCAAAGTCAATATTTGTACCTCTGGAATGGGGTTAGTTTTTTAAATGGCATCTTGGCAGCTACACAAGACTGGAGAGGTTTGTGATGCCCCGTTTGAATAGGACAATGGTACAGTTCATATCCTAGCATCATTTTATTACTTTGTCATTATGTGTGCTGTTTCCAACAGCTGTTCCCTACCTGAGAATGTGAAAGATGGTCCCAAAATGAGGGCCATCTTAATGAGCTCTAGAGCTAAACAATAATTCAACCGTAATTGTTTTACAAGTTACATTAGAGCTCCGTCTGTCCTGTTGTGGCTATTTGAATAAAACACTGAGGGTTTTGCTTGTACTGTAATACGAAATCAAAGCAAGAGGTCATCACTCTTTCGGTTAATGTCTGACGTCTTGGTGAAGTGGGGCTGTTTTTACAGCTAAGAATCCCCAAATACCTTTCCCTATTGGCTTACGCCGTCTCTGAATAACAATGGCACCTGCTTTCATCCGATAACTGGGTCTAAAGATTATTATTAGCTTGTATGTACCGCAGCTGCAGGATCAGTTTCCCAAAGGGATCAGGGCACCCATTGATCTGTCATGAAGCTGCCGTCTTTGTCTCTCCATTTGCTCTTAAATGTTCCATCGTGACCTTGACACAGTGAAGAAAAAGAAAAGACAAAAGCTCCAGTGACTCATGTCATGCTGAGGCAAAGCATGAGTCAAAGCTCTGAGCTTATAAAGTGGAGTACAAGACTGAGGGTTGTTGATCAATTTAAACAGCGGTAGCTGTGATGTTAGTTCCAGGAGAGTTTTGGCTTCCTTTGATTGTTTAACGCAGCACCAAGATTCTCTAATTCAGGTGTGACTCTTTTCTTACAAAGGAAGATTGTTGCAATGTACTGTAAACTGTGTTGTGGCATTGAATCTCCTTCCTTCCACTCTCTAGTCACTCTTGTAGTTTCTTCTCCATAATTTGCCTGTGAATAACATGTGGAAAGGCTGTGAAGTCATGGAAATAGCCACTGAATGGCGATTGTCAAAATTTTTTGTTGTACTTTTCTGCAAATATGGCAACCTGAGTGTGGCCTTGCTGAAATCATTGTGAATCTCCCCAGGGCAGGATGCAGTCTTCAAACCACCGACTACGCGATATGGAGCAGCACCACCCGCTGCTGTCGGCTACAGCTGACGTGGAGACCGGGAGCCTTGCAGCTGGCGTGATGGTTGGCGGCCCCCACTCGGGCCACACATCTGCCAACCGTACACTGTGGTTCATCCAGGACAGCTGTGGCATGGTGTGCGCGACCATGACCTGGTTCCTTGTTCTCTACGCTGACTTTGTGGTGAACTTTGTGATGCTGCTGCCCGCCAAGAGCTTCTGGTACTCGGTCCTGAACGGGGCCACCTTCAACTCGCTAGCTGTCCTCGCACTGGCCTCGCACCTGCGCACTATGTTGACAGACCCGGTAAGTAGGTTAAACACACTCACAACACCTCAGTAGAGTTTTTAGGTAGGAAAAAATAAACTTTGTGGTCTGCTTTTGGAGGTAAATATGCGTTAGTGTCATTAGTCTCAAGATTGGAGCAGAGGAGTCTCACTCTAATAGACCGTCGGCTACAACGTAAAGAGAAAGCAGTGCCTCAGTGACTGAAGGGTGCTGAGCCAGAGGGTTTGAAAAATTTGCAGAGCAGCCGATTAAAAATAAGTATGGATAACCGTTTAGCTCAATAAGTGCACGCAGTGTTTCACCCCAGCAGAAATGTACACGCAAGCAAACAAATAAAATAGCAGGTGATGATCATACGTAGTTATCTAAGAATCTATATCTAATGTAGTCAATGCAAAATATCAAAATACTACATCTATTTCTTTCTGATGTGGAACTCTTAAGGGATTTCCAAATAATAAGGTATTTCTCAGTGAGATGTCATTTCTCTGTTTTGCTTTGTAGGTTGTAAGTGGGCTAAATTTAGTCAATTTATGCTTCAGCAGGTCTCAGGCCAAACTGTTAGTGCTGCTGTTACAACTAGGCAGAGTCTTACTTTGACAAACTGGATGGCTGATGACAGCTCTGCGTTCCTGCTGTATAGAGCAGCCCTGGGGGACTGCTGCTTTCTAACCTCCCACCATGATAACCGAAAGTGTCTCTTCATTTTAAGGAGTGTAGTGTTATATCACAAAAATGTTTGCAGTATTATTGGATGTGAAAATGAATTACTGTCTTGTCTTTACTTCAGATTGAAAACGGTTGATATTGGGGGAAAAAAGCAGGATACCATGTCAATTTTTCCGTGTTGCACAGCCTACTTTTTATTTACATTACCTGAGACAGCACAAACTAAACACGACTGTATGGATATCTGAACCTTTTAATACATTTCAGTCCTGGAAATTTCAAGAACAAAAAATTATGTTAAAAAATCATATATCTATTTAGTTGTTGTTGTTATTGTTTTGTTTGTTAGTTTTATTGTATATCTGTCGTGTTTTGTATAACCTTTGTGTTTGATAGCTATTCTTTCCTGCACTTCCTTGTTTTTAGGGTGCTGTGCCTAAGGGCAATGCAACAAAGGAGTACATGGAGAGCTTACAACTGAAACCTGGTGAGGTCATCTACAAGTGCCCAAAGTGCTGTAGCATCAAGCCTGAGAGGGCACACCACTGCAGGTCAGTCTTTCTCACGTCGTACCCGAGCAGCAGCAGCAGTTCCATCCTTCTCTCTGCTCCCTCAATTCAAGACAGATCTGAGTTTGGCGGCTGTAGCCTACAGACACAGAATACACTAACACGGTTACTGTTATTTTGTTCCTTTTGAACAATTGTATCAGTTCTAAGCAAATTCAGACCAAAATCAGCACAATTAGACAATTTATTGAGGAATAAAATGTCGACGAGCACAGATAAACTTTACACCCAAAACACTTAAAGATAATTTTTAAGTTGGTAAGGGGATGCAGTTATACACACAAAGCGCTTACTATCATGAAAATATGAGGCTGAAGTTCATGTCAGGGTTAGTGTTTGATCTTCAGGCCCCAACACTGAGCAAAACACTTTTTTCCTGCAGTTCCAATTTCAGAGAAATTTATGCCCACAGACAGATGATGTACCGCAAACAACCAGTAACACACTGGAGCGATAAAATTATTTTAGAATAAGTGTTTAATATCAAACTATAGTGAAACGATTGGGATTAAATCCCCTCTCAAATACAACACATGGACTTTTCTCCACTGCATGTTGGTACTTCATATGTGTTGGGGTTATCCTCTTTTCTTCGCTCAGCACGGCTTTTAGGATCAAATCAATACCTCAAATTAGCTAAACTCATCCTGATAGCCATTTCCTCCATAGCAAAAGCTGAGATAAGACAGCTGATTGCCGCATTGTGACATTGTTTTCTAAGGGGACGGAATCACCCGATGGAGGTTGAAGACTTGTATAATACCTACATTTCCCCTTTTTTTATTTTGTACAACAGACATCATAAATCTGCCTAAATTTGGATTTTGAATTATAAGTGATAAGAAGCAAAACCTTCATGCAGTTCCTGTGTTAGATTCAGAACAGGATTGGGAAACTCTATTCTTTTTACAGCATTCAAATGTACTTTGGAAGCAATGTGAAGGCACATATTGAACTGTATGACGTGTTTTTTAGCCTTCACTTTGACGTGCATTAACACGGCTGTCCTGCTTGCAGTATTTGTAAAAGATGCATCAAAAAGATGGATCATCACTGTCCCTGGGTCAATAACTGTGTGGGAGAAAAGAATCAGAGATTCTTTGTTCTCTTTACTGTAAGTACACCCAAGGTTGTCATGAATTGATGTTTTCCTCAGTTTATTGAGTGGGTGTGTGCACCTTTTCTAATGGTCGTTTAAAAAAAAAACATGTGTAGATGAGAATTATTTCATTTTATTATATAATAGTATATATTATATAATTGTATGTTATAATTGTAACTTAATGATGATACAGTATGTACTTTCCTACCAAAATATTCTGGTATGGGTCATCTTTACCAGTTGAGGTTTGCTGCTCAGCTCAGTGGGGGTGTAGTAGCAGGGCACTCAAAGCCATCCCTGACTCCATCAGCACTTTTTTATGGCTTTATATGCTGACTGGTGTTTTCTTAAAGACAGAAAATTGAAACTGTCATATATGGCTGAGCAGTACAAGGTCTCCCTCACTCTTAAGATGTTTAAGTTGCTCCTTTTTTTTTTCCTCCGACTTGCAAAAGATGAAGAAGTAAAATAGAAAAGTGGGTGTCCCTTAAGGCACTTTAATTATTTAAAGTTAAGATTGTTTCATAGGTGTTCAGAATATTGACAGTGCACTGGCATATTTTCCCTATGTCTGATCATTGGCTTCCATTTTTTTCTCTCCACAGATGTACATAGCCTTGATTTCTGCCCATGCCCTTGGCCTCAGTGGCATGCACTTCTTTACATGTATTAAAGTCCAGTGGAATGGTAAGACTTCTCAAACTTTACTGATGCAGAAGCTTGAATTAAAAACACAGGTTGTAGATTATGTCAGAAATTAAGAACAACGCTGAAAGAAATTGACGGTGCTTTCACTGTCAGGGCCTAAACCGTTGAGAAGAACCAGAAAAGGAAGAAAGGCCTTTAGAAGTGAGACCTTATCCGTAACCTGGGCCCTCAGAGAGTGCTGCTTTTTCATTAAGATGAAAAATAAATTAATAACACAGTGAATGATGTGGCTCCCTACATTTATAAGACTCCATTACATCATGTTTCAATAGGCTCTATGTTGATCTTTGTGGCACCTTATATCGTTTTGAAACTCTAAAACAAATCTGAAATATTTCATATCTTTTTTTCAACATTAATTTATTTAGTAGTTTTCTATGACCTTGCTCAGTGGAGACTAACTCTAAATTGCTCCCTGTCTGTGTTCAGAGTGTAGTACCTTCTCTCCTGGAGTGTCTGTCCTGCTGCTGATCTTCCTCTGTCTGGAAGCCATCCTCTTCCTCACTTTCACAGCTGTAATGTTTGGCACCCAGATCCATTCCATCTGCAACGACGAGACGGTCAGTGTCCACTGCGGCCCACAGGCTTTGTATGTGGTGACTGTAATATGCAAGTCTTTGTCTTCATGAGTAAGATTTAACTGTCCCGCCTCCTATGAACGTCTTGCAGGAGATTGAACGTCTTAAAAATGAAAAACCGACATGGGAGCGTCATGTGAGGTGGGACGGAATGAAGGCTGTCTTCGGGGGTCCACCGTCTCTGCTGTGGTGCAATCCGTTCACCGGCCTGCGTCTGCGCCGCCTGCTGGTGTTGAGCCACGCTCGGCGCGGCGGCTCTGAGTTTTCTGTCTGACAGACGCGACGGGCCGAGGCAGATGGACTACGCTGGCTGCGTCTCAGGCTAAGTGTCTTCTTTTGCCCCTCTTCAGCTGGAGCCGACACGGACCTCCTCTACCTGAGGCTGTGCTTGTAGAGTGGGTGTCATGGACTCAGGCTGCCACAGTGGGACCCCAGAGCATCACCACAAACACTGACAGTTTGTATTCTCACTAGCAGACATACAGCCAACATCTGTGGTGTTGTTTTACAGGAGTATCCTCAGCAACTGGAATGATTTTTCATTACATGAGCAGAGTTTTGGGTTGACTGTGTGTGGTTTTTTTTGGTGTTTTTTTGGTAAAGCATGTCGAACACTGTTCATCCAACCTGAACAACGCAGGCTGTGATTTTTTTTTATTTATTTGCTGCACACATGAGATTCAAAAGCAGTATTGGGATTTTTTTTCTTTTTTTCTTTGATGTGGAGGAGGAGGGATCAGAAACATATCTATTAGCATCCCTGGAAACAGATGAGGAACTAAGCGGGGAAATGCTTGAGACCTCGACGAGGCAATCGCAGTCATGGACATGCAGTACTTAAAAAGTACTCAAGAAGAGCCCAGATATGGAGCGTAGTGGACATCACAAATAGAACTGAGCTGCCTTCATTTGCATGTACAACAGCCCAATCAGTCCGCAGCTCAGCTTGGAAATGAGGCTTTCATCATCTTCAATCTATTGAGCAGGCTACTGTGAACAAAAGCCTTATTCTTATTCATGAGGACTGAGTGGATTCTCCTTTGTGTTCATCCCCTTTATTGTGTGCTTCTTTTCCCCTTCTATGAACTGAAATAGTTGATTTTTGGATGATGGTCATCCAAAAATCAGCTATGTACGCCTATCACAAAGACCACTCCTCATAAGGTGACTATGATAACCCTGTGGAGATGATTAGTATATTTGGATTTATTTTCTTTAAAAGATTTGTGTTAAGAAATCTGGCATATCACAACTCCACCATGCTGCTTTCCACTCCGACGTTTTTAAAATGACAGACCACTGAGATTCGTCCCGTTTTTCTCTACAGTCATTATCATCCTCCATGTATGTTTCCTCTTACAGGTTTTTTTCTCCATGCCAAAAAACTCACGTTGTCATCATGTAAAGAGGGATTCTATTTACAAGAATATTTGACTATAGCATTAAACCCTGACAAGCAGTCTGAGACCTGGTTGCTTTGCATGCTCCTTGGTAACCATGTGGTGGCAAATTTTTTAATAGAAAGTCTTGGAAACACTAACACAATGTTCTTTTTTTTTCTGGCTGTGAGCTCATTCTGATCCACAGAACCAAGGTCCTATGTGAAGTCAGTCTGTAAAAAGGCAGTTAGCTGGCTAATTATATGAGCTTTAATACAGAACAAAGTCCGAAGAGCTCAACAGATGCTTGTGACGTCTTTTCTTTCATTCACACAACTTTCAGGTCCTTTACATCTGCTGGCAGGGCAGGGGTGGACACTTTCCTTATCTTATTTGAGCACTTATCCGAGCCGTTGGAATCCTGCACTCAAATGAATCGGCTTGAGAAAGATTGTGACTTTTGCCACATTTCTGGCCATGCCCATCCTAATGTTATGTTCTTTGAGTAATGGGCTTGTTTGAAATTATTAAATGTGACTTTTTTTCTATCTAAAGTTGGCAATTACAATAGTCAAATCTAGACTCCAGTCTCATCTCTCAGTATAAAGCTGTTTGTTCTTATTTGTGTCTGTTAGGCGATTAAACCATCTATTGTTTACACTAAATTATGATATCTGATGTTCCAAGGTTCTGGTGTTTTTAAGAAACATGCTGTCATTAGAATGTAAAGCCTATCTCTCTGAGGACTATGGGTCAGAGCGTTGAGGACCATCCTACATCAGGAGATTTTATAAATGCTGGTTACTGTGCTGGACTGCATCTCTGCTGCTTTTAAGTGTCATACTTTGCTTTTTTTTAGTGGGTTAATTACTCCAACGTGCTCAATAAAAATGAGTCGCATCAGATATGAACTTAAGTCGCATTCCTGTGCATCGCTGAGGAAGAGAGTGTTTAAAACTTGTCAGAAAACAAAGAGAAAATCCATGCTGTACAAGATGTCCTTTGAATATAAGCCAACATCCAGAGGACTTGGGTTAACAAGTCTACTTTAGTTGTTTTTGTATTAAGTAGGGAGAAAAAGCTTTTCATTACAGATGGGCAAACATTGCTGTGTTGACCGGATATGGATGTTAGACGTTGACTGGTGTAATATGGAGAAGCTTGTTTGGTGTTTTTGAAAATAGGATAGTCCTGTTCCATGACAGCACCTGGTCTTTAACTAAGATTCTGTTACAGGGTGTGCCGTCCTACAATCAAGCTCTGTAGATAAATCCACACGATGATTTTTAAAGAGGCGGCTGTATTTTTCATCTTTGTACAAAATTACTTCAAAAGATTCAGTCACCTTTATGAGATGATTGTTGGACATTATGATACAACACTATGATGTTGAAGCTTTTTCTCACACTCTCTTACAGTCAAAGGGGCAGAATGTCTTTGAAGAGCAAGCTTTGGTGATGTATACTACATATAGGTGGATTTTCAACAGATTTATCATTAATAAAAACTCAAAAGCTTGAGAAAGATATGGTTTCCTAATTTCCAGAGAGAATGTCCCTGAGCTTTATAAACAAAAATATAAAGGCTACATAAATAACATATTAATGGAATGTTTTCATTTTTTTCTTTTAATTGTGTCAAATCTTATAATTGTCTAATGTCATTCTTTTACATAATAAACTTGAATAAATTAAATGTGCACATTGTGACTGGTTTTATTGTGCCTTTTGACATGAGTGTTTCTGTTTCTCAAACTAACTTTCGCAGAGAATAAAAGTGGGGCACTGTTATTGAAGTAACGTAAAGAAAGAGAAAATAAGTTATTGTGATATGTGTGCCCAATGACCATTAAGATTAAAAAAATATTCCTCAGTACCTAAGATGACTTCTTTTAATAATGCTTATTTATAACAATATTGAAATCTCTTTAGAAATCTCTGAGTAATATTTAATTTTTCAATCTAGAAATTAAAACACATAATTGTGTATTGGAAGAGTAGAAATAAACTTTCATCAGAAGTTATTTTATTTAAAAAAGTGAAAAATGCAGTTATTATGTTTAGTTATACATACAATTAACACCTGTCTACGAGATTAATAGATTTTGGGATCAGTTTAAATAACCATTTGAGACAACTGTAAAAAGAAAAATCCGTGTACATTATTTGCCCCGGGAAAATGCTTTATATCATCCTGCCTTGAGTGTGTGTGCGTCCAAAGTTGAAACGAGTTACTTTCATTGTTGGGACGACAGTCGGCAGCAGTTCACGTCCCTCTCCGGAGAGGCGCTATCGCGTACAAAAGCAACTTGATACACGCAAATATGACCAATAGAGGAAGACGGCTGAGGAAAATGGCGGCGCCAAACAATCTAAACAACGACCAAACAAACTATGAACATGTAGTCAACCGTTGGCTGGTCGATTATTATTCTTTTCTGGCGGTGAAGTTCTTTAAAAATGAGCAATATGAGGACTTTTGCAATGTGAGAAATATACTTGACAGTAAGTAACTGCTCTATTTAGTCTTTGCTACTTGCCCGCGAATTCAGGGGAGACCTAGCTAGCTCTTTAGCGCTGTCAGATAAACGTCAACCTCACCAAACTAATTGTTTGCTGAGCTAAGGTTTTTATTTTTCTATTGGGCATGGTTAATTTGTGCATACGTAAAAAAGGCTCAGACTAATGGAAATGCAAACATAAGATGTATAACTTTGTTGGTAACAACATTGTAGTTGTTTGCGTAGTGTGGAACTGCACCAGAGCTTTTGCCTTGCTAATCACATCATGCATAATAAAATGTTTGCCTTTGTTTAAAAACAGGTGACTTTCACAAACTAATAAATGAGAAACTAGATTACTACTTAGGGCTCTGAACGATTAGGCTGAACCCATTACTCGAATATCATATGATTAAGTTCTTTGGATATCGCGTTGGATAAAAGCGTCTGGTAAATGCATAAACATATTTGATAATGTTTCCTCAGGTGTTTTGGCCCGTCCTATGGAGTCCACTGATGATATGTCTATAAAGATAAGAATATTGCAGTTTCTCTCGCGTTTGAACGAGGGCGAAAAACTGGGTGAGATAAAAAGATCTGTTACAATAGTCATAACATTGTTTTTAATTAAGCCACATTTGTTTGTATGTCACTGTTACATTATGTTTGGACTTAGTGAGATATATCTTTTAATGAGAAATAAATAGTTGCCTTCAGGTCACAATCAGAGCAAACCCTGGTCTACTAGAAATCAGGGAATAATCATTGGCTTTCTCAATTTTTCTATCATCAGTCCTAATTAACTTTAAATAGTAAAGTAGTTAAGTTACTGTCCTTCATGCTGTTACTGTGTTCCTGCAGACCTGCTCTTTGATTCAGACCAGTCATTATCTCCTCTGGAATCGGCCTTACTGTTGCTGGAAGACATGCAGGTGGAGTTCAGAATTACAGTACCGGATTTTGAGAGTGTATGCACTTCACTTAAAGAGATGGTAAGTGCTTTTGTCAGCCACTTCATTGCTGTCCTGGATCATACAAAAGCATGAAAAACGTCTTAATATTTTATTGTAATTTTTTTAAACTGTCCATGTTTAATCATAATGATCTTAATGTCTGGCATAACAATTTCCACCTTCCCTGTGTTGTTTTTATTTATGATTAGTTTGATATGGACATTTTAGATTAAACTTCCACAATTTGCAAGTAATTGTGTTTTTACCCGAGATGGATGTGGCCTTTTTTAAGTTAATTTATAATTAGTTGAAATACAGCCAAAATGAGTGATTTAAAGAAAGATTTCCCATTTCAGCCCCTAGAGAGGAAAGAATGGTCAGTAGTATCTATGTTTAAAGACTTTTTACATTTATTTTGATTATTATAAAGCAGTCACTCTAATGAAAAGAAATGACAAAGAACTGATTCCAGACTCCTTTCCCCCCACTAGTACTTCTGGTAAGGCATAACTGAGGACTTCAGAACAAAATTTAAAGCATCTTTGAATGGGTGTCATTCATATGTTTCTTGGTTTATCTGCGTATCTGAATCATTCTTTAATAATTGGTAAATGTTTTTTGTATTATTTCAAATTGGCACTATCCCAAAGGAAAAAAAAATGACTTGGTTAAACAGATGACTTCTCTCTTTCTTTTTAGATTGTGGCAACTTACATCAGGAAGAATGAATTTGAGAAGGCCAGGGAGCAGCTAAACAAACATTTTCCCAAAGCAGCAGGTGGAAAGGTAAGTCATCCTAAAGCATGAACCTATATTCAAGCTGACCATGACAAAACAGAAATCAGTCTGAAGCGATCAAGATGATGATCGGTGCTTCTCCAGTAATGCAGAACGGCTGACATGCTGCTGGTTAGGTGGTAATGAAGCTGCCATGTAATAGCTGTGTGGTGCTGAGTTTCAGCAGAAAGTGAAGAATGTTTGAATCTGTACACACAGAATGACACTTCCAAACAGCAGTGGTGCTTTCAGTTCCTCCTTTAAAAAAAAGGCGCCTCCACATGGGAGAGCAACGGCAGCCCAAACCCAAAAGATCTTTCCTATTATCTGTTGTTGACTTTTACGGAGCATTCACTGTCAGCTATCGAACATAAACAGAAGTGGGCTCTGACCACTGAGTTTGCAAGTTTATTATTAAGATGTAAACATGTTTAAAGATTTACTTCATTATCTATTTTTTGGCATGTCTTGGGACCCAAATTACTGATTTCCTCTTGTGTGTGTGTTCTGTGCAGAGAGCTGTTTTTATGGGCCTCATTTGTCACAAGAATGAAACGCATGAGGTTCTCAAGGAAATGAACTTTCAGAAGTTCAAGGCGGAGATGCTGGTTTTCTGTCAGAGGCTCTGCACGTTTGGCATTCCCTTTCTCCACAAGGTACGCAAGATAAAGAATCTCCTGTGAACAATACTGTTTAAATTAATAGATGATCTGATTAGAATTTTAACCTTAGGTGTCTGTGTCTGGAGTTATTACTGTAACTGTCAAAGTTTATTCAAAATAAAAGGCCAAATACAAGCAGAGAGCAGGGAATGTGTGCTTTTACTCGATGTGTGCTGTATAGTATATATTATGCTGATGTCGGACAGTAACACTAAAACTGCAGCTATGGTGGAAGTCGAGGGAGGTAAAGAGGGGGAAATGAGAGCAAGTAAGAGATTGGTGTTTTTTCAGAAGTGGATTGTGGTATTTGTATATCTGTGTGTGTGTGTGTGTGTGTGTGTGTGTGTGTGTGTGTGTGTGTGTGCGTGCTCATACGCACTTTTCACCTTGTCTCCTTTCCATGTCTGCTGTGTAACAGGCTGCAAAGACACTTGTGGAAAAAAGACTTGCGGAGGAAGGCGACAAAACAGCTGAAATCGATGAGGCAGGTGAACCCGTTTCATCCTGCCCTCCACAAATTGTCATGGTCCAGTTTCAGCCATGGTACGCTCTCTCTCCCCCCTCTGATTATTTAATTTCATTTGTGATTTCATCCGACTGTGAGCAGCAGAATAAAACTGAAAAAACTAAAAGTTTGAATATGTTTAAACTATTATTATATGTTGTATGTATGTTTGTATTTATATTGCTTTTTTTTGGCTACAGACAGCAATGGTTATTTACAGGTTAAATATATTTTTCCTGTTTTGATCTCACCTTTCAGTAAGCACTCGATTATCCAGAGGGCCAGACTAGAGAGAGCCTATCAGGCTTTGGCTGGAGGTTTAGACAAGAAGACATTCGCTCAGTTGGAGCAAGAACTGGAGACTGAGAGGCAGGGAAAAGGTGACCTTTGCCTGGGACAATCATCCAATGGTAACGAGGGTGCCAATCTGAAGATGGATCAGGAAATGTTGTTTCAGAGAGACGCGGGCAGCCCCATGGAGGCTTCCCCAGCTGACCAGCTACCACTAACGGAGGCTGGATTACAGACGCAGGCAGGTTCACTGTCAAAGACACTTTACACTGTGGCACGACTGGTAATGGAGCCAGACAGCCAGCCAGGCTCACAGTGCACGACAGCTCCTGAGGAGTTTGATGCTGCAGGCAGAGGAGATAAGCAACCACAAACTCTGGCTGCATCAAGTAATAAAGACTTTGAAGACATGGAATGCCCAGTTACAGACAAGGAAGTAGCCTCTCCGACTCGAAAGTTCCCCAGAAAATGTACCAAGATTGTCAGAAGGTAAGAAGAAAAAAATCTGACAGTTGTAGGCTGACACTTTGACCACGCCTGGATTCTGTGTGCTTTTAGCATAGAGGTAACTAGTGAAAAACGTTTTTTTTAGAAGCTTGTTTTGTCATACAGAACTTCAACCAGAAAACCTGAGTTCTCTCCAGACACTGACGAGGAGTCGCAGGACTCAGCCGATGAAAGGCAAGCGCAATGTGAAGACCTCCGTAACCAATCTCACAGCCCATTAAGGAGGTAGGTCGAGATGCACATTATCAACGTCTGGAATGATGCTGAAGTAGCTTCTGTTTTCAGAGGAAATTGACAGAAGCAGGTATCAACCCATTAGCCATTTAATAGGAACCTGTAGCCCCATGGAAGGACTTATTTTTATTAATTAGCGAATGGCTGCTGCTCTGACTAAAACTTTCAGATCAAAAGGGATATCTCGTTTACAGACGTATGGTTTACTTCATCACAGAGAATCCAGCAAGAAGATACAGACGTCATCAGAGAGCGGAGACGACCTGCAGCTATCTGCCTCGATCAAAACGCCCATCCAGAGACCCCCCACCACTGCCACCCGCAAGCAAGTGTCACCACTGAATCACTCATTTTATCCAATGCTTTTGGGGTTTATGGCTCTCCATGAAGCTAACCTTTAATTTCTGTTTCTGCAGCATTTCAGACGATGAAATCTGCATCACAGACACTTCAGTGGACAGCTCACCCAAACTGTCCCCTTATCGGCCGGTTCCTCAGAAGAGCTCCACTCCTCACAAGGCAAAGGCTCAGGACGAAAATCCCACCCACTCAAAATGGTTAGTAAAGATTAAAACCACTAGCTTCAATTTGTTTAGATTTTTTGAGCTCAGAAATAATCTAAAAAAATAAAAACTTGTGTTCACAGGAAAGCGCTGTACAAAAACGCAACGGAGAGCAAGGACACATGGAGCGATGAGGAGTCCTATTTCAAAGCCAAACAGAAAGAAGGTCAGGTTAAACCTTAACCCCCAACCTGATGAATCCTGTCTTCTTCCCATAGAAAATGTCACTCATGTTTTCTTTTTCTTTAAGGGTTAAATGACAGCCCCGTTTCACATGGGGGCCACAAGAAGAGGGTAGGTACAACAGTCATTTACAGTCATCTGAAGCTGAGAAAATAAATATTTCTCAAATCTGCTTTGCTTTACATTCTGATAGAAATTTAGAAAAAAAAAAAAAAATCAGTTTGTTTGTGTAGATTTTGATGGGGAATGCCTTTTTATTCACTGTAACAAACTTGGATCACATTTTCTACAGTTGGAAAATCAAAGGCAGATAAATACTTAATTGTGCTATTTAACAACTTTTAAATTGAAACGACTAAAAAAAAAAGAGATTTAATTAATAGGAAAAGCATGACTTTGGTCCTGCCCACACATGCAACTGTGCCCAGTTAAATAAATCTTTTGTCTTCTTGGTCAAAGTTTCAGGGCGGCAAAAAGCTAAATAAACTCCTTTTTTTTTATGGTTACAGAAGTGGACCGAGAGTGAAACGCAAAAACTAAAAGATGGAGTCAAGAAGTTTGGTGAAGGCAGCTGGAGTAAGATAAAGGCTTATTACTCCTTCAAAGACCGTACAAATGTCCATCTGAAAGATCGATGGAGAACATTGAAGAAGTTGAAAATGATCTGAGCCCTTCTCCCACCACCTACCTTTTAAAGCTGTCACTTTCAGTTTTCCGGATTACTGTCGTTTTTCTTTTCCTTTGACATTTATCTTCCTACTAAATGTTTAAAGTTGATTAAATCCAGAATTTGTGGTTCAAATGGATTTTCTTATTTAATATTGATAGGAAACTAATGAAAACAACCAAAACTATTTGAATATTCACTGCAGTTTTATGTGGCTGAAAAGAATACAAAATAAAATCACTCTGATGCATTTAAAACATTAAGAAGACAATTGCAAACAAATGATAGGAGATGGGGGTAGTATTAGGGTGGGCTGTGTTGAGACAGGTTAAAGGCAGATTTCTCAGTCTGGGTGCTTTAAGGGATCCTGTAGTCATCCGTAGACGCAGCAATTTCCACAAAGATTGCATGAGCAGTACCCAGGTGTTTCTGGGAAACATGAATGTGGTCATGTTTTAGCAATGTTTGTTCCCCCAAAGACGGTGTTTTGAACCAACATCATTACAAAATGGTAGTTGGAGATGCTGAGCAGCCAGCCTGTGTGCAGACTTTTTTCTTTCTTTTTTTTTTTACATAAAAAAATGTTAAGGAAAACTTGTAGTCCCGGTGTTGCGTTTAAGTTAATGTATCTTCATTCCTAATGAACTCTCCCACATCAGCCTGGTGGAACACAACAATGGAAATGGGGTCCACTCGCCGACACTCCTGCGTAGACTTGGCTGCCACTCCAAAGCCCTGAGAATGAAGACGGCTTGTTTACAGACCTTCCTTGATCAACAAAAAGTCACAATCTACTTTTGGTTAAAGAGATTCATTTTCAATTGATTAATGCTTGATGTCTGGAACCAACGGCAATGGAATCCTTCCCATGACAATGGTCATTCGTGGATTAAAATGTTTGTCAGAGTTTTAAGTCAGCCTTTTCGATTCTTATTTTTGGCTGTAATCTCATCTGTCAGCTCCTCTCATACAAGATACACTTTTGAAAGATTTGGCTAAATGAGCTAAAAAACAAACAAACAAGAGTTTCAGAATCAAAAGCTGTATTCCTTTCCTCCAATTTCCATGCTAGACCAAACTAAGTCTGCACTAAATTATCACATGACAATTACTTTTTTTGGTCACACTATAATAGCTTGTTTTCATAAATAACAGAGCAGTGGACTGAAATAAAAAACAGACTTACCAAAGGAACGTCAGCCATGGAGTAAACCACAACCCCCTGGTATTGCATTGTGTTCTCTGTGATTCTTCCGAGGCCAGACTTTAGCACATGGTTCCCGTACAGGAAAGACTGCTCTGCTCCAGGTTTCACCCACACCTTGAACTGAAGACAGTTTCATATCATTTATACATGCATAAAACACCTGGCTGTGAGCTGGTGTAAACATATCTGCTTTGTCAGTGTTGTGACTGAGTGATAATCCATAGTTTGATATGGCTGTCCTGCTGTAGTATCTTATTGGGACAGTATGACAATTGGAAAACGCATCAACATCTCCTTCGAGCGTCCAACAGTTGGAGCTGATATGTGAAGATGCACCACCTTTGCATAGGGCGCCAGAAAATCCAGAGCTGTGATGTGCAGGCGAAACTTCAGGGTCTTTGTAAACTTCCCGAAGCACGTCCCAACAGAGATGAGCTTCTCCCGAGAGAAGTTTGTGGCCAGCTTAAGTATTTTCTCACTGTGAATGGAAAACAGAATCAGAAATACTTTAATAATATTTAGTTATTAAAATACTCTAATAACTAAAACATATGTACAGATCTAAAATATAGTGATAATGTGCAAAAAAATAAATGTCCATTTTGAGCGAGAATTACAGAGGCGAAGTTGTGTGAGCTCTAAAATGTACCGATAGCCATAAACACCAGAATATATCATTTTCAGGAGTACCTCATATAGTAGACGCGGTCATGGTGGAGCCTGAAACAGTAGGTTCCGTCTGGTCGGTCCACTAGGAGTTTAATGTTTTCTCCGATGCTGTGTTCAGGAAAAAAAACCCATGGGTCACATTTAAGCTAACACGAATGCTAATGCATTTTCGCGCAATTTCAGACTTTTCCAGCCAATAAATAGCTGTGTATATATACTTACTATTTGGACAGCTTCTCAAACATAGTTTTTGTTTCTTCTTCAGTCAACGGCCTCATTTTAGTACCTAGGCTGCAATTTTAAAGCTGCAAAAAATGTGTATCTGGTGCACGAGTCTTGAAAACGTGGGTCAACACGGAAGCCCGTCACTCTTTAAAACGGAAGAGGCTTTACGTAAACAGTGAGGGCAGTTCCTGGTTGATTTTTTTAAGCATTCTTCAGATTTCAGTCGATCGTACATTTTCTCCGGTAAACCGGTCGCCCTCTGGTAAGTAGTATTAACCTGTAATAATATTGTAGCATGTCTATTTTGTAACCTCATCCATTTTAAGTCCCACCGTAGACGGTCCATTTTGAATGAGGTTTTGGTTAAGTCCGGCTGTTTTAAGTGCTCGGAAACGGTCTCAGTTAGCCTGGTTTGCTAGCTGTCAGTTGGAGGAAAAAAAAACCACAGACCCGCGGCAGTTAGCTGGTGAACGTTAGCTGGGGAGCTAACTATGACAGCTACTGCCAGGTCCTAGCATGTGACAGCTAGGTAAAGTTTCCGAATGGGAACTGAATTGTGAAACAATGGAATACCTTTAGCGGAATTGCTTCCGCTTGTCAGGTCAGGCTGGACTGTCGTGTGAAGAAAGGAGCATTTTGCCGCAGCGCTGGGAGGTTACATAACGCTCATTTGTTTGTAAATACCACTTACACTCCCTGAGGTTTGTAGGACCAGAGAAAACGTAGCCGGTGCTCTAAGAATTGCAGAGGACATGGATGTCGACATGAAGCTTTCGTGCACGTCTTTCCCACCGGCTGACATCGCCCCCCCACCCCACCCCTGGGTGCTCATTTCCATCTCAATGTCAACGTTGTGTGTTGTCAGCTGCCGACTCAGACGCAGAGATGCACTTTGGAAGCGAGCTTTTTGCTTTTGGCAGGACATCTGATCCTCCCGTCACCCTTCAGTATGACATAAGAAAAATAACCAATCTGATCCTACAAGTTTCACAGAAAACCAGCCACCGGTACCCAATTTGGGGGATTTAACTGATTCGAAAAGATGTCTTTGTTCATGCTGGAGATAGCCATTAACTACCATATGATATGGTTTCTTCATTTAGTATTTGACACTCATGATCTTTTGTCTATAAGGGGGAACAAAAGTCACCTTTTAATCACCCTGCGCTGTACGGGATTGGATTATGTTCCAGGCAGCCAGCAGAGAATGTAAAAGTATTTACGGCCTGTCAGGCCAAGATGTCTGTTTCTGTCCTTGCAGTGAGATCAGCCCTCAAATGATTTCACCTCTAGGGGTTGTTAGTTTGAACCGTTTTCTCACCAACCCTGCTAATAAAGGCATCCTGAGAACTGAAACGTGGGGCGATTATTGACCCAGAGAGTTTGAGGTTATTTTATAATAGTCCGATGTGATTCTGGGCCACCAGTCTTTTCACTTGGGGAAGACTTTCATGTGTTGAAAGCAGTTAATCCTAATCTAATTTATTTGTTTTCCTGTTCAAAACTCTTAAAAGTTTTTTTGGAGGAAGTCACAGTAACAATATACATGGTTAAAAAGTGTGACAGCAGTTCGTTGTGAAAGCAAAATTGAGTGTGTCCCATGAAAATAGATAGCAGAAAAAAATAGCAGTTCTTCTCATTATCTAAAGATCTCGTAGTGTCGCTAAGGTGCTCATCTGTTATTGTGTTTCATTTACAGTGGATTTGATGATTTGTCAGTTTTAACTGAGTCTTTTGCGTGCTTCGCTTTTGTGTCGACAGGTGTGACCCGCCTGGTTTTTGGAGATCAGTTCCAGTCCCAACAGTTTACCCCAGAAGAGCCAGCGGCCTGTCTGTCACCAGTTTCCGCTGGGTGTTTTTGAACAGGAAGAGAGGCGCAGAGAGACGTCTGACTTTTAAGAGGAAACTGCTGTGGCTTCTTCGTCAGCCTCAGAATGACTGAGTTCTGGGTTTGTTTCAGCTGCTGCATTGCAGAGCAGCCACAACCGGTGAGTGTGGAAACATACTCTACTATCCTCACCAAAAAGAAAAGACAAGCGCACCCACAAAGTAAATGATGAAGATGGAACCCCGAAAACTTTCAAATCAACTTAACTTTGTACAGTTGGCTTCATTGCACAAAATACCACAGAAAAATCCCCTACCCTTCACATGCCGCTGCTTTCAGTGGATAAAACGGAGGTAAAAACCTTCTCAAAGTTCTGTCTGACTCACCACAATGAACCCATGCAGCTGCCTCATTGATCAGCAGAAAATAGGCCCTTCTTACAGCTCATAATTACTGACTTACTGCCTCAGTGTGTTCCCTATTACTGCCAGATCTTCCAGTTAAAGGCATCATTTCTCGTTCATGTGTTTTGACAAATGCCAGATGAAATCTTGAGTAAACGTTTTTTCCATCACTAACATGATGATGCTGAAATCATAAGTCACACAGCTCTCATTTTTTAAATTGTCAATTAACAAATGTGAAGGATCATGTGGTTGTTCCTGAGAAACCATAATTATTGTTCAAATGGTAGCAGGACCAAAATGTCAGCCTGTAAGTGAGGGTTCCTGTAACTGTAAAGGAACCAACTGATTTAGAATGAATAGGGCCCGAGTCAGATGGTCTTAACCTCTTTACCGTTTGTTTATCAGATATGTTGCTCATGCTGATGTCAAAGTTTAAAAAGGTTTTCCATACTTTCAGAAACGCCGGCGACGAATCGACCGCTCCATGATCGGGGAGCCAACTAACTTTGTTCACACCACACATGTAGGCTCGGGGGACATGGGCCTGGGATTGGCATCGGTAGGTTTTCACCCAGCTCACCCAGCCAAATGTGGCAAACGTATGTGTCCAGCGGGTTAACATGTGCACCGTTTTGTAGGTGGACCTGGTCCAGGCTCAAATGAAATCTAAAGGGGGCTACGCACATGGAGGCTCTGAAGGCTCTCAATTGTAACGAGGTGAGAAAGTTTGTGCTGTTCTTTAGTGGAACTGATATCCAGCTAAAACGCTTTCACTACTCCAAAGCCTTTGGACTTTTTTTTTTTTTTTTAAGTCGGCTTACCCGCATATTTGCATATAACTCAAGGGTACGATCATCCAGCATGTTCCTAACAGCAGCTCAGAATGCTTTTTATTCGGATAAGAAGCTTGTTTCAGTTTATCAGTTCATTTTAAATGAAAGTTCATAGTTCCTCTGTCCTTTACTGCTATGCAAGTGGTATAAATAAGGAAAACTGAGCCAGTGGATCATAAACTTTATTATATTACAGTCTCTGACTCCAGTTCTTTGATGATAACTGTTTACTCTGAACGCCTACAATTCAAGGCCTGTCGTCTTCCCTCCACCTGCTCTCTTTCAAAACAAACTGAACTGACTGCACACCACAGCAGGCTTGTCTTGTGTAGAATTGTGAGGAAACTGGAGCGATGCCAAGCAGCGCATATCTGTACTGTATAAGGTCCGCTCTTATTTGGGGGAATTCTCTCCCCTTATTAGGAAGTCTCCCTCCGTTTCCTTTGGCTCACATTTGTTTATCGGACTCCCAGCGCAATTTGGCTTGTGCCAACAGCTAAGGATTTCATTTTGAATCAACCCACTCACACCTGGCCTGATTGTTCGCTGTGACGCTGGTTTCTGTTGTCCTCAGGCTCCACGTGAGCTGTTAACGCTGCACCTTTTGTTTGTTTTTAATACTCCCACTTGGCGTTGCCATGGTCACGTTGGCATTTCTCGTTTCAGACCCCGTCATTCTGACGGAGTTTGGGCTGATCCACACTAACGATGTGAAATATGTTTGGTTAAGAAAGCGGCAATCGATTACCGAGGCCAGGGTCTGAGTCTGGAAGTCTCGGATGTCTCTCTCTCAAAATGTTCATTTGACCAAACGGACCCCTCCTCGACTCTGAGGAGGAGTTTGACTGGACTCGGCACACATACTGGGATCCTAACGTTTGTTCCACTTTCTCCCACAGCTCTTCAGTCTACTGAAACTACTGTTGTTGAAACATGGAAGAAAAAGAAAAAAAAAAGCAGTTCTGTCTGTAATGGACACAGGACCAAAAGATGAAATGACTGCTTTTCCATGATGTTGTATATATTTTTATTTTCCATTACTTTTTTTTTTAATGAAAGCACTGCTATCCATTTGCTGCAATACTGTTGCACTGTAAAGAGTACCTGTTAAAGAGGGTTTAGAAAGCTCATAATCTCAGTCAGATGTATGCTTGTGTGTATGCATGAGGAAAATATTTTCAAAATGATTTTGCCGATGTAGCCCATTGGATGCCTGTATTTATTATTTGATTTCAAAGCGGACCTCATGGTGGCTGGGCCACGCTTAAGATTTGGAACGTTCAGTTTCCGTCTTTATTCTCAGAGGTTTATCAAAGGACAGGTAGAGGTAGCAACGCAAAAAAAATCATTTTAGTCTGAGAACTACTCATGATTCTCTGAGTTTCTTTCAGGGTCAAAGATTGCTGTTTTGTAATAAACTTGAAATGAGTAGAGTACACTGGACCACATGTACACTCACACATGCTTAAGAGTTTCTCATTGATTTCAACCATTTTTTTATACTCCATTTAGAAAAAAACACATAGGATTTTAATAAACTATGAACTTCCTGATCTGCCTTCTGAAGTCATGCTCATTCTTTGTTTTACATGCGTGATTTACAAGCTTCATGCTTAGCATTTTATAGGAGATTTCTTTTTTTTAGTCGCGTTTCCTTCATTTAAAGGCATGTGCACCAACTGTAGACCAAGAGTTCAGCGTGGAAATAAGAAAATCACAAGCGCAAACTCTTCCACAAAAGTGGGTTGACTTTGATTCAGTTAGGATTCGTGTGCTTGACGCTCACACGCTGTACGATGGAACTGATTGTACCTTTCACAAGCACACAGTTCATTTAGCAGCTGTTTGACAGGTCAGCTTTACTTTAGTGGAGCACAGAGGATTTTAATCATTCTGTAGTTCTCTGTGAGCTGGTCCAGGACTCTTAGAGCTGACATAAAGAGGCATTGAACATAATGTGACCCACCTGTGTAGCAGTGTTTCTGATGACCATGCTTCAGTTTCATGTCAACATATTGTTAGTTGTTCCTGTTTTTTTTTTTATATGGTCAAAGTAAAAGAGTTTTACTAAGGAGGAAAGCTAAATGAATGCAGTTATTGTCACTCGTGTCAAAACAACAGACTGGAGCTCGTGTCTTTTCATTGAATTTACATTTTGACCCCTCCACACAGTATTGTCTTGTGTCTCTGATCCATAAAGTGTAATGATCAGAGCAGTAAAAAACCAGCACATTTTAATCTTCACACATCGGATTGTTTGTCATCCATTTGCATCCTATGACTTTTTCGAAAACCACATGTGTTGAATGTATAAAGTGCAGCATGTTATTGTCGAACATTTTATGGTACAAAAACTATTTAAATCCTCAGCGTTTGTACCGGGCAACAGAAAATACCTTTTATGGATTGTCACATTTGTCGTTTCCTTTTACAGCCTTAACATTTCTGCGTTGCCCCTTTTTCCCATGTATTCGGAAATGAATTGGCACCTGCTTATTTGAAATTCCGTCTGTTTCTGTCTGTTGTCGTTCTTTTGTGACAGCTGATCCACATGTGCTTTGTTTCCCCAACGTTGAGCTCAATTGTGTAGCGTTCAGTCATTCTGGGCTTGCATTACATTGTAAGACCAGCAGGCTGTGCTAGTGGACTGCTTGAATGTGACATAAACAACTTAGTTTTGGGATATGTCATAGGAGTTATTTTATGATGATACTGTAAATATGTGGTGTACAAAAGTGATGGATCTGTGATTTCTATGTATTCAGATTCATATCTATTTTGCTTATCTTTCCGTAATACATTACATGGAGGGTTGAGTTGGCACAATGTTTTGTTTTACTTTTCCCCTCAGTATCTGACTCAGTGTAGTTCCCACTTTAAAGGGGAGTTCATCTGTCTTTTCCCTGCATTTTCAAAGAAGTAAATAAATGTTATCTATTGTCTGACCAAGTGTGCTTTTTGTGCGTGTGTTTTTATTTCAGAGGGAACAGACAGCACCTCACACCACGACTATTTTAAATACTTTCAATCCTATTGTGGTACAAATAACATGCTCAAAATCCCTTATTTATGTGTGTTAGAATCACGTTGTGGTGAAACCAAGTTGAAGGCTTATTGAGCCTTAAGCCAGGTTCAATCAGCCATCCCATGGGGCAAACCCATTTTTGTAAACAGCGAAAAAGCCCAAAGTCAGAAACTTTGGGAAATTTGCCCTCAGCTTTAAACTTGTAAAAGTAAAAAGTTTCACCTGGGAGCTTTTAAAAAGGGCTGTAATAGGAAATGGAAAGAAAGCGTCTCTCATAAGGACAATAAGGTCACACAGAGTAAGAAGCACAGGGTAAACCCCCTTGGATGAGGTAAATCACCAGCTTTGGTGTTGTAGTTTAACAAATGACAGGAAACGGAAACACTCTGAAGACATGTCTTGCCTTTCACCTGTTTCAGAATCAGTGGTTTGGAAGTTCTTCATCTGAGTTGCATCATATCGTATACCAAGTTCTACCTGACACGCATTCATGTGTTAAATGGAGAAGCAGCAAAGATCTAAAAGTTAAAGCGAATGCAACTGAAAAACAAAGCACAGCTGTAAGTGTTCGTCTCCTTAATTCTGTGACTCATGCAGGATGTCTGGAGGGGGATGTGGAAGCAACGATAATAAATGAAAGACAAACCTGGAGTATCTGAGTACAGATTGTAATTCAGTTATCAGTTTATTTGATTATATTTTTATCATGTATATATACATAAAGATATTCTACCGCAATATTTAAAAGTTGGTAGGGGGTAAAAAATCAATAAAAGGATCAATCAAAGGAAAACATCTAAAACAACTGAAGGCACAAAGTTGAAGGAATCACACACTTAATTTCATATTGTTGGACAGCTTAAGTCAGTTCTCTGTTACTGAATATCAGGCAAGTTTTGACATCCAATCATAAAAGCAAACTTTTATTTTGCCTGCCTTTCTGATCTGCAAGTCATTTAGAGTTAGCTTAACGTTCAGAAAAGTTCAAAGAACAAGATGGGCTGAAATTAGATCTTTCAACTCTTTAGAGCTGTGGTGTGAGCGTGGTGTCACTTTAGTGAACCACAGTAAAACCACACAATGTTGACAGGACCAAAGCTTGGCTTGGAATAAGATCTTCATCCCAGCATGTTCAGCACAGAGACCGACTGACAGCGTTATTCTCCGTGCCCCCCTAACTGTCTCCTGTTTCTGCCGTCAAATGGTCGGCTCAGCAGAAAAAGGAGAGAGGCAGCGGAAGGTTGGACAGACAGCTTCACAGTAAACCAGCCTTGAATCAGATAAGCAGGAAACACGTGGGCGTACGGCTACGACATCAGTGTTTGCTGATGTGTGGACCACTCAGACAGTTCTCTGATGTAGTTTGGACCGAAAACATCACTGTGGTTTTCATTGTGGGGCAGGTAGGGGTTGTCATCACCAGTACCTGTGAGGGACAAAATGACATTAAAGCCACAATAGAAATCTACATTACAAATGGGATCTTTTTAGGCACTCATTTGGTGTTTTATAACTTAAGTACATGATTGTCTGTGCCCATTCAATCCAATTCATGGCCAAAGGTGTTGCAGCATAGAATCGCAGATTAAGATAAAATGTGTTTCTCTGAATGGTTGGGAGAAACCAGAGCATGGAAAAGTACCCTAAACCAGGATTAGATAGTCTAAGTACATGCAATTTAACAGTCTATTTTAAATACATATTTCCTACTAGAGTGCACAAAGTGCATTCTTCACAAAGCTGCTCTCACTGACATGTTTTTGCTTTCGATTTAAGACAAATGACAAAAGCAGGTCAATAAGATTAGATGCCATCTCCCAGTCACGTTAAGTGCTTCAGGGCAGTCACAGAGCTCTAATTGTTCATTGTAATCAAATGTGATGGCAAAAGTCATAATACATACAAGTTTTTTTAAACTTTTGGATTAGCTGTATCTTATGTCATGTCAAATATGCATTTAATTTTTTGTTTTGTCACATAATTTCAGATAATTTCTGTTTTGTTATCTTAATATTGCTTTCATTTTCCCTTAACTGGCTATATTTTATTGCTGTTTTTTTCATGCTGTAATTTTTCATGTTCTCATTTTTTATCTTTCCTGGCATACTAGTTTGTTGAATTAGTTTGTGTCCTTGCTGTTTTTATTGGTATTGTAAGCTGTTTGTAAGTTTTCATCTTCCAGTTAAGATGAAGTTGAGTGTAACATCAGTTGTGATTTTTGGAGATGAACACAATCAGTTTGTCAATGAGACACAAAAACGTAGTGTCTTACATTGCCACTGGTCCCAAAGAGTGTGTGTTTTCCATCCTCTCTGTTCTCCAGTCTGGTTCCACAGGTCAGCGCCGCTTAAATGGTCCATCAGCTAGAAGAAACAAATCAGGGAGTCCGTGAAAGAAAGAACACAACAGAATCTGCAAATTTTTAAAAAAAGAAAAAACGTCTGATCTTCGATGAGGTAAACTATTTTATTAGGTGTTTTGTGATGTTTACCTGCTGCCTTCCCGTCTTCTTTAAAGGGTTAGATTATTGTGTTCAGAAAAGCTCAGATTGCATTTATGTGGTAACTTGGAGCCAGTACCTTAAAAACAGCCTCGCTCTGTTCCTGTTCCTCTGGTTTTGAATCCCACATTCCTGCACGACAAGAATACATGTCAACCCTCTGTAGTGTGAAAATCTTTGACAGTAAACATCCTGAGCTCTAATGAAGCTCTTTAGCGGCGTATCTCACCATGTGCCTGATTGCAGCTGAAGGCGTTCTGAGCACCATTCTCCACCTTCAGAAGCGTGTCTGAAATGCTTCTGGTCGTTGCAGGCTGCCAAGTGTGCATGGGGAAGGCCTCATCATGCGGGCATTCTCCTACGCTACGTCTTTCTTGGGGTTTGTTTAAGAACTGAAGCCCTGATGGAGCAAAGAGCACATAAGGACTTGGAGAAGCTGTTCCCGTGCGAAAGTGGCGTTGCACCTTCGGTGTTTCTCACCTTTCCTGCGTTTGCGTGTTTGGGAGCTGGGCAGCATCCTGTAGACTCTGTAGGCATTGCTGCCTCTCTTCCTGCTGTGCTCCGGCAGCTCACACACGTCAGGAAGAGAATTCAAGGCGCAGCGGAAGTTCGCTTTCCACGTTTTGGGATCCGGCTTGTCTTTTCCTGGACGATAGCGCCCTAAAATCCAAAGGTCATAGAGAAGAATCTCAATTTGTGGTGTTTTTCAAATCTTAGAACAGAATTTTTTTGTCCCAAAGTGAGATAGGCACATTATCATCCAGGCTACAGAACAGTAAAGGCTCTAAGATTGTTTTGATGTGAGTTGCCAAGTTATGGACATATTGGCTGAAAGGATGCTTCCGATTTTATTTTTTATTTCCAGAAGTCAGGACCTGGAGATGACTTTCTCTTTTTCTGCCATTTTAAGAACCTGCAACAGCCACAAAGCAAAAGCCACACTGGTCCACACCGCAAAGTATTGCTGTTTTACAGAGGAACAAAAAAGCACAAAAAAAAAGCTTATTCTCATTAAACAACTCAAAAATCGTTCCAAATCATCTTAAAACAGTAAAATGTCCACATTAGACAACACTTCCATGCTTGTGATGATATGCTTAAATTAATTGACCTTTTCATGTCTCCAAAACACAAGTTTTGGCATCTTTCCATTGCAATGCTACTATTAAGAGTGTAAACATTTGTGATCACAGAATCCCTACGCGCTCTAAGGAAAAAAAAAGAAAGAAGAAAAATGGCTAGGAGATACAGAAAGGTGTTGACACTAGTTGTCTGGGTTGTTTTGAATGTGTAAACAGACTGTCTCCACATGAGAACAATGTTTAAATAAGAGCAGCAATCATCAACCAAACTTTGTCCAGAGAGCAGATAGATGCAGAACAGCAGAAACCAGATCCAGCTATCCAGATATTAAGAATACCATTCGATCAGAATTGGATGAAAGATCAGTGATTGACCATGGTGCCTAATGTTACAGTTCAGCTCGCCCCTTAGAGCTCCAGGTATTTCCACAAATCGGTCTAGGTAATCCTAGGTTCGATATCCACAACAGCTGATACAATCTGTCAACTGGCCCAAACAAACAGCAGCTGGTGAACAAAACATATAAACTCAGAGATTCATTTTGGGAAACCAAGAATTGACAGATGTGGCAGAACTTAAAGAGAGTAGACAAATTACAATACACATTCCAACTTTATGAGATACCGCAGACAACTCGAGGATATTAGACCTTCATACTTCTGGTTAGACAAACCAGGCAAATCATACTGTTGCACTACTGAAAATTCCCATGTTAAAGCGTCAGTATCATTTATATGCGTTTAAACAAAAGTCTCTTTTATGAACACATTAAACACAAATAGTACACTATCATAGCCGTGACATGAAGAAGTACTTGTGATTTTGTTTCAAATCACAGGCTCCTCTGTGATATTCCTGTGTTTTACAATACTGAGATCTTCACAAGAGGTGTACGTTGTCTCCTTTAATTGTTACGGTAACACTTTACCACAGTGCTGCAACCTAAAAATATCCAATGTCAGCAGCTGGCAGAACATCCATCATCAACCGTTCAGCCAAGAGAGAGCATCCAGTGTGTTGAGTCCTTTCTCAAATTTAGCACTGTTGTATAATTTGACTCAGCCAACCATGAGACCATAAACACTAACTTAAGTAATAAAATCTCATCATTGAAGCTTTAAGATCCCTTATGGATCATTTACATCAGACAGGGGCCGACAAAAAATACTGGAAAACGAGGAGCATTAACTCTTCTTCAAAGATCCTCCCACTTTCCATGTTTTTTTTTCTGTTTTCTGTAATACCTCAGTTATTTTACATAAGAAACTATCCGTTTGAAACTGTATTCATTATTATATGCCAAACTGCCAGATGTGTTGTTCTAGATCTTACAGTTACTGTTGTACTTTGGTAGCAATACGATCACCCTGCACACAGCAAGTGAACTGGAGCTTTCCCATGATGTGATGCAGCCCTGTGGAAACGAACCATGACTTTCCCAAGGCAAAAGCACAGAGAGGCAAACTGTGTTTTACAATTAATGAGCCTGCACGTACATGCATCCATGAAACTACCCACAATTTGTGCACACTTAGTAAGACTTAATATCTAACTTCATGTGTCTTCCAGCCAAGATCCCCCAGTCAGCATCTTAGAAAACATATTAAATATATTCTGTGTCAAATAGAAAATAATGTAAGTCTGTCAGCATTACATGCGCTGATATGAATGTTTGATGCATACTCTTTTTTTTAAAAGTGTGATTACTTGGAAAGACAAACATGATGTCGGATTATTAAAAAAGTTCGTGAGGAGCTGACTTAAACCTGTTTTATTTGATGTAGTTGTGCAGCCCCAATCTCTTCACTGGAAAGGAGTTGAGGGATAGGAATGTGGTAGATCTAGAAACTCTAAATGGTGGTATTACTTCAATGGAAACACTTCAACTGAAATGAGGCACAGATAAAAAGCAGCTCGACAGACACGTTTTAAACTCAAGATACTTTTGAATACAATTTTTAAAGAACTTGACATTTGTTCCTGAAAGAATCACAACTCTACACTTTATTGAAACTTTATTTTTGATCATGTAATCCAATTAGGGGGTTTTAACGACTCTTTAACAGCCTGGGGGAAAACATTTTTTATTAATGTCTGACACTCAATAGGTAATTAAAAATCCTTTGCTCACCTGCGGTTAAATTAGAATAACATGCGGAAAAATTAGATTGTCCCATTTGTTTTTACGGCTGTCTCAGTATATGTTGTTTTGCATCCAAGAATCAAAACGCTGCTCTAAAAGCATTCGTAGTGTCATATATTGTAAGGTTAGACTGATGGAATAGGTTCAGTCACTGCAGGGGGGAGGACAAAAAAGGGCAAAGTACATATAAACTAAGAACAAAGTTTGTCCATGGCTCCTACCAGTGTGCATCGCCCAACTCCTGAAGAGTGTGGCATCCCGGTCAATGCTCCAACCGTGACGAGCAGCATGTGTCCACGGGATCTGGAAGATGCGGGCTGACTGTAAGATAAAAGTGGACAAAAAGAAAACGTTTTTGTACTACTTTTGTCCAGAGTCGATGAGGATTTCCATCCTTATTTAAGTTCGGTGTCAACACGAGAGCGATACAGCGTGTCTGTGTGGGTGGCAGTGGTGCTCAGGGTGAGTCTGAGGGCTCTACCTGGTCCAGCCAGCTGACCCCCGGATACCTCCCGGACTGAATCTGCTCCTCCAGCCACGGCCTCAGCCTCTGCCGGCCCAGCTGCTGCATGCTGCCGATTGAAGGGTGCCCAGCGTGGAGAGCCTCTGTTTGGATTGGAATGCCTGCACAGACAGGTGAAAAAGTCTTTGAACTCAGAGTAAATCAGAAGTCGCGTCGGGACACCCTTCTTTCTAACATCATTCTTCCAATCATAGAGCTCACACCTTAATCAAACCTGTTTCTCCACCACTCACATCTGAGGACTCCTGTTACAGGAAATGATATGGTGTTCTCTACATGGCTGAGAGCACTGTAGGTCGATGGGGAGGAATGTCTTCATATGGATTTTTCTCAAGCGTTTGCACTTCTACATTTTGATTATCGAACATTGTAAAAATTTAATTTGATAAAGAGACAGAATATTAGCATGTTGTTTCTCCTGAAAAAAAAGCCAGTAACGTGTGTTGATATGTGTGTGTGTGCACACACTGAAGCAGCATGACCCGACGAGGTGTGTGTGACAGCCGATACGACTGAACATGCTGCGACACTTTCTTTGAACAAATTGCCTGTTCAGGAGTACTCTCGAATTGAGGTTCCTATTGGTTTTAGTGTCTTTACAGAAGTAATCAAAACACTATATTTATCAATCTAGTAGTGGAAATTATTCCTTAAATGGCTATGTGTACGCAACTCACTCACAGATTTCTTCAGTTAAACTTCTGAAAGTTTCTAATGTGTTGTTTTTGGAAAGGCAGGTGTATAATATTCACTATCCTTTTATTTCCAATATTTTGGATGGTTTAGTGTTGAAATTCTACCAAAATGGTATCCCACTGACCCCCTGATTAAACAAAAATGAAACCATTCATTTTTAATTCTTTTGAATAAAAACTCTGCTATAAAAAGAAAGACAACTCAAACACATTTTAACATAATAATCATTTATTTATGTTTGAAGTTTTTCATTTTATAAATAAAATATATATATATAATATATATTGTATTGTATATATGTATTGGTAATACCTTTTTTTCATGTTTCATTTATGATACTTTACTTTGTCTCTAACTCTGGTAAGTCCAACATGCTAGGTGAGTGTGACGCATACTTCTGTGGAAATGACTTAACAGCTCCACAGAACAGCAATGAGGAAGTAATTGCACAACCCCAAACAGTGTGGAATAAACAGCCCCAGCTCGATAGTTGATATTTGATAGATGTTACTTGTATAATGGCAAATGCCAATAAGTCACTTTACTCATATATTTTATAAGTGTATTGCCTAACTATTTACAATAACAAACATGCAGTGTTCCTGAGCACAACATAATTCAATAGGTTAAATGAAAAAAATTAAATGCCGTAAAAAAAAAATATTTTAAACAGTAACAGCCATCAAGACATACATTACATTACACTTTTGCTCTTGCGTTAAAACAAAGAACATTCACATTTAAACATATATCCATGTGCCATTTGTCTTTATTATCAAACAGGCAAAACATCACACTATGATACAAACCATCTCTTGAAGTTGACAATTTGCTGCAGTTACAAAATTCAAAGATGAATCCTCAAACCAAAACAAGAATCAGTCAGTTACACACTGTGATAGTCATTGTTTGTGAGTATCGGCACAGAGTTTTCTGCAGACATAACGATTGGCCAAAGTATTTGGGGCCCAAACTGTCTTGACCCCTCGTTGGCAGCATTACCGAAACCTTGGGGAAATGGATTGAAGGAGCCCTGAGGACACTTAATGATCCAATCTTCCTGGTACTTCTCCGAACCCTTCTTTTGATTCTTGCTTGTCTCCTCTAGCGGGGGAATTTCTGATGGCTGCTTGAGGCTCTCGATCGGCTGGTAGTCATTTACCACTACAAGAAAGGGGCGTGATTCTGATGCCGCGAATCCAGAGAAGGGGTTTTCACTGTCCAGCTCAGACGAGGTGGTTGTAATGCTTCCACTGGATATGGAGAATGAGCTAGTGTCTTCGGCGGATGAAATGCTTTGAGGTTCTGCGTTGCGCTGTTGATAGGACAGGTCTACCGGCAAGGCACACGAAAGATCTTGTTCAGGAAACAGACAAGCTGGGGCCTGTTGCTCAGGAATGCTCACAGCAGTGCCCTTGCTTGGATGAAGTGTAGGGTCATACAGTATTCCAGTCTGCATCTGGACCAATGGCATTTTCTGACCAGTGTGGTTACGAATAAGCAGGGAATAGCTGTTATTGTCTAAGTCAGTTGGTCCAGAAGGTATTTTATCATCATGTCGCACTACTGGATTTAGCAACCTGGAGAATAAACCCCCTCCTTTGTTTGATTCTTCGAAGAGTTTGGTGGGTTGCTGAGGCTCTGGGCTTAAGTCTTTGTAAGCGTCGTCCGGAAAAGTAGCCATCATTTCAGAGGGCTGAGTGTCAGCGTAGCTTAAAAGTGACGAGCCCGTGCTGAATCCACCGCAATGCTGCATCTGTCCATTGCCTTCAACGCCACTCCATAAACAAGGCAGCCTGAGCACAGAGAAAGGGTTACTTACACTTACAGTATATAATCACAAACAGGACAGAAAATATAGTGTTATTTGCTCATCTGTGCAGCACTAACGGTGATTTACTGTGACGTTCTTCTGGGGTTTTTGGAGAGATTATGGAGGGAATGAGGTCTTCAGGCTCCAGCATCTGGAAAACACATGGGTTTGGAATGGTTAAAACTGTAATGCTGTCACATGTTTTGCATTTGCAAAACATATACCACATTAAACAATGACTTCAGTCAGATGATGGAACAAATTACATGTATTTGATCTGCTGAAGAAAAGTAAAGTCTTCTATGGCTGGGACAAAGTCATCCAACAATTGCAACATGAAGTCTGCATCATGACTTGCCTTACCTTTTCCTTCATATGTTTCACTTTGAGGACAGCTGGATTTAAAAAGGCCGCATCCCAATCTTTTTTTAACCTAAAATTAAATACACAAATTTCGGTACGACTGCACATTGCACAATTTTGTTTTTTTGTTGTTACATTTGTGTGGACTTACTTTGCATAGCAACCATAAATAGCAGAACTGGTGATGGCCGCAGCACAACTGAGGACGATGATGAGAACCAAGATAGTGGAGCTGACGGAGGCAGCTGCGGAGTACCATGTAGGAACACAGATAACACTTAGAGAGAAAAACCTGCACAAGCTAAACAATATGTACACATAGGCTTGGCTATCTGCCTACTGAGCTCTTGTTAGAGCTGTGCACAACGTTTTTAGCTGATCCATAAAAAGGCTTCATTGAACATTTGATGTATTTCTCTTCACAGTTATTATGTCTATATGCCATCAAGGTTTTAAAATATGGATGATGGCACTTTACAGCAAAGTGCCCATTACATCATTATTTTGCACTTTTAACATAGTATAAACTCTGATTTCGTCCCATGTTTCACATGCATGTATTTGTGTTGTGGAGGCATTTTGTTGATTCAATTCATTTACGTAGGCATACGTTATCTTTACTCATTCACTTCACAGAATGCATGTTTGGGGAAACATGGGGAAACCAGTTTTTCCTGAACTGCAGTGTCGTTAAATCTGTCCAGATGTTATTTGAGAACACATAGCAAATGAAGGATCCTGTAACTAACGTTAACAGAACGTTAAGAACAGACTTATTGTTAGTTTTCTTTGTCAGTTAACAAAATACTGCAGGACATTTATGTTCAGCCAAGAATTTACCAACCCCAAAACTCACACCCTCATGACACACAGGTTATTGCTGTTGGCTGGATGGACCTCCTCTACGTCCAAATGTTACAGATCATTGTCTATTGTTTGAGCATGATTTTATGAAGGGTGCACACAGACTTGTTCAGTCTCTTTGGCGATGAAACGAGCTCTTTTGGCTTTACGCACCGTGGCAATGTAAACACACAGTTAAGCTGAGTCCTGCTGAGCCCGGATCTCAAAACTTTTGAAGCAAGTGGGATCAGAGCTGACAGGAAACGAACATAAAACAGACAATGTCCTAAGAGGAGCTTTGGATATTATACAAAAGGAACTATTTCCGAAGACCAATAAAACAAATGACAAGAACAAAGCCTACTGAGCATAGAATGTATTGTGGTTATGTTCAGTGAAAGCTGTGGTTGGTGTACAGCGGTGCCTTAAAGACGCAACCTCTATTCAAGTCAGCGCGGAAGTTTTGAAGAAGTCTAATAGCGTTTTGTAAAGGTTTAACATTAGGGTTAGAGTATAACCAAATAAACATTCAACTTTGTTACTCTGAACATTGGAGCATCATAGATTTATTAAGGCCAATAAGAAAGGCCTTTTTTTAACAGTCTTTTTTCTTTTAATTGAATCTTTCCTTTCTTTCTGAATGATTTAGCTGTTGCCAGCTTTTAGCTGATGACTGAGCCATGCATCTTTTACATGATGTTTCTCTTTGAGAGTTGTTAAAATGATACGAAACTGAGCGCAGACAACAATAACCACCACCACCACCAACAACCAAAGAAACTACCAGTCAACACTTACGGGTTGTGAATTCAAACTCTTCGCTGCTGTCACTATACTTGGAACTCAGGGAACTAAAGCGTCTCACTCTGACCATGTAGGTGGTGCTTGGCTCCAGCTGTTGGCCACTTATTTCATAGTACTTCAGATTATCAACTGTAGTGGCCGGGACAGGTTTCCACACCTGGAATGGAGAAATGAAGGTTTAAGGAGGGATTTGGCAGTTGTACTTTGAAATCTGAGAATTAAATCATCTGTGTGTTTTCTCCTACTATCTCAGTGTCTCCTTTTTTATAATGAGCAACTTCGTCGATCACGTCCGGCCTATCATCCATGTTGGTGGCCCACTGGATTTCAAAATTGTCAAACGAGTTACTGACGGAGACGATAGTTGGAGTTCTGGGTTTAACTGTGTGGAGAGAGAGAAAAGACAAGTAAAGAGACTGTTTTTTTTCTCGTTTGTTTTAAATCTGTTTGGGGACTTACAGCTTTCAATAACGCTGAAAACGGTCGTTTTGGACAGCAGGCGTCCCCCTCCTTTCCAGACCGATGCAGAAATATTCTCCCCCAGTATGAGCATGGTGTCTGCGGAGCAGCAGCATTTCTGCGGGCCGGCGCACCGCTGGAAGCCGCATCCCGTCTCCCTGTGGCGCACAGGGCACAGCAAGGGCTCAGCACAGGGCAGAACACACAGCACCCGGCGTTATTTATCCCAAATAAACAGCGCGTCGTGCGGAGATTTGGTTAAATACTAAATAATATCAACTCACGCTTTTTCCTCGTCCACGACAACCAGGTTGTATTCTGAGCATTTCGCTGCCAAGAACTGGCAAAACACACTTTCCAGGTCGTTGGTACACTCAAGATCAGAGTCCGTTTCATTTTCAATTCCTACCGAATATGCACAATAAAAAAAGGGTTATTATCACGTAGTAGGGTTATTCTACAAATAAGCGTCTGTTGGAGGGTACATACCAAGGTGGGCTTGTGCGGTCGCAAAAAGTGTCACAAGAAAAGGGATCAGAGACATCGCACCCGGTCTCCCTGGTGGCAAACACAAGAGAAACTTTTTGTTCTCCAGCATTACGAGTCTGACGATTAAAGACGGTCCCCGAGAGATTTGTAGGACCTCGTTAGGTCCACGGACCCCGTTTCCTCGGTAAAGCAAAAACCCAAACTGCCAGCCGTGTCTTCCTCAGACTTTCTGGCTACGTGCTCCACTGCCTTCCGGATGCAGAGGGAAAGCTTTTACAGGAAAAAATATTGCGCCATAACTCTGAGGAAATGAGTCCCACTATTCCCCTCCCACAAGGACCAGAAAATGAGGACTTTGTTAATGGAACATGATGGCATAAACCACCATATCCGAAGGGGTTCTTTGATGTAAAATAAAGTATTTTCAACAGGTATTTGTAGTAGAATAAGTCCGAGGTAGACGCAACAGATCATCATCAATACGATAGAAAGGCAGCATTTACGACACAAAGGTGACCTAGTTACTGTGCATTTATTATTGTTATGATCTCAAAGTCTAATTTGTTATAATGGCTGATAAGAGTCTCATGCTTCTTCTTCTTTTTTTTTACCAAGACTATGGAATAGAGACCTTTTATCCCAAGAAAACACTAATAATGTTATAATAATGATAAGGTTTGCTTGTAACTTACAGACAGTTGACTCAGACAACTGCAGTTTAAAATGAAGACATTTTAATTTATCATAAATATCACATTTTCAGGATATTTTTTTACATTCTGCACGTATACCCATTTCTGGGTAACATGAAAGCTGAAACACAAACTTCAGACAAGTTGTTCTTTGTTTTTGTTGTTGACTTTTGCTTTGCGTGTGTGTGTGATTTTATTTTGTTTTGAAATCAGCTAAATCAATACTTCTTCAAGATTTTTTTTAGAAATGTTTATTTTTTTGGGTAAATTTCGATGATATGATGTTGTAACAGATCTACAAATATATGTATCAAGCTCAGAGACTTTAGCAGGAAAAAAAAAATTGACGATGCAGTTGCGCGTTATGGACAGCAGGGGGTATCGAACCCATGAGCAGCCTTCAGCTGCCACAAAAACAAGACGAAGAAGAAGAAGTTCCAAACAGCCACTTTTTCTCACACTGTAAAATGCTTTCGTTGAACCAAGACCGATGTATTTTGTTTAATGAATATCTAAGAGTTCGGTTATATTTCTGTAACAACTCTTTATTTTCTCGGTTAGCCCGTTAGCAGCTGCCCGCGGCTCCGTGTGAGCCCTCGGTGGTCTCATGTCCGTTGAACGAGCTCTGGTGGATTGCGCCGTGCTGTCCCTGCAAGACACCCGGTTGTTCTATCCGTGCTGTAAAAGTTGTTTCTTAAAGATCGATGCTGAAGAGCGGGACGTGACGAGGTAAAAAATAACAGAACCCACAAAACGTTTTGGCCTCGGTTCACGTCGGGGAGAAGCAGGATGTAAAGAGTCCTGACGGTAAATTTGCTGTGTGTCCTGTCGCAGGTTGGGATGCTCCAGGTGTGGTTTCACATGTCCGAGGGACCAGGCTGACTATAGATACCGCCTCTCACTGAGGGTCATCCGGAACAAATGCATATTCGGTGTAACAGTGTTTGGGAAAAGTTTGAACCCATTTTTCGGTATCCACGCCACTGGACTGCAGAGGTAAATTCCCCACACTGTGGATTAGTTCATGTATTACAGTTAATGATCAAATATCCTTAAGTTTTTAGTCAGCCAACAGGGAAGTGTAGATTCTTTCCCCCTAAAATGATTACATTGTGTTTTTATGGGCTCCCTGGTAAAGAGGATCACAAAGAGGGAAACTGGTTGATGGATTATGTTTTTAGCTGGGGTCCAGCGTCACTACAATGTCCTCCGCATTTTGAATATTTTCCTGCAATTTTGTAGGTTGGTGGAAAACGTTAACGGATCAAGATTTTCATTGTTGGTGAAGGCGGTTGAGGACTGTTTCATTGGAAGGCATTTCATCTTTGGCATTAAGGTACTAAACGTCTCATTGGATGTCTCATTGGGGTTTACAGTCACAGATTGTAATTACTTGTAGTCGATCTCTGACTTAAAAAAATAAATAGGACAGGTCACAAATATGAGTTGGCTTTAGAGTTTTGACTCTGTTTTCTAATCTGTGTCCTTCAGTTAAGTGCAACAGAAACTGGACCTTGGTCTGGAAGATCTTCCTCAGATGGCTCCAGCAGTAGAGATGCAGCCCAGTTTGTTGCCAGTCAAATGATTCTTCCCAAAGACTGGGGCCTGACGGGCTGCACGGTGCTTAGGTATTATCAGAGCCTGTGTCAAAAAGCTACAGAATATGAAGCTGCGTCTGATGACCCCAGCAAGTCTTTCAGACTACCAACGCCAACCCTGCTGTTGATGCCAGATAGTTTTCCAACCAGAAGCTTTAGTCATTCTCCTCTGCATTTCCCTGGTCTTATTTCCCAGTCACTGTTAAGGTAAACAAATTTGATGTGTTTTTGTGTGTTTTTTTCCACTGTCCAGTTCCTAGTGCAGGATTTCGCAATCAACCCACCCACATTTTTTCGTAACTGTTGTGACATTGTTTGAATTTGCATCCCAGATCGGAAAGCCAAGACCAAACGCTCACTCCCACACATCCATGGCGACAATCACTGGGACTCGTGACATCATCGGCAGAGCAGGAGGAAGGCTGCAGCCTTCAGAATAGTGGAGATGAGAACTGCAGAAAGGGAAACAGCACAACACCACATCCGGCACCGAGAGGCTGCCTGGAGAGGCGTGACAGAGCAGGGGGGACAACTCCACCCCCCCCACTGGAGCACAGTTTATATAACAGTCCATCATTTGCCACCAGCCCGGTTGCATCGGTTGCTGGAAATGGCGTCTGTGAAACCTGGTGTAGTTCTTCTCAGTCTGGCCACAAATGTGACAGCCTCACGCCGAAAGAATCCTCTGCCCGGCGACAGCCCAGGACACCGCTATCATGCTCGTTGGCTTGGGAAGATTTTCCTTTCTCGGAGAGTCTTACAGAATTTCTTTGTGAAGCGGATAAATGTGTTGATGTTGCTGGTGAGACGATACAGAATCTGAATGCACAGTGTTGTGACCGAATAACGCGACCAAAGCCAGAAATCCCAGAACTGGCCGGTGGATCAGCCTCTGCTGGTCAGAGGAATCCACAGGTAAAAGGGAGCCCTACACAGATACTACAGGATGTCACAAATGCACCCACACCAGAGGGAGGTGATGGGCAGGATTTATCAGAACAGATATGTAAAAGTCCTGTGAAATGCAAGAACAGGCGTGAAACTAAATCCATTTATTCAAATGAGTGTCAACGGGAGAATGACGAGGCCCATCTCTCTCTGCTGGAGGAGGAGAGTTACAACTGTTCTGCTGACTTGTTTGATAGCTCGCCCTTAAAAAGTATGAACATGGAAACTATCAGCAAAGAGGCTGAGAATGTGAGGACAGCCCCCGATGCTTGTACTTACTCTTCCAAAAGCGGCCAGCAGCACCCGCTCAATAAGGCTGAAATCACACCGTTTACGCCACGAGAAATTAAAGAGTTAGACTTTGTCCCTCCTTCTCAGTCCACCCCGGTTGTGAACCGGTCACATCGCTCTGGCCGCACGCCGTGCAGCCGCAGGCTGACTTCAGAAGGAAGGCGCCGGAGACCAGCCACGCACAGACGCCATCTTCAGCAGCGCAGGCTGCAGAGGACAGCTCTGGACTCTGAGCCGGTCAGAAGCTGCCGCGGCGACGGGACCGACGACGAAGGAGTGGTCGCCCCGACTCCTGATGGAAACGCACAGTTGCTCAGAAAGAGGCGGCGGACTCACAACAGCAGCAGGGACACAAGCTCCAAATGGAAGCCAGAGGGAGAAGGAGTTGGTTCCTTAAATCAAACTCTCTCGTGGCTCGGGAGTCTGCCACAGACAGGAAGTAATGGGAGACGGGCGGCATTTGAGGGGAGTCTGGATGGATCTACTAACCACCCCCTGGATGATGAAAACCAGGCGTGTGATTGGTCGAGAGATCTGTTTTCTGACTCCGTTTAATGTATTTGTTTATGTTTTTTTAAGTATTGGTGCTTTATTACATGCTCATCAGACAGTACAGTTAGAAAAGGCTGCTTGACATCTTTTTCTGCAATTTGGACTCATCTGGCACTTATAAATCTTTGACATAACTACCTCATTAACATGATTTGTCTGTTTACCCTGAACTGAAGGAGAAGGTAATTAGCTTCACCACTATGGGAGATAATTCTGCAAAAATGCTTTAAGGTCTTTTAAACAAGAAACAGCTGCTAAGGCTGAAAATGCAGTTCCTAACCATAAGAGTTTAGATGAGCAAATGCTTGAAGAGAAGCATATTCAAAGACAAATGCTCCTATGATTAGACCTTAGAGTTGTCCAATGTCAACTGAATCTTTTTCTTTCTTTTCCGTCCGTGCGCCGTCCGGAATCGTACATTAAATCCACCATGTGGATTTGATTGCAGAGCTTTTTATCTGGTGTTTGAAGCATGGCCAACAGTGTCGCCAAAAAATGTAACAACAATTTAACATAACAAACAGCCAAGGCATTATTAACTTCCTGAACCAGTTCATCCACCAAAGCGGCAGGAAATTCTTGCTTACCACGACTGTAATAAAACAAAAAGATGGACCAAAAAGGTCTCTTTTTTTTTTTTCAAAGGTTTAATCCGTGTATCAGTCGCCGTAGGATATCTTTAGAATATTTTTCAGTGGAAACATTGTCTTTTTATTGGGAGGTTTAATGTATGGTTTTTAAAAGGCAAACAAACAAACCACTCGGAGCAGCTTTAAAAGCCGGCCTGTGAAAGGCTTATTCTCAATCAGTCTGATCTCCCTTAGGAAATGCTAAGGAAACAAGCATTTCCCACAAGTCGTTATGAAGTCATTAGGCCGTTGCCCTCATCCTGTGGAGTGAGCTCTAACTGAGCATGCATTAATTCCATTACAAAACATATACCAAGTCACTAATCTGCAGGGTTTGTTATCTGACTGGCGTTCCGGAGACTCGAAGTGGACTAAGCTGGAAGTAGACCTCTGCTGTGACCACCACTGGAGTGAAAATAACCAAACGCACTGGGCGGAGGGTCAGAGAAAAAATACTGGTTAACATGATGGAGTAGCTTCAGCTTGAACAACCAATTCCTTGAGCCCTGAACACCCCCCTCGCTGACATGAGTGATGCTGCTCCCTGGCACTGCTTTTGGCAGCCGCGGGAGTCCTTAAGCAAAGCGGGTGCCAGTGCGTGGGTTTTGGTGGGGTCATCTATCTAGGCATGAGTGTGGACAATGTCATGCCAAAGCGCTAAGAATATCAGCAGTGACGGCCATGGTCTGGATATTCCAGTTGGAGAGACAGCAAGGTGAAGATGGAGTTACATAGAGGTGTAAAATAGGAAACTGGACATCTAGTACACAGCTGGAGCTGTACTGTATGTGGTCAGATGGGTATGGCATGATTATGTGTGTTAAGTCATAGGTCAAGAATATTTTCTTCGAGTGCAGATCCAGAAAGAGAAAACTCTCTTCAGTGTGAATGGGCATGTTGTTCTGACTGTGACCTCAGACCCACATATCTCCCGTTATTGAGTAAAGCTGGGTTCAGTTTTCACAGACATCCTTAGATCCTTAAAGGATTAAGACTCCTGACTAAAAGTCGCCCAGTTTTTCCCTTTGTGCGCCAAAGTTGATGACTTTGCATTAGTTGTCTGTCCCATGTTACAAAGTTATAGTCATATTGACTGATGTCATCCAATGCTTCCTGCTTTAGTTCTTTCTCAGTTTGTCAGAGGCTTTGTTCATATGTGTGTTAACAGTCTACGGCCATCAGATATTCAAAACTCTAACTATTCACGTGCTTCATGTGGTTTCGATTGCCGTTTCTCTACCATTAAGTGAGAGAGTTATTCAAAGTATCATAAGCGTTCCATGTCTGAGATGAAAAGAGAAAAAGGATAAAACCAAGCAGGATGAGAGAAGGCTAGTGGTTTGTTGTTGCAAAGTGGCTGAATTGATTGATCTCAGTTTATATAAGGCTCTTAATGTGTTTTTCTCTAATGATGCTTCTTTAAAACAATTATCTTCCATCCCACAGCCACTCGGGTCAGGTCCACCAGCAGTGCTGGTGTGTGTGGAGGTGTGGAGTTCAAATATTAAGTAACAAGTAGGTTTAAGTTCATCACTGCATGCAGGTTCTGCTCAGCTAAGATACACAATTTACGACAAACCTGTTAACAGAAAAAAAATGAAAATATTGCGGACAAATTGCACTATAAGAAATCATTTTCTGCATGAGTGGCTTTTTAAAGAACCCTTTCAGGGTGAGATGGTAGCCGTGTTCTGGATGTGCTTTGGCCACTGTTTGGTGATCGTGTGTGTCCTTTTTTTTAAATGCTGATGACACTAAATCTTATGTGCTGGCAGGGGGAGACGTTCAGAACTCCACATTCTCCATCTTACGTCGCACCTTTTGTAACAATCCTTTTTTTTTTTCAGGGATAAAAAACTGAGGCACAAAACCTTAAACTCATAAGGAGTGTAAAACGATATCCACCTAACCAATGTTTACTTCTGGTAACTGGAGCACTTGATTGTGCAGGTTTTATGGGTATAATCCCTGAACGTGGATTGTTTCCAGAAGCTGGCGCGGGATGTGTGACACGCTCTATCCTGCATGCAGCTGGTACAGTACGTGAGCTATGTCACCACGTATCCAGTGAATGGAAACACTCGAGACCATTATGCATCCAGCTTACATGTCGTACCCTGTGAGAGAGACTCTGGTACTACAGTTTTTAGATCCTTACCCTGGCTTCCAGTTAAATATAGAATCCACGCTAGGGCCAAACTCGTGATCTGTAAGGCTCTCAATGGTCTTGGCCAGTCATAAACAAGCTTGATGAGATCTTGGATATGCAACGACCGGTCGGCTTATTGTGGCCAGAGTTCACACTGAACACGGTGGCTATGTGGAATGTCTCAAGTGGGTACCCACTGCCGGAATGAGCCTCAACTGGAACTATAAAAAAAACACAACAAAAACTGTCAATTTTATTTAGTATGTCAAACAGTTCCCTTATTTTGTACCATATGATTTCCACCTTTCTAAACATTTATTTGAATGCATAATGTCCATCTCAATAACATAATGACTCACAATAGATTTGAAGTTTCTTATCACTGCTTTATGTGTATAACATGTAAATGTATACTTGTATAGCATGTACATTTACACTAATTTTCAAAAAATTTTTGTTAGCAACATATTTGCTTGAATTGTGACCTGATCTACCTATTAACTGCAAAGCAAAGAGCATTAAAGGCGAGCTGGAGCGGACAATACAGTGTGCACCAGCAGGACTTGGACTTTGTTCCTGTTAACCTTTCTTTCAAAAGCGAGTTCTGAAAGCGAATTCATAAAAACTTAAAGCTATAACATGGGTTATGCATTTGAATAGGCAGTACAAAACTAGTACACCAGTATTGCAATCTTCTCAAGTGGATAAACCCCTACATCTAATTTTAGACGGTAAAATCGGTAACGATTTATTGGGCCGTAAAATCCACATAATATGCACAGCAGACATACTTGGTACATATTTTGATATATGCGATTCTGCTGCCTTGTAAGCTATTTATTACTCCCCTCGAGGTTCATTTTAGTCTGGCCACAATGCGAGGCAGAGTATTGCAGTAGTATTTCCATTGCACAGTTGTCGGGGAAAATGTCCCCCTGCCCTGCGGATGGCAAGAGGCGTGGCTGTAACATTAGAGCGCAGTGGAGATTAAAAGGCGTGACAGGCACGTGGTTCCTAGGGTGGAGAAATGTCTTAGTATGGAGTTGTCAACAAAACGTCAGCTGAGGGAAACCGGCTGCGGACGGCGGAGAAGGCTTCACTCTGTAGAAGTAGAGCTGATAGAGATGTTTGTGGGACCTGCACACTTTAACACGGCAGAAGAAGACAGTAGAGGATCCCAGTGAATGCTTTGACAAAAGATATATTTAGTTTAGATATCCTCATTTCATTATCAATATTTCTTTACATAACTATGCTTTGTGGGAAATTCAGCTTTTTTTGACAATTTGTTCTTTATTTATCATTTAACTCTTGTTTGATTAGGGAAAGAAGAACTGTGGGTCTGAAAATAAATCTATGGCAAAAGTATCCTGACCAACATCGGCAGCAGCTGAGTCAGCATAAATGAAACAAAAGAACAATGCTCAATGTATACTTTGCATTTTACAGGTAAACTTCTCCTCTGGTTGCGGTTCAGACGTTCTACCTCATGCTTCACAGGTCAAGCTATGGCACTGACCTCTGACCTCCCATAGCATGTATGAAATCACATTTCCACTCTCCAGAACTAAAAGGCCTTTCTGGCCTCTGCATATTTTTTTGGTTTCCTAGCAGTTTTCTTCTGTTTGTTGTAGTTCTGTGCTCTCCTGGTGGTTCTCTGTGAGCCGGTGTCAGTCCCCCTCCATGAGAGGTAATGGAGATTCTGACGTCAGGGGGCAGCGCTCCTTATAAGCACCTGACCCTCCACGTCATGCCACGCTCCCAATATGAAAAGCGTGTGATTGTTTTCCGAATGGGACTGCTTGCACAGATAGTAAACCGGGTCTATATATCGTGGATGGGGGTCTTTTCTTCATTCAACTGAGAGCAGACGGAGTGTTTGCAGCTCCTCTCCACATCTAACATGGAGGTAAGACTCTTTGTATTATTTTTTTCTTGTTCAGATAGTCAGTAATGATCGCATTATATACCAATTATATGATGTGAAAAGAGAAGAAGTTTGCAGATTGCCTTTGTCATTCATTTGGCTTTCAGCTGGTTGCTAATAAGTTTTATATATACATATATATCAGTCATATCTACTAAATGTTTCTATTTACTTGAAGTTTAAATGCATGTCTGCATGATTTAAATACGTAGTAGCATAGAACAATTTAGTTTTTCATAATGATTAGGACTTTTACTTTAAACAATTTGAAACAATTCTCTATGTTAGATATATGATGATAGCATGTTGTATATTGATTTTTTTTTTTAGTAGATACATACCAATGGTACAATCCACCCTTCTGTTGCATTGTGTAAATCTTTGGAAACTGTGAAGAGGATTTCTGTGTCTGAGCTGTCTAAGCAAAACAGTTTTCAGCTTCATTTATGACAATAATACAGTACAGCAACAGAACGGCTCTTTTTGGGTGTCTTTTCTCCTTGATCTATTCTACTGTTTCGCCTCTGAAAGGTCTTCACTGTAGGCAAAACATGGTTACAATAGTGTCATGCTGTGAAATATCAAAACATTGCTAATGCTTTATTTAAAGGGCTGTGCATAATACTGACATGAGACTGTCATAAACATGACATAGCTCTTGTCATGAATCAATGGAGCCTTCAGAGAATTTACTCATGTCATGGGGACTATTGTTCCTCTGAACTATGCTCAACTGCAGGACCAGCTGTTTTTGCTTCCCAAAGAAATGTATCTCAACAAAGAACTATCATTGATGAATTTGGGCAACATAAAAGAAACAGCCCACTGAATCTTTTTTGTGGCTGTTTTTATATAAATCTGTGAGTGTACATAGGAGCTCAATGGGGAGTGTTTTTGAAAGTGCTATTGATCTGGTTTCCCAGATTGTTCTGCTTTGCTCCCTTAGACTTGAACATGTAAAACTGAATCTCTTATGCTGTGGCAAGAGAACATGAGGGATTTCTGTTTGGTCGTATCCTCCAGGTGGAATCCTGTGCAGTGGAAGTGTGCCGCCATGCAGCCTCGCTGCTGGCCCGTCTGAGACTTCAGCGCAAACAAGCCCACTTCTGTGACTGTGTGCTCCGACATGAGCAGAACTCAGGTCTGCTCTACCCTGCTCACAGGTGAGGGTCACAAACTGATGACCTGGATTAGAGATATTTGCACGTTGCAAGCTTCAATGATGTGGATGATTTAATGCCTTACTGAGACGTGTGGGTCTTTTCTCTACCAGGTGCATTCTGGCAGCCTCCAGTCCTGTGTTGGCGTCTCTCCTATCCTCTAGTGGTGCCTTGGTAGAACTGCAGGAGTCATGGCTCTCTGACTCAGTGTTAGCGCCTCTTTTGGACTACATTTACACCGGGACTTTGCCACACACTCTCAACCAGGGGCAATATTGCAGACTGCTCACTGCTGCCGGCCACCTGCAGATGAATGAACTGCAGGAATCTCTGAGAGAAGCTTGGAGACAGACTGAGATGAAGGCCGCAGATGACGTCAGTGCTTCCAATTTGAAGGCCTCTGGTGACCCTCCATCATCACCCAGCACAAATTCTTTTGAAGAATCAAGTAAACCTTCTTCATCTGAAGTGAAAATGTTTGATGAAGCACATAAGAACTCGGCAAGTATGGATTCCAGCAGAGACTTTAGACAAATGACACAGCAGAATTCTGTGCAAAGTTCCCCTCTCACCGATGGAGTGCGTGAAGTTTCTGGAGATAATAAAGAGGTGCTTGAGGACCAGTTCCATTCATCTGGTTTAATGAGACCAGAGGCCTGGCAGAGGTACACAGGGGAAGAGCTGTTGGTAACGTGTGAGGACAGAGGGAGCTCATCCTCCTTGTCACATCCGTGCTGTGGGGCAGTGCCTGTCATCTGTCACGGCAGCAGAGCCACTGCCTGCCAGCTACCAGAGGTCTGCTCTGTGCTTCCTCGCCTACCAGCATTCCAGTCCTCCATCAGCTCCGGCATAGTGCCAGACACAAATTCAGCCTCGTCAGAAAGTATTACCCCCAGTCACAACAATCTGGTTGGACCACATTATCAGGACTCCGACCAAAATGAAATGCATATTGTGTGTGATCCTCCTCCTGTGTTGAATCTTGGCTACAAAAGAAGACACCACCTGACGGATCAGTTTGTGATAAGTCACAGTAAGAATTTGGCTCACCTCCCAGTTCAAAATCATCAGCCTGCCCACTGTGATTATTTTCAGCCTAAAACAAAACCTCTTGTGGAGGATTTGGTGCCGCCCAATAAGGACTGGAGCTCCGATGGTGTTCATTCCAAACACCAACAATTGAGCTGTTTTGAAATCAGCCATGTCTCCACGGCAACTTCAAAAGAGGAAGAATCACAAGACTGGGAATCTGATGTTTCACTTCCTACTGAGGACTCAGACACGGGAAACGACTCACTTTGTGAAGACTTGTGTATCGAGATGAAAGTGAAAGAAGAACATGGTTACTCCTTCACCACTGACATGAATGTGCACAGCAGAAGCTATGGGGATAAGCTGAATAGATGCCTAAACATGTATACGGCAGAAAAAAGCAGAACAGATGCAGCCTCTGGTCAGCATGAGTTTGATCCAAATATTAGATATACAGCGATGCAGCACAGAGGACAGAGAATGGATTTGTGTCTGCCACTTACCACGCCACTGGAATCAGGTTTGGACATCCCTGAGAGCATCACATTTCTGGAGCCGAAACAAATCTTGGGCACTAAAACCGTTGCAACACCCATGGACACAAGAACATCTGACACAGCAACTAGTACCAAAGTTGAGCCGTACGATGAACATCCTCATTCTCACTGCCAAACACAGGAGGAAACACAGTTTTCACACAGATACTCTCAGCATGCTAACTCCCATCACTCACTCGAGCTGAATGGTGGGAGTTACCAGGCTGGTTCCTTTAGCATTCCATGTCAGAGTTCCCCAAAGCCGTACTCTTTTACGGAGATTCCAGACCTGGTGGATACTGTCGCTCAAAGCCCCGGGCTGGCTGTGCCCTGCCAACACAGATCTGACACAGAGGAGAAAGGAGTCGGTAAAAGAGACAGAACTGAGGCTTTAATTGGGGTCCCTGATAAAGCCCATAGCAGTAAAGTCAGAAAAGGGACTACATTTGACTCTGAGTGTTTTGATGAGACTAATGGGAAGATGAATGTTGAGGAAAGAAAATTTGTAGGGAAAGACCGCAGCAGGCGAGGAGGGCAGGTCCCCCAAAAAGCCAGGTTCATGGAGGCCCCCCCCCTGGCCACAGGTGAGAACGCAGTCAGCACCCGCCCAGTCCGTCCGGCTCAGAGGGTGCCGGCCTCTGCACAGGCCTCCATGTGCATACCCTCCACCATTTCAGCCAACAGGCCCGCACATGTGCCGTCCCCTCCTGCCCAGCCCTTCCAGTGCTCTCTGTGCGAGCGCTCCTTCAGCCAGCGAGGCTCTCTGAACAGACATGTGCGGAGCCATCTTGGCGTACGGCCCTTCTCCTGTCCCTGCTGCCCCATGACCTTCTCACGCCAGTACCGTGTCACCGAGCACATGCGCGTTCACCAGCGCTGTGCTCTCGGGAATGACTTTCACAAGTCTGCAGACTCTTCCATCAGAGACAATAAGCACAACTGAGGATTTTTTATCTGAATATATTTCAACAGTGCAGCAGTGAATCTTATTCGAGGATGCAACCCCTCCAGTCCACCAGTGCCTCAGCTCTAGAGAATTTGTATTAATCTTTTACTTGGTTTGCTTTTTTAAAATTTTTAAATAAAGATAAAGTTTGGTTTTTATTTCCTCTGAATGCCGCAGATGATGTCAGTGCTTCCGATGTGGTACGAGACTTATCAGCCATGTAAACCAAACACTTCTGTCCAGCTGAATTTTTTTAAAGCTAAAAACTACAGGACTTTAAAAGTATGTGTGACTTTTAGATATTTGAATTCACATCCTGTTATCTGTGGCCAACCGACTTATTAAATCAGATTGAAACAAGATGTATTTTGTTGAACTTTTTCATGTTATTTTGTTGTGTTTCAGACCAGTACAATTGGAGATTTTGTGGCTTTGTCATATTTTTGGGGACATTTCTGACCCCATTCTTTGGTTGATGTTACCACTGGAACTAAAAAACAACACTAAGCGATATCATGTTGTTGTCAGAAATCTGCATTTCCTTGTTTTGTCACATTTAAATCTATTTTCTTCCTATGATTTAGACTTGTTTGTTGTATTTAAATGTTGTGACTCCATTCCATTCATAAGTGTAGCATACCAGCATTCAGTTGTTTCCATCTTACATTAAAGTTTACGCTGTGTTTTTACTGAAATGGGGAATGACGGTACAGGCTGATGGTTCCTTCCACACTTGGACATGTGCTTGAGGCCGGTACACAGTGTGTCGCTGCTGATGTTGTGCTTTGAAACATGAGAAGTTATGTGAATGTTCCATCTTATCTATGCCAGACTTCCTCCACGAGGTTTATGTTACATCTGACCGATGATTGTTAAAGTTGCTAATATCACTTATTCATATTTTTAAGCTTCAGATTGAATCAAAATCACATGAAATGTCTCAAATTTAGCATGTTTCTGTTCCCATAATTTCTACAGGAAATGTTAGTAAACCAGAAGTACTTTAAGAAATGAAGTGACAGTCACAAATAAACAGAAAGGATTTTATTACATAAATTGTGGTTGCAGTCCTCTAAGTTTATCAGATCGCTCAGATATAGAGATTTCAATTATCATGCTAATATTCATTTATAGGTTAACAAACAACTGTTAGTAAATGGCCTACACAAAAATGATGTATCCAACAATCAAAACAATTGTGTTTTATAAACCTCTTGTTTGGTATTTACTTGGCACATACATATAGAAATTATAGCTCAACGTTTCCTTCAATTTATTTGGCTGGATGTACTGCAAACATTGTGAAAAGGTTGGCTCAGACCAAACTGCCCCATGACAGTTAACAGCCACTGCTGTAGGGAAATTAGGCAAGTGCAGTACTAACACGGTGGTGGAACAGAGTAATAACAGAATCCAGAATCACCACAAGACCACCAACATCCCAGAAAAAAGTGATTCATATTTTGAAATCAAGTATGACTGGATCCCCAGCTAAGTGAGATACAAATATCTTTGAATACATTTCAGCATTACACATCAGGTCTTCCTCTGCCACGTCTTATTCATCAGGTGGTTCAGTTGGTGTTGTGGTCATCACTACAACAGCCTATAGGGAGGAAGCAGGAGAGCGTGAGCGAAGTGGCCCACATGTTGCAACTTTTTTCAAACTTGGCAAACGTCTTGCAAATGATGCAAGACGGCCTTTAAGTGGAACATGCACGCTTGATGACGAGTCTTATTACCTGACTTTTTGTGGAACGCAGGGCAGCCCCAGCAAACACTGACATTACAATGAAAATGATGCCACCAACGCAGCTGTGGAACAAAAACACTGCTTCCATAGATAGCCCCATAGCCTGAAGAAAAACAAGCAGTGTGCACTCAAAAAGCTGTTCAATCAATCAGGCAATCAATCAATCAATCTCTATAAAACACTGTTTATACACATAAGCTGCATCACAGTGCTTTACCGAAATTTTTAAAAATATAATAAATTAAATCCCATGCCCCCCCATCCAATTCCCAAATGCACATGAACATGAGTGTACCATTCATACACAGAACCTAAGGAAAGGTATCAATTACCTCAAAATATGAAGCCCATAGCATTTCAGTGTCTGTGACGTTGTCGTCATAAATGTTGAGTTGTCGGTGGAAGTGGAGGCTGGGCGGGACGTGAAGAAGTGTCCAACAGATAACCAGTATGGACACGATGCTCAGAGCTAACGATATGGTTACCTGCACGCAGACACCAGCAGAGATAAAAAGGGACAATCCAGCACAGTGACAGAATGGACAGCCCTGCACACAAACACCCAATAAAGCTAAGAAAGACTCCTCAATATCACAAGAATCAATGTCTTTAAATATAGTCGTGTATTCTGGCTAACCATCATTTGACATTTATCATTTAAGAAAAAATATCATGCATGGATCTTTTAGAAACGTTTTCATTCCCAGGGCTGTCTATGTTTCTATTCATATTTAAAAAATTTAAAAAAATAGTCGTAAAACTTACTGTCTTCTTGGTGGGGTTTACCTCAGTCAGGATATACAGAATCCCACTTATGACGAACTATGTGATGATGAGGGGAAAACAAATGCTTCAGTTGCAAGTCTATTAAATGTTTTGAGTTACTAAGAGAATGAGTCTTAAAAGGTAAACAAGCATCCACCAACATGCTTTCCTGTGGTGACAGTTTTCATAGGATGATTAGAGTAACTGGGTTTGTCCATCACATGAAATTCAAGAGCAAAATGCTATCAATACTTTACTCAAGAAACTTTAGCCAACTGGTTGCCACAGATAAATATGTTGCATCATCTTGATGAGCTACCCACCAGTGTTCCCAGTAAGAACCCTGGTGGGATGGCTGCCCATAAGGTGTGATAAGATTGCCCTGTTGTGACAGCGATGGAAAAGATGAAGAAGGACACCCCCATGATCAGCACAACAGTCTAGGAGCAAATAAAAACAAACTGTGAGCCCATCAGACATACTTCCTCCTGGTATTGAATCATTTGTGCATCCGTGTGTGTGTGTGTGTGTGTGCTTATGTCTCACTCCCATAATCTTGGGTTGCCCCTTCAGGAAGCGGTGTAAAGGTTTGGTGCCTCCTAATGTGGTACCTTGAAGACTTCCATTATTCCCTCTCTGTTCACTCGAAGTGTAGAGCTCAGCAGACATCTGAAGGAGCGTCAGACACATTTTACACAGTTATTGCCTAATATTGTGAAAGTCCTCGTCATTCCACCAGAACAGCCTTGACTAATCAGAGTGTGGACAAAAAAAAAAAAAAAAAAAAAAGGTCACAACATCTGTAGGTGTCCTGGACAGAGAGGACATTAGCAATGCATTATTTGGCATCTTGGCTTGTAGGGGAAGTCTTTAGAAGGAAAAATATACGTAGTCCTCTTTTTGATATTTTCCTCTCAGCCCTTGCTTAAGGGTTTTAGGAGGCCCCACTTCTGTTGCCATGTTATCAATGCAACACCCAGAATGCCAAGGTGTGGGGTTTTCCAGGAGAGCCCTGAACGTGAAAAACCCTCACCTGTCCAGGGTTTGAATGCTTTGGTCACTGTAAAACCGACATACGTTTCATTTTCCATGCAGAAGGCATTATCACAGTGTTTTAGTTGCACACAGCAGTGGGGTTTTACAACACAGTGGACGTTAAATCCAATACAAAGTGCTGTCACCTCAAAAGCCTCCATCTGTATTAAAGTACACTTGTTTATTTGACTGAACCGGGAAAACAATTCCCAGATTTAAAGGGGAATGCCAAACCTATGTCAGTAAGATAACAGAGAGACTTCAACAAAGGTAAAACAGCTGTAGTGCGGCCACAGAGAGGCTCGCAGTGAGGGGGCTTTACGGTTTGGAGTTTGTTTGCTTTTCGCTTTGCTTAACGGTCAAATGGTCAAACAAATGCAAACAAAGAGTCCGGATTTCAGCCTGTTTAAAGCTACAATGAGTCAACCCCCCGCTTTTCGGCTCGAACGGCGTCAGACCCAGTCGGCCACAGAGAAAACACCAAACCTTTCCCCTCAAAGCAGAAGTCTGCCTTTTTCTCCCTCCGCCGAAAACGCGAACACGAAACCGCATCTCGTGAGAGCAAAGTAGTTCGTGGTGCGCTGAGACAAAGTTAACCAGCCAGAGCAACACAACACAGCGACACAAAAACAGCGACGTGGAGCAAAGAGAAGACAAGATAAAAGCCAGACCTTGCGGGTTGTGTGGTCGGAGCTGCAGAGTTGGGGCTGTTGTTGCACATCAGGCGCACATCTGGAGCAGCGTCACCGCGGTGGGCGGACGGTCTCATTCACTCAGACACTTTTCACCCTGTGGGCAAAGCCAGTGGGGTTCAAGGTGTCCTTATTCCGCCCAGAAACGTGGGAACAAATCATTCGAGTCGTTTTTAATGTGAAGGGCAGCATTTAAAAACGCAAAACTCTTTTTATTTTAACTGTTAGCACGGGCTTAATGGGGACAGGGTTGGGCTTTAGTCCTGACCACAGGTCACTGCCTTGCTCCTATCCAAACTGTACTTGCTTGGTAATGATTAAGATCTTAAAAGAAAATGTTTCGTGGCATTAAATAATTTTGATACCATCCCCGTCTGTTTGACTGGGAAAACAACAATTAACACACAGAAAGCATGTTCACACATCTGGGACTTTCTTACATCTGGCCTGTGACCATATATCACATGAATTCAGAAATGTAATAATTTCCCCATTAACAGTAACATGTTTAAAATGCCTTAAACCATAGTGATTGGAGGCAGTACACTATTCTTTTTTCAACAGAGCTCTCTAATTTAAATAGTTTCAAGAGGAAAATAATCTGTGTGCAACAACAAAAAAAAGAATATTCTACCAATTGAAAACATAAGAGAGATGAAGAGCACAGCTGTGCTGTGAGTGACAGGAGAGGGGGAGTATGCAGCAGGGCTAGACTGAAGAACCATATGGAATGTAATTAAAACTATTGCATGAGTGTAAATCAAGGAGACACATTTCCTGTTTTTCCTAAAGACACACAGCTGTGTATTTAATGGAAATTCTAAGATACAGACGAAAGTGTGATAAAGTAAAAGTAATTAAAAGTGAGGAAAGGAAGCAGATAAGCAGAAAAGAGAGATTTAATCAGCATGGGATTATCTCTTATTGAAAAAAGACATTTTTAGAAATTATAAAACATGTTTTTCATTAGACTCAAGAGGGAAAACGCCTCACTGTCATACAGACCACACACCATTATAAAGAAAAAACATTTCAGAAAGGATTGATTGAGGATTTTACTTTTATTTTCCTTCAGCAAAGTCTCTAGGGTTATGGAGTGAAAGCCCTAAATAAAAAATCTTTGCAGACTCAAACAAAAAAAAGCAACACACATTTAAAAATCAGCTTTGAGTTTATTGCAAAATGTTTATTTCATTGGCTGGAGAACATTATTAACATTAGCTTGCACTGCACGCTGCTTAGTAGACTGCCACTTAGTGCCAACACAAACAAGTTTTACATGAAAGCAAATGCAAAAATAATAGAGAAAGACTGAAAACTAGTCAAGAGCTGTAACTCCTCTTTCACAGAAAGAATTAGGTGATAATTATAAAATAACAAACTCTGAAAACAGTAATTTGATACTTTGTAACCACTCAGCTTATTTTTTATTTCCTCTTTCAAGAGCAGAGCACCCAACCCTTAACATTGCACAAACGCGTCCTTTCAAACGGGTCCAGAGGCATGAGAATGCAAACACATTTGAATTCCTTTGAAAGCTTGATCACTTTTTCCACTTTTCCTTCAAGCAAATCAATCATAATAAAAAACTGAACGTGCAGCGACCAATCCTTTGTTTAAAGACCACATGACAGAATGATAGACTCACCATCTAATCATCTGAGGGGTTTTGGACGTAATCTGGCCTCGCTTACTATGGCGCACACCAGTACATTTGTTAAAGGAAGGAGACATGAAATGAGGAAAGAGGCCATGAAACCATTTCCGTTAAATTCTGCATGTTGTGCTATTGGTTTAGTGGTCACATAATGAAAATGGCACAGCGAACAGTTTAAAAAAGACACTTACAGTTACCCACTAGATGGCTGCACATGCATTTGAATGAAGCACCAGTATTTCACACATCCAATTACATAAGCTTAATGTCACCTCATATGACCACAAACATTAACATTCTTGTTATTTACAGTGCCCCCCCCCCCCTCCCGCTTAATGTATACAAATACACAGAAGGATTCCATCGCGAATAATAAAATAAATAGTATACAGTAAGTCATTATTGATCAGTGGCTAAAAAGATATTTTAAAAAAGTAGCAAAAAATGTCTGTGATAAGACTTTTTCAAAGCCTCTATAGTTTTTCTCCATTATAGGACGGTTAAGTGCTGCACATAATGGTGTCCCGGTCTACGCAATACACGCATTAGATAAGCAAAACAAGTCATCTCAGTCTTATAAAAGCTTCTGAAAAAAATTGCATTGATGAGCATTAGTTCTTATTAGCATGGTTTCCTTATTACATACGCACTAAATCACTAAAGTCCATTTATTTTCACATTTAAAAACAAGGAAGTAACAAAGGCTAAGTTAATTCTACATTGTCCTGCATTTATCTGGAACATAGTCACTGAGCACTATAAAATGTGTCATGGCCATGTGTTTCACAGCAATCGGTCGAAAGACCACGCATATGTAGCTAGACCTGAAGACAAGTTTGGCACAGAGGATGCCTGGATACACTATCTAAAATAAAAAAAACTTCCTGCATTAATTATTTTTTGCATCACCTGGATAATTTTTGTTATGTAAAGTGAGGCTTCGACTGTATTCCGCTGCTAGGTGTTGACTGTGCTGTATACAGTCTGCACATCTTTACCGGGTGCAACTGTAGAAAAAAAACTATTAATTGCTTAGGTTAAGTGTAAATTATTCTTTGCACAAACATATCTAAAAATCAATACTACATCAGGCTTATCTGGGGTTGCATGTTGGTAATTAATGTTTTACGTATTATAAGTGAAACTGGTGTTTGATGATGGAGAGAAAAATGACCAGTTGAAGAAGTCTCTCACAGAGGTAAAGAGATATCATATTCCAGTGCAGTGCATTGTCAAAAGGATATCTTAGTAAGTGCATACGTTTGTTAGTCAGTGCACTTATAGATATGTGATATATGTTTAGGTGTCACCCTGTTGTAAGTCCACAAGTCTGCATTACACTTATGTCCACCAGGAGGAACAAAACCGCTCCAAAACTACTTCCTCATTTTTCTTTGTTTTTTCTAATCCGAAACGTTTTTTCCCTCATTACCATGACTCATATTTTGGTTTACAAGACTGCGTGTTCTCACTGCTGAATGAGAGCATGATGACTGACATTCTGTTACTCTGCATCAGTAGTAACAATTACACAACTAAAGTTTCAGAGCTACTTTTGTTTTACATGTCACAAAAAGCTTGAATGCTAATGCCCAACACAATTACTGACAAAATAATTCCTCCTGACAAGGCTGTCAGCTTCACGCTGAATGACTTTGACCATGTTCCAGCCGATGAGACAGACAAAAGCTGGTCTGTAGCAGTAGCTTGCAATGGGATTTTCAGCTGGTCTCCAGAGGCTGTGGGTTGTCTTTTTCCTGGTCCGAGTCATCAGGAAGCTGTTTATTCCAGTAACTGTCCTGGTCAAACTTATCAGAGGTGGGGAAGTCAGCTTCCTCATCTTGCATCAGCACAGGGAAGACATGGTCGACCATCTCACACAGGCGCCCGAAGCTTTGAGAGACATACAAATACTTTTAGAACTGACAGTGCAGAAAAAAGTCAGAGTGAACAGGTCCAGTTTGAGGCAACATTAAAGAAAATCCAACACTGGAGTGTGCTGCTTACGAGGAGATGTTGGTTTTGGCGTGCTCCTGGACCAGCTCCCCCTTGGGGTTTACAGTGAAAATCCTGTTCAGAGGAATACCCACCTCTTTATAGGAATACACGTCCTGAAATGAAAAATAAATCATCACAGAGGGAACATTACAAACAAAAAGATCTGCAATAGAATATATTATAATGCTATCATTAGAATCATCCCATTAAAATGAAATAAGTACTTGACACAAAACCACCACAGAGAATACATTAAGGCAACAGCATGATGTAGTAGTGTGTCTGCGAATGTGCTTAAAGTAACCTCACCGTAGCTCTGTTGCCAAAGGCAGCATAGAAAGGTTCAGTGTTAGGGAAGAAAAGGTTCTTGATGTCTGTGAGGCACTCGATTTTAAACTTCTCTGGTTTCTTTTCAATCACTTCCCTGCACACACAGCATATAAAACATTTTAAGCTTTTGACTGTTCAGTCCACATAGCAAATATTTGTGTATTTGAGAGAGACTGAGACAAGTGCAGTTAAGTAAAGCTCACAGATTTGTTAGGAAAAAATATTCATTGTACGATAACGGTACTGTGTGTGTACCGGAATGACACTGCTGAAAATACAAGAAAAGTTTTGTACAGTAGTGTGTGGCTGACCTGTGAAAGGCAGAAAAAAGACTGCTGGGGCTGAGCAGCACCGGACCCATTGGCAGCATGGTTCCCCTCTCATTGACCCAGTGCAGGTAGCCCCGTGTCATATCTGCCATACCGATGGCCCTCGCTGAGCAGTACATGAACTTATATCCATTCCTTTAACAGAGTAGTAAAATGCTAATGAATAAAAAAAAACAAATCCAATTTTTAAGATAACAATATATATATACATATATCTGCATGGGTTTTTCGGCCATTATGCTTTTATGGCCTCATTTGTAATGTAAAGCCATTTAAACCAAGCTGTGACAATGTGAGTGAAGGAGAGTAGGGCTGAGTGGGTACTAATGGAAAAGCCCCAGAAGTCTGTATGTAGTAAAAAGCCACACTCACAGGCTGACTCTGTGGTAGAGCCGTGCAATACCCTGGTGGGTCCAGTCTTTACCCAGAGTGGGGAGGATGTGGCCCAGGGTATCAGACCTGAAAAACGCACAACATCCCAGAATAATTGCAAATGTTACAGAAAGCGGCTTTCCCACGCATACATGGGCTCCCAAATATGTGGAAAGCCTGTCACCTAGTGGCAAAACGATGGAAATGGAGAGGCCATCTCTCACCTGGTGATTGTTCCATCTATGTCAGAGATAACTATCTTGTCATCCCAGTTCCAAAGATATATTGTGCCATGACAGCGACAGGTGCCTTGATACTGGGTGGTTACACTGAACACAACCTCGTTAGGGCCTTCTTTCAGCTGCAGGCTCACCTGCAACACACACACACACACACACAAATTGACTCAAAAGGGGAAACACAGCACTATAATATACATTTTTAGATATTTTCCATGCCCCAAATAAGTAAAATGTGGTCTATCATTTCAGAAAAGATTACACAAAGTACTGTCATAGTTCATTTCACCATTTGTTTTTGTAAACAATAACAATTTGATTTCTAAGGGCCATTTCCATTTTTGGGAACTGATGTGTCTCTTTAGCATGCCTCTGCTTCATCAGGTAGCTTAGAATTTTGGCAAATACAACTTTTTCGAGCAACCTGTCAATATTAATCAAGTGTAGTGTTTACCAGCTGATCTGAAGTGAGCCGGAGAGTTTTCTTATAACAGACACTGCCAGGGCTCAGAATGGGCTCTGACTGACAGGTTTCTAACTTCTGACTGGATGATCTGTGGTCCTCATCACTTGACGATGATTCATCCTTCATCCTGAAATTCCAAGACATTCAGCTCAAACAATGCAGCAATGAAATGATGAAACATCCCAATGAATGAAACAGTTCTTAATAACCTGTTGACTGAGGACATGGCGAGTGAGCTCTCTTCTCTGTCTCCATCTGCTTCTGTCACAGCCTCCTGAAGCGAACAAATCAAATCTAACTCAATCACCACATATAATAATCATGTTCAGGTAATAATAGAAAACGTTTCCTTTAATCTTTTTCTTTACTTTGACAGTTTAGATAATCCAGTTAGCACAAGAGAGGCTAAAGACAGACTCTAAGTGAACTGACCGACTTGGAGTCACTGTTCCTGCTTCTCCATGAGAACCACCAGCGCCCGCCTTTCTTTGGCATCTTCTCCTTCATGATGTTCTCCACTGACGCCTGGAAACAGTGATTCAAATACAACTCAAAACTGAGGGGAAATGAAAACTCAAAACCGACAAACACAAAAAGATCAACGGAAAAGGAACAAAATACAACAAACACCACTTTTACTTAATTCCAACAAAGCAGCCGTAAAAAAAAGGCAGCTCCGGGCAAAACACAGAAGCATGCAAACAAAAAGCAAAAAGTGCCAAAAAAAGCCTGCAAAGTGGACACTACTGAAGATTATGGTACACACCTGTGGGCTAAAAAGACCCATAGAGGCCACAATGATAAAAAAAAAACCTGTCAGGCGGGCAAACACATGCTGTGAACAACATTCAAGCAAAGCCAGAAAACATCATACAGGCTGAGAAGAACTGGAGCCAAACAGGCCGGGGAGGCAGTATGAGAAAAGGCCAAAAGCAGAAAACACATAACTCAAACACCAACACTTCATAAAAACAAAGGTGAATGGTGGATGAGTAAATGTTTAGAAACAAAAGGGGGAAAATAAAGAAGGGGATAGAGACACAACATTATTTTAGTGTTAGGACAACAGATTTAATGCAGCAATTCAAAGTTATTTAAGATTAACAGGAGGTCAAAATGCAATCAGCCTTTTCACTTAGGACAATAAAGAGATATCCAGTTATTTCAGCAACATATACTTTTGTTAATTTCCTAAATTTGAGTGGAAACATTGAACACGACAGCCAGAAATGAGTGTGAGTTAATGCAGGTGTCAGAATGTGGTTAATTCTTCCTGACACAAGAGGGGGTGTCTGCAAACAACAAGACTGAACCCACGTGAAGCATCAGATTCAGGAGGATTTAGTGAAAATGCTGAAGGTGCAGAGGAGAGGCATGATGACAGGGGGGCAAACAGTCCAAAACATACCAGTCATGAGTAGAACTTTAGACTTTGTAAATGATGCTGTGCAGCGTGTGCCACATGCATGTTATAGTTAGAAGTGACACATTCTTAGTCAACACAGATGTTAGATGACTATAGAATTCTAGGGACCTCAGTACATTTTACAGAGAAGATATTAATAAAACATTTACTGAGATGAAAAGATCTCATTATGCATGCACACAGAGGTGCACAGTGCATGTGGCTACACTATTATGTCCATTTTTATCTTGAAGACTCAAAATCATGTTGATTCATTGATTATGATGATACAGATTGTTAAGTGAGACAGGAAGGAAATGAGACTTCTGTGTTGGTCTCACCTGTGGGAGAGGTTTCTTATAGACCTGCATGGCCAACATGACGGGCGCAGCGGTGTTCCAGTTGTAATATCTGCCACAGACCACAGAGAAAGATAAAAGAATATCTTAAAACACTTCTGAGAGTTTTAATTCTAAAAGTGGAATAATTCCTTTTTGTTGAAGACTGTTGAAAGAATAGTTGCAGATTTTCTCGTCTGCAAGAGTTTTAAGTGCAAAGTCTTTCTTTAGATTTACAGCGCAAAGAGCAAACATTGTTCTCTAAACACAGTTATCACTTGACATCCTGTCTGGTATTGACTATGGAAACACATACTTGTTGCCTATCTTGACCACCAGGTTAGGGTCATCGATAATCGTAGGGTTTTCTGAGAATTCCTGGTAGGAAACAGCCCTCTCCAAGAACTCCTCTGTGGTACGAAACACACACAGCACATTAAGAACACACACACGATACACACAATATGATGAGATTCAGTTTTAAGTCAAATGCTGTCATTTATAACTGATGTGGTCATTTGTCAACAAACTTAAGTGAATGTTCTTGTCATCTTGAAACATCCTTCTTTAAAAGCTGCTATACTGTGCTTTCTGAGCATTATTGACTTCAAGCCTTCTTTTGTTTCAGTTCCATACACCCATCCTTCTGTGGACGCATCTTTCCTACCTTTTGTGATCTCCTTATTGTCTGTGAGTCCCCCACACAAAGAGATAGCCACATGAGGCAGGTCACCAATTTGGTCCAAAGTGTCCACGCCACTGTCCATCCCACTGCTGCCCACTGACTGTGGGGACTGGTCAGTGCTTCTCATTTCCAGCAACATCTCTGTGTCTCCCCTCATCGAGCTGATGCCTCCATCACTAAGAGAGGAAAACACACGGCTGTCTTAAAAATTCTGTTTTAGTCATTTTAGTGTAGTCAACAACTCTGCCCTAAAATGCTCTATTCTAAAACAGTAGCTAGAATAGCTTAAAATACCTAAAGTCACAAATGCACAACTGTGTTTACTTAAACAGAGTGAATCCATACAGAGCGTAACAGTGGTTCCATTTATCTTTGACACATTTAAGAGCCTACATTATGGCACTGCAGGGGGAGAATTCCTTCCTCTGCATTAAGTATGTATATCTGTGGATTGGAATGTAATTGTATTATTACTGTACCTCTTAGGGAAATAAAGAGCAGCAACTTCAGGCTCCAGCTCTGTGATGTCATCCAGATATATGCCATCAGTACCGAGGTGCTGGCTTCTCTTCTCTACAGAACACAGCATGGAACTTAATCAGCAGCACAAATAAAAGCTAAGACTGGCATTTTGGCACACACACACATTCTTTGAACAGTTAACAGAACACACACAATACCTTTTTTCTTGGATGGTGAATCCGTCCTTCTGATTGGACTTCCTCTGTGCTTGCCTTCATCCACGTGATCAGGCAAGATCCTTGGAGACACTGAACATACTGTTAAACCCTCCATTTCTGCACAAGATGGCCCCCCACTCTCTACGGCATTTCCTAAGGACAACACAAACAAGGAAATACGCAGGGGGATCAAAACACACTCTTGGATCAAACGCATGTGCATGTGAGTTTAGAATGCTCCATTAAGAAACGGCAGTTACTGTAACTACTGTATTACCACTTGAATAAGAAAGCTGATTTATGGCTGAACTACATACAACTCAACCATCTGTTCTGTCCTCTAAGATTCAATATTTAATGAAACACACACAATTGCAAAGTGCAAATGTATAAAGCAACCACAGGAGGTCACTAAAGTTTTAAACCAAGCTATTGGGAAACCATGAGCTATTTACAACTTGCAAACTGCTACAGCTGTGACCCAGGAGTGTTCTGGGTACCCTGGCTTCCTCCAACCACCCAAAAACAGTGTGGGTGTGTGTGGTTGTTTGTGTCTGTGTTTCCCCAGCAATGGACTAGCGACCTGGCCACACTTTACCCCACCTGTCAGCTGGGATTAACCCCGGTGGGAATAAGCAGTATAGAAAATGGATGGATTGAATTAAACATCTCCATCCCTGTGCAGAAATATTGTTTTGGCTCTCTCACTTGGCTGTCATAATTATTCAGAGCATTGTGGAAGTTAATTGTTTGATTACCATGTTCTTCCCCGGATGTGTCATCAGACTTGACAGTTAGTCCTTCCACTGCTTGGCTTTTGCTTTCTTTTGTCTCCTTGTCCCTTTCCAGAGCTGCCCTCTCACTTTGCTGGGGACTGTAGAGAGTGAGGGAGGGAGCCCCCGTGGCACCGATGGCTCTGAAGTGCGTGTTGGCCGTCACTGGGATGGAGACTGCTGCAGCAAAGTCCTGCTTCTGGTGGGACGTCAGGAAGGATGGCTGTGGGAGACAGAGAGGTTTCACACACTGGAGTGTGATTCTCTCACCTTCACTCCTTTCTGTGACATCTGTGGTCTAATATTCACTAGTCATATCTTGCTTGCTTGGTCTGTGAAAAACAAGAATGCACTAAATTCTCGTGACCAGGAACTGTAACACCATGAGAGAACAGCTGGTTGCCTGGCGACTACTCATTACATAACTGCGAAGGTTTAGAGTCGATTTTTGGTAGCTTTTGCTCTCACTGCAAAGAATTAAAGAAATAATCTTTTGGTCTCAGCTCGAATTGGAATAAAACGTGTAAAGAGGCACACTGCATAGTATAGTCTTGCATCATGGCCCCTGGAAATCACCTCCCACACTGTGTGCTGCATGGCACATATCTTGCTGCTGCAGCGTTGACAGCTTTCTGTTTCTGACATGTTATGGAAGAGTCGCATAGTGCATAGTATGATATACAACAACCTCATGTGAGGATATGTGTGCAAATACCTGGGCAGCCTGAGGCAGCTCTCCCCAGGTCCACAGCATCTCAGGGTTGGTCTGATTGTTCAGCTCTGAGTCGCTCTTTGGTGTTGACGACCGTGAATCATCCCGACTGCGGGTAAAGTGGTAATTAGGCACTTGGTAAAGATTACGTTTCACTTTCAATACTTAACAGATGTACAGTCAAAGAACAAAAACTTATTATTGTATCCTAATGTATTATAATCTATGTGTAAAAAACAATTTTTTTGGTGCATTCTATGATTTCTATGATTTTGCTGTTGTTTTAGTGTATAATGTAATTCACTGGAAAAAGCATGGAAATGAGGGCAATACCTAACAAGGGAAGAGAACTGAGAGGTCCTCTGGGGACAAGAGATGGACAGACCACATGGTGGAGGTATGGAGAGAGTATCCTTAATCACATTACTACAGACATACAAAAGGTAGAGACAAAAAAGTGGAGATGAGAAGAAAAGAAACAGTGAAATAGAAGTAATCATACAGAAATGCGAGAACAGAAACAGTACAAACTATGAGAAGTATGAATCAGACAATGTTCTGTGTCCAAACAGTACCTCTGCGTCCAGCTGGTGATGGAGTGTGCTTTTGTTGTACATCCCTGATGGCTGTACGCAGGTCTGCTCACAAACACACACATGCAGAAAGATGTCATAAACTCCTTATTTCAGCTTTACTTTACACCTCATGTTAAAATCAGCCTATACACAACAGCTCAGCAGGTACAATACGAAGCATGACATGAGCCAGACACACATTCTTTCATGTCTTTAAGGGATTCAGGAATTTTCCCGACCCACCATGTGGGCAGCCTCCAAATAAAGGCGCCGAACCCCTGCAGTAGAGTCGGCTCTCTGAGCCATTATTCCGAACAGACAGAGAACACTGTGGGAACAGGACAAACCTCTGGAGCGCGTCCAACAAACAGAGATGCTTTGCAAAGGGACTTACAAATAAACTCAGACTTGTCCTAACTCGCAGTCTCTTACTTTAAATCCCCTTAATACTTTTGGAGGTAAGTGTTTTTCCTCATTATCATAATCTAACTGAGGCTACATAAAGCTCTGTGTTATAGTTAGGTGACTTAAGAAGTTGCTCTTTCCTTAAACGCACTGACAAAATAACTACTAATGTGTAACTAATGTGTTACACTGTTATTAAATGGTAATATTCTAAATGTTATCGACAAGAGACTGATGGTGGGACAGCGTTTTCATATCCAAAAATAAAAACCAAAACTCCTAAAAACTTTTCTGCTATGCAATTTTCTGCTATGATTTCAGTGATGTGAATCTCAGGCATAGTGAGGCTGTTGGCTACAAACAATCTAAAATGATCTGACTAATAAAATCAAGATGAATGCTAAAGAACTGGTAGACATGAAAGTCAGTATGAAGTTATTGATATTTCTACTGAAATATTTTTTACACTAAGGCACAATACCTTAAAAATAGCCATATATGCCAGCTAGTACCAACACAGTGTCTTCATTTTTACCTGTTTTCCTTGTTTTCCCTACCTATGAACCATGTGGTGCAAAATGACTCAGAATGATCCTTTTTCATTGAGGTACAACAAACACACACGTCATGCATGAAAACATGAACACACACATTTTCTCCCCTTTAAACAGTCAGAGTTGATGTTTCACTGCCTCTTAAACAACACTGTGCCGGTCTTCCACGGGAACAGTAGCGGTTAACAGGCATGTAACAACCTCCATCTCTCTGCCTCGAACAGAAACAGTTACACACTTTGTCATGCCTGCACACACCTGCTGCCGTCCCCCTCCTTCTCCTCATCTGAGCTCAGGTCAATGGTGAACATGTCCTCGTCCCCTGAAAATTCGTCTGCACTGTCTTCTCTCCTTCCTCCCACTCCGGCCCCTGCTGCCTCTGGCCTTGTCTTTCTCCGTCTCTTCCTTCTCTTTTTAGTTGTCCCAACATCCATGTGTTGGGATCCCAGGTTGTGGATGGGAAGTGAACTGCAAAGGTTGTTGTCTATGTAACAGAGACATCAGCATAAACACAGTTCCAAAGTAACAATCCAGCGGTCAGATTTCTTTTCCTTCACTGATCTGGGCCTACCATGAAGGTGAGAACTCCCCCTGCCCAGCTGGGACTCCATCAACTCCTCCCCCGTCGACCTGATGGGTGATGTTGCAAGGTAGGCCGGAATAACTTCCTGTTGATTAGGCGGAAACAACATGATTGTAGGTCTGTATATGATCCACAGATGCGATTAACTTTTTAATCATCTAAAAGGAGAAAAATCACACTTGATTTCTCTGGCGTGACCTGGCGTGTGTGAACGTTCCAGATTCAGACAGTAAGCAGACACACATAATGATAAGCTGACTAAAATGGAAGCATGTGTGTGGCTGCTCAGCTTCACACAAACTGCAGTGAAGTGAGCTGCGGAGCATTGATTGAGAGTTACAACTTTTTAAGGGGGGTTATATCAGTCCAATGCCATTTTCAAGCAAACTAAGTGTTTTTGAAATATTTAAAATCATTATTCAGTTTTGTGAATATGAAGTATGGGAACCAGAAAAAGTAGTCAATCCCTTTCCATCAGTTACTCATCAAAATGCCAGGATCATAGATCACCTGCCACACCTCAGTCACAAAACAGTCAACTGCCTCTCTGGTAGTTTTGGCAGATCAACAAATCAATAAAAATAGGCTTCACCTTTTAAAATGCAGAAGATAAGAATATCTTGTTTTTGGAAAATAGATAGCTCTGTCTAAGTAGACTGACTGAACATAAATGCAATGTTTTGTGAAAGCACACATGGTGGACGAAGAGATAAGCAGAAGCTCACAATGTCCGGTAAAACGCTTCTTTTCTCCATGTAGTTTTAGATCATCTAAATTTGGGCTTTCGCACAGATTAGTTAAATCACACAGATTTAGCCATCAGAGTTGTAATGCAGTGATGATGGCTGAGGTATGAAAGAGAGACTGAAAGAGGGATTGCAATAAAGAGATGATCCCTGCTTCACAGCACGTGTCACAATGAAGTCCAATTGAGAGGGAAAGGGGTCAGAGCAAGTACGACGTAGACGTGTGAGCACATCTACCACAGCCTGACCCTGACCCTGACCCTGACCCTAAGCCCTAACCCCACCCCTAACCCTCCTGCACACTTTCATCACTAAACAACTTTACAATAGCTTGCTATGTTAACTTCTAATGCTCAAATTGCTGTCCTCTCTGTTTGTGTTATTTCTACTAAGTGAAACTCATTTCTATGCAGAGAAGAAAACATAATGATAAACCGGCTCACATTATTGAGAGGAATAAAGAAGGGCAGCATTTCAGAGCTATAATACTCTTCTAAACGTTGGTCTCACCCTTTTCTTATGAGAAATAGCATTTAGGATAATTACACATCCTTTTATGGAATTACAGTACATGACACATCAAGATCACTTAGTTGTTTTGAGTTAGTTTTCCTCAGGCAAGCAAAGCCAGTATGAAGATAATAAAACTGTTTCAGGAGAAGAAAATTCAGTATAGTATTGTGGCATATACAAGCCCAAACAAATCCTAGAGTTTAACATCACACCCTGAGGCGCAGACACAAAGAGTGTGTTACTTGAGTAAGCACTGGGCTAAAGGGCAGATAGTAATTTAAAAAGCCATTGAGCTTTTCAGATCAACTAAGATAAGACGATAACATCCCTGCAGGATGGAACAAAGACACCAATGCAAGACAAATAACTTTTAAAAAAACAATGTTGAAGTTGGTTAGCATTTAATTCTGTACTCGTTCATCTCAGCAAATCCAGTTCCTTTTCTACATAATACAACTTCTGAGAAGTAGGATTGTATTTTGGTCTTGATCCCCTTTTAGAATATGTACAGTATGCTGCTCAGTCTGTCCTCCAGGCTCGAGTCTCTCTGGACTGGACAAAGTTGAATGACCAGCACATTTCTGGGTGTAGTGTGCGGCACATTCTACTTAGGGTGAACTGGTCAAAGCTATTAATAGGTTTGTGTTGTGGTCTGTGGGTTTTCCACTGTTATTTTACCCTCCGTTAAGGATTGTCTTATATTAACCCAGGGGGATGACATTCTCAAAAGCTGCGAAGGGTATCCTTGATTTACCTCTTTAGAGTTGCTTCTTCTGTTTGATTCAGACATCAATGAATGGAAAATTAGATCTGTAATTCTTCACCTGAGGAATTATGACAAATCTGTGTATTTTGTCTGGGAAACCAGGCGGCTGACAGAAGCTGAGTTTGTTTACCATAGCAATGGGAAAATGTCACCCCTCAAGCCCCTCTTCCAGTTCCCATGAATCCTTACCTATCCCTTTCGGGAATCAGTTTTCAACACAAACAGAAACGTCACCAGTTTAGTCGATGTCCTGTTTTGCTTTCTTCTGTGACAACGAACATAACAGCAGATTAATCTGCTGTCTTTAATTTGTGTGACTCAGGTTCCACATAAATCAAGATGGGCAGATAACTTCTGCTTGAAGTGATTGAGGCTAAACGGCCGCCAGAAGCTGTCATCTGGATGTGTTCCAGCTATGATATCCAAACCTGTCACGGCACAGCCAGCATTCAGCTCACGTTTTCAGCGTCCTTGTCACTTTGTCACAGGTTGGGTGAGTAAATGAGTGTCACAGGATGAGTGATACTGACTTTAATGTGCGGGATAATCCCATCACACTGCTGTGCAACAACAAATAACAAATAAAATGTTGTTGAGTTAAAGAAAAACAACGATCTATTTGGGTACAGTAATGCGATACAGCGTTATAAACACCGTCCTGCATGGGTGTTTGTGGGTAAATTTGTCCGACTGAAAAACGACACGCTATTTCCAGGAAACTAAGGTCATGCCAGTTGACAGGCAATAATACAATGAAAACTCCATCTGAGAGAGTCCTCCCCTGAAACCCGCGTATCCCTGTAAATGTGTCACATTAGAGGATACGTTTTTCTGTCTGGACACATTTCTTCCCATTGTTGTAGCATATTAGAAAATCTTGCCTCAAGTAATATGAATACGTAAAGTTTTAGGTTCAAGTTCATTCAAATGATGCAGACGCTCAGGAAAAAGCAAAAGGTAGTTATCGTCATGCTGTCTGGCACTTGGCAGAAACTCATCTGCCTCCTCAGGGCTTAAACTCTGATGAGCTATGATCTGAATGTGACATTAAACACAAACTTTTAGTTAACGAGAAAGTAATAAAACCAATGCTTGTTACAATAATAAAAACCTTTTACCTTAGGTTATATAACCTCCAGATCTGTGAGTTACTGTATGTATGTTCTGTTCCATATCTGAAGGTGTTTATCAATGTGCAGTCATGACTCTGATGATTATTACTCACTAGTTTATTCTCTGATTCTTTGACGAAGAAGGCCTCCCCATTCTCACCGAGCTTCATGTGCAAACTCACCGGCTCTCCATTAATCTCTATGTCCACCTGCAAGGCAAAAGGAAAGGCCCTTTAATGGGAGCATAAAGGAATTTTACAACTTGCATATTTGGTTTAGAGCTGTGCAGTAATATTTTACTATGCAGAAACCAAAATATTATTATATGTGCAATATCTGGACAAAAATATCTCCCTGGGTTAGTTACACATGAGACATCACCACGATTTGAACCCAGTTCTTGTGCAAAATTACATAAAAGTTAACATGCAAAGCTTTGAAGCTGATTAAACTGCTGCTGCTAGGACGCAGGTTCGCTAAATGTAAAGAGGGAAGCGACAGAGTTGGGCTAGAAAGCGCTTCATGATCTCACCACTTTCTCATTGGATCGCAGCACACCCATCTTTCCGAAGCGGACGTGGAAGGGGGAGCACTGCAGGGTGCCATCGGGCGCCCGGACCACGATAACATCGATACACCCGGACAGCGTGGCGGGGTTGAGTCCTCTGTACAGCTCCTTGACCTGCACAAACACCTGGCCCGCCAGCTGACCCACATAGTTCATGGTCTGCAACTGGTCACAGAAAAAGAGGGACATGTTTGTTTTCATCTTACTGGTGCGTTAGAGAATCTTTATTCACATTTCGTGCCTGTTAGGTCAGATAATGAATTGGGGCAGAACTGTTGTTGTGTCAGATTGAAATTGAGATTGGTCTGTTCCAGAGTTAGCCAAACTCAGACTTCAGCAGATCTGTGTGACAACTGACTTTTTCTCATCATCATCAATCAGACGACTGCCTTCCTCTCTAGTCTGAGTAAGCTAAAGCCTCTGCCTCAAAAACGCCCACGGAGGCAGAAGTCTTAGCTTAACTTGACAGGATAATGGACTGAAGGAGAGCCTTGCTTTTTCAACACACTTCCACCTCAGCCCCTGTTTTTTAAACCATAAGCAGCACATTACAGTTGATTTATTTGGTTGTCTTTTTTCAGTTGTCTTTTTAACCAAATGTACATTTTTCACCAAATGTACTGAAAAAGGGGCGATGATGTGGAGCTGAAAACAAAAGCCAACACCAGCCCCCAGTGAACAAGCCTGTAAGCTCTGTAAGCATGAAGGGATGATTTTGCACCGTGTATTACAGGTTAGAATTAAGCTTGTTAAGGCGCTAGCAGCTATAGGGTAAAGGAAATCTCGAGCTGCTGCTCACTTTCATAACGTCCACCTTTTGGTCTACAGACTTGTTTCAAAGAAATAGCTGGTCCTACTCTTGCAGCCCCCAAAAAAGCGTCCTTATTTAAAATTTGTGTGTGTACCCGGTTGTGGTGTTCCCCTCAACATCAAACAGCCAGAGTGGATAAATCCCCGTGATTACAGCAGAGTCATTTAACGCAGGACTGAATACCAATGAAATCCTTTCCCTATGCACAAAAAAGCATTTCTGAGTGCCAGTGGGTGGTTTAACCCGCATCACAGGGCTTTATTCACTGCCATGTCTTGGCTGCTGCTCTCCCTGAAGTAAGCATTTATAAACATGATACATAATCAACTACAATAATTATATTTTTATATAATGATTATGGCCACGTATAATGGTGAGCAGCCAATAAGCTCATTTTCTGAATCTCAGCTGAGATTTCTCTGTGATAGATTTGGAAGTTCTCTTTGCATGATAAAGGCTCCTGGCAAACTGTCAAAAGTGGTCTTTATTCGACTTGCACTGATGGATAACAAGGTATAATGGATATAACACCCATATTGGACTGAAATTCTAATCAAATTGTATACGGCACAAGAAGGAAAACAAATGCTGAGAAATTACTTAAATATGAGGGACTGAGAGAAGAGCTTTTATTTGGTGTGGATTTTTGCTTTTTTCAAGATATATGGGATTAGTGGGACCTATAAAGTTTAATAACTGGAGTTTGTCATGATACAGGTTTTTTTTTTTTATAGTCTCAGTGGGTTTATCTTTCTATTTAAAATGTTTGTTTATATATTTAATTAAACGTTTTTGCAATTTGGTTCCGAGGGTCCAAATGACTTATTTTAAAAAATCCTTATTCCACAACAAGAACAAGTTTTATTGAAAATGTATAAAACCTTTTTACTTTAGATTAAAACAATAGTGTCTGATACTATGAGGCCAAGAGGTCAAAGTCGAAGCAAAAATGCAATGTCCTAGTATGAGGACGCAGGGTTTCAGGAGGTTAAGGGGCAGGATTACTTTCAACAGACTAAATTTAAAGACACACAAAATGCCAGTTCACAGCTTAACTGTATTAAAAAGTGTCTGGAAAAAAATTCCACCTGCCTCTTGTTTGTGCCCGTTCAGATAGTGCGGGGTGCATGTGCATACACACACACACACACACTTTGCACAATGAACAGATGGCCCATGTTTCAGCAAACTGTGTAAGGACACTCGTCATGACAAGAAACCCTGTTTGGTCATCTTTGCTGCCAGCACACTGACCAGACCACTGCAGCCATTACCACCACTCTGACCAGGCAACATTTTGATACATGTTCAATTACTTTCCATAGGTTCAAAAATAACTCCCAGTGAAATTGTTTACACTGCTTACATGGCTATTGATAGAACTGGAGGAAAAATGTGTTCTTCCTTTTTGGGTAAACATGTTCCTATCTTAGGCATGTCCTCCCCCTTGGGAAATAGAAGTGGGATTGTTTGAGACTGATCACATTATTATTTAAACTCTATAACACCCCCCCTCCCTTCCTTGTCCATTCATTCCCTTTGTTTCAGTGGTAACAACATGAAAATGTGCCCTCTTACATACATACCAGCACCCTGATCTCACAGTCAACATTAGCCACGTGCAAACAGAGGTCTCTCACTCTCACACACAAACAGACACACACAGGCAAAGTCTTGCCCACTGTCCCATGACATTTTTTGTGCAACTGCCAATGCAATGTTTTCCCATTATACACCGTAATAACCAATCAGGGGACAGTTCAGAGTGTCCTCATCTGTCAGTGAAAGGCAATCTGTAAATAAATGAACTATAATTTAAATACAACATGAACAGTAGCCTACTGTGTGTCATTTTAAGCCCCCCATGGGGCAACTTTATGCAAAGTTGACCTGGAAAAAGCCCCACTTTCACCATCACAACAGAAAGGTGTGGTGGCTAAAAGGTCACAGAGAAATGTGTGTGTGTTTGTGTGTGGATAGAGGGTGGGGTTTACAGACGATGAAGATAAGGATTATCCCATTAAATCTAGTAAAAGTGGCTGAAGCAGCAGTTTACTATTCCCGGATTATTGCCTGTCATAACTAAATGGAAATGAAACGGTCAGAAGAACACAGAATCCAAGAATGCACACCACAAGCGACTGATGACTATTGCTCTCTATAAGCAACACAAACAGACCCAAAGACTACTTTGGCTTGACATTAAACTACCTCCTTGGAACCTAAAAGAGCAGACAAGAAGAACGAAATAAACGCGCTATGGGGGCCGCGGGGGGTCTGTGGCTCCTGCGTGGCCTGCGTGGCGCGGTGTAAACATCTGCACAGGGTGAGGCTCTGCAGGCGGCCGTCACTAAAACAGCTGCAGCCGCAGCTGGATGCGCAAAAAAAAAAACCGGTTCGAGGTTCACGCCACGCTGGGTCAAACGCCTTTCCACAACGTGGCCGTGCCGCAGCACACATAACGCAAAGGAACACCGCCGAAGGCTGCTCTCGCTTACGTTATTTACCGACGTCGATCTTCGCTGCGGGACCTTTCGGCCATCCAAATGTTCCGGCCAGTCTCTAAGCGTTTTCCTCACAGCGTTTTCAGCGTCCGTCACTGCCCGCATCAAACATCATTCCGCCTTTCTGACATCTGACCAGCGCTCTGAGCAGAAGGTTGCTTCTTAAAGCGCACTTAAAATATTCCTCCCTCCACTACACAGCGGCCAAAAAGGGACGAATCCCATTGGCTGAGCGAGTCCTGACGTCACACATTGTTTACGGAATAGTCCCTCAAAATCACCTTAAAATCAATGTCAGTGTACATTTGTCTCTTATTGTTCATTTTTTAAAATGTTAACTTATCTCAAAATGAATACTCTTTAAAAAAAAACAACAGGAAATGACAGCTGATAGATACTGACCGAGTAGATGACTCAAAGGTACATCATTTGATAATTTGAAAACGATAAACTCCACCGAATAGGCTTATTTACTTTTATTATTGGTTTATAACAGTAATGAATAAGTATCAGAGTGTTAACTGTAACTTAGAAACCTTTTATTCAAGATTGACTAATTGTGAGCAGCAACAACTGCAGTTTTTTGCGTTTCATATGTTTCAGGAGGCAATCTTGCTGCAAATAAAAGCAGATATCGCTCTGCTTTACTTTATTTGTATTTTTAATCTATAGAGAGTCTTTGTTTTGTGTTGTATTGTCCTGGAACACAGAGATAAAAATACAATCATCACTCATTTGTCTTGTGGAAAGTCTATTTATCTGACTGGTATCTTATTACTCTTATTAGCCTATTTGTTTTTATTGCTGCCATGTGAACTAATTTACTTATGTGTGTGCAAGTAAAATAAAACAGTTTGAGAAGACGTCATTAGAATAAGAAATACTTTATCTGTATGCTACAAAATAAATGGATTTCATCACACCTTCAAACACTTTTTTTCCTAGAAGATCATACGCCACCTGATGTTACTGGCATAACTAAATTGTTTAAGACTGACTTGTATGTTGCAGGCATCACTTAAAGAAACATATCCACATTATTTATATACTTCTAACTCACAATGTTCAAGGATATATCAAGTTACCCAGCGCTTGCTTAATCAAAAAATTCCACATGCTGGACACGCTGTACATTTCTACTTGAGTATGTCAGGGGAAGGGACAACAGGATCACGTTTCTATTCTGAAAAATGCAAATCAAGTATATCCATTTGAGGAGACAAGAATAGAAATGACAGTCGGACAGCTTGAGGTCTGATTGTGTCTGTAGTTAAATCCCTCACCTTCCCACAAACTTGAGACACACCAATGTAAATGTGTGGGTTTCTTTAGCATGACTCTACAGCACAGTGATGCTTTAATAAGACTGCAACGACTAACAGATACTTTAGATAACATACCTTTTGTATAAGTTGTAGAGCATGTTGCTCTGACATAATTTTGTGGGGTTTGGGAAGCTATCTCTTTCTTTTGGAATGTTTTCTGCTTGCATGTTGTTTAAATGAGAATTATTGAATCCAAAAACTGTTAGTTCCTGATTTTTAACTCAGATTATGAGAAGCTTATGTAAGTTGTGTGTGCTATCTGCTGACCCTAGAGTCAACTTTGGACAGAGTTCCCACTTTGAAAGGAACAAACACAACAGTTTGTCTCCCCACAGAGGCTCGCTTGGCTGGGCCGGACGGCATTAGCTATTGCTCAATGTTTTCTAAGAATGAGCTCACACGTGTTGTGCACACATCTAACTGGTCGTGCTTCTGTTTGTTGTAGCTGACTTCCTTAAAAAGCGACAGCAGAATATGCGTATGTTCATGAAATATGAGCACCAACATGTGATCCTGTTAAATGACGCCATGGATCCAACTCTGCTGTCATTACACACGTGCCTTGCACTGACTAACCGCTAACTGTGGACCATGTGACTATTAACTTTGGCCTTTTAGCCGATGGACACACAGACACACACATACACACACACAGACTATCAGTGCCAAGCAGAGGGAAGAGGGAAACATGTGCTGGCTTTTCTGAGTACTGGCCCATTCAGGGGGGTCCAACAAGCAGCCAATTGGAGTGAAAGAGGGAGGGGAGAAGAGAGATGAGGGGAGTATACATTTAGAAGAAGAGGCCCGAGGGAGAATTGACTAGATGTCACAGTTTCTGGATGGCAATGTGTGACAGAGAGAATTTTGTGGAGGTGGGACAGACAAGAACAGCGTGTTTATTTATCGCAGTTGTCTGTGGCTTGGAAAAAGGTTTCTGGCTTATTTACATGGTAAAAAGGGGATGAAAAATAACGTAAAATTCTCTCACAAATAAATAATTACATTTTCTAAGTTTTTGATTATTTTGCTCTTAGTTCATATCAGTCAGGTTTAAAATAGACATTCTTTAAAATTTTATAAAAGCCAAAAAATGCATATAATGTTATACCTTCAACAAAAACAACAACAAAAGTGTTTGCAGCATTTACTTTATCAAATAATGTGAGATTATACCTAAAAATATGATACATTCTAGAGGGTTCTCAAACTTTTAAGCACCAATGTGTATGATTAACGTACAAAATAGAGTTGTATTGATTTGAGATATTTGATATGTTTTCCATGCTTTGGCTCTGGGAGCCTGAAGTGAGACACGTGAGAGGGGAGGAAACAGGATGGTTGGCTCAAACGGGGGATGGCTGATCTGAATCAGGCACTCCTACAGGGGTCAACAATGGCTTCATTTCATCACCACAGAGGCCTTGGGTGTCTGTTTGGGGGATGGGCTGCATCAGCCAATCACAGAGCTGCTCCAGACACACACTACAGCTGAGCTACTCAGTCCCTCCAGACACACTCTGTGGTTTTAGAAAATCTGATTTGTTTGGTTCATGACAGTCAACAAAAAGAGCAACAACAGAAGCTTGGGGAACAAATGTGATTTCTAGGTTTAAGAGCTGCAGGGATATCATGTTCTTTATCAGCCCTACACTTTTTTTACACGTTTTCTCCTACTTTTTCCAAATAAGATTTTAACATGCACTGTCAGAGGAATAACCAAGTAATGCAGCTAGTGAAACGCTTTGAAGCAGTCACTTAATCTCCTTTGTTTTATGCTATGATGTGGCGCTACATAAATAAGACTGAACAGACATTAAATTCAAATAATTGTGAAAGCTATTGCACAATGGTTCAAAAACCTTTGTCAAGTTGAGATCACAAGTAAATGTTTAACGTTTCACATTGGGTCAAATGAACAAATCTCATTAAATATTAACTCTGGCCAGAAATAATGTTAAATAAGAAAAAATAAAAACCCTCTGAGCTCAGAAAGCCATCCTTATGTTGCCAGCAGGGTGTTGTTATGTAAGGCCTCTCTGCTGTGGTGTAATAGGCCTTTATTTGTACCTGAGTGAGCTAGGGGTCACGCACGGAGATATCAGGCGCGTTTCAACTGTGTGGATAGACAAGGGTTCATGAAGTCTCTGTGTGTGTCTGTCTGTGCACACAGACACAGACCAGCCATAACATCATGACAACTGAGAGGGAGAAGTGAGAACTTTTTAATCTGATGCGATGTTCTCAGGGAAAAAAAACAATCTGACACATACCTAAATGTTTCTGCAGTCCCCCCCCCTTCAGATACCTATCTGATGGCATCTGATAGAAAGTCCAATGTCCAATCCAACAGGACCCTACACCCAGCCCACAGGGCCAGCAGGATCCGTTGCTAAGGTCCCGTTACAGTACAGTCAAGGAGTGAGTTTCAGATTGTGGTTTTCTCTGTGGCCCCTGACAGACTGCCGACCTTTCCAGGGTGTACCCCGCCTCCTGCCAAGTAGCAGGTGGGATAAGTTCCAGCACCCCTGCTACTTGGCATTAGGAAGAAGCTGTATGGACAATGGATGGATGGATGTAGTGATGCCTTTATCTGTGTTAGTAGAAGTTTGCGCTGTAGTTCCAAAACTGGCTCAAGAAGTACATTTTGATGCATTTCCAAAGGTTTTTTTTTAACCACTTAATGTACAAATTCATAGTATTTGAGTCAGCACAAGAAACTAAAACAACATGCTGTATTTGATCATTTTAGTTACCCAGGACCAGCTGTCAAGAGGGCTGTCATCCTCACTGTGGCTGCTGAAGTCTTCCTCCTCCATTTGGGGCTCCATTTTTGGACCAGTTACAGCACTAACGGCTGTTTAGCCAGTTTAACAGAATATGGTCCGAATAAAGACGTTTGTAAAAAACTTAACTAAAAAAATGAAAAACATCTTGAAAATATAACTACGGGCTAGTAAAGAGGGTTTGACCACATCTCAATCAGCATCTTAAAAAAAGGTTTATTATCTCAAATTAATTCGAGCTCTTCAAGATGCTGTAAAAGCTCCTCTGGAAGATGCATGTTGTAGTCTTAGAGTCTTAAATCTGTTTTGAGGGAGCAGTTAGTGGGACATGGCAAGTGTTTTAGACTAAATTTATCAACATGTGTCTTCTTGGAATGGACTTCTGGGAGGAAATCTGAGAAGGTCCAGAGCTGCTGGACACTCCCTGTATCTCAGGTGCAGCTCTGACACCACAAATCTATAAGCTACACGATTAAGCCTTTTTTCTCATTTTAGAATATAGACAGCTATGTTTTTATTTGGTCTGTGCGAGTTTTCTTTCTGGTGAAGCAGCTGATGTGCCAGAAGCAAAAATAAAATGCTGAGTTAAATTTACACAAGCCCTGTGATGAGCGTGCATCACACATAAACACCTCGGCGCTTCCATGTGAGGACAGAGGGAGTAACTGAGAGCAGCAACGTGCCTGTTGTCGAAGGCTCAGAGCTAACGCGGACACTGAGTGACATTCAATTAGGCGCTGAACTTTTAGACAGCCTGACGGTTATTTCAGTTTCACATTCAAACACAAACACACAATGGATTCCAAATGTCTTTACATTTATACACTGAGAGCCATTTAAAACTGTACATAGTAAAAGACTGGCAGGAAACAGTGGGGTTATATGGAGCACTATTAAGAAATCATGTAGGACCAACAACTCAATGATTCTTTTTTATACAATTTGAGAGTAAGTACTTCTTTAAATGTTACAAATCTGGAAAAATATCATTCAAATCTGGTCTTCTGTAAAAAATAAAAAAAAAACATACTAAACTGACGCTATAAAAATTGCCTAAAATTGGCGTACATTGCACACAAATGATTGTGTTTTCTCTTTTTTTAAAAGCTTCTGGCATTGCATGCACACACCAAGAAGTCTGAGGACTCTGCAATAGGAATTCTAAAAAACAACTAAGCTTGTAAACACATAGGAGGAAATCCAAAGACAGTATATTAAAACATACTGTTCTTGATAACAATGATTTCTTAGCTTTTTTGGCATTCAGAAAAATAAAATTCCATTATTTTAGGAGCATTACATGGAGCAGTACATATTTTCATTACATGTAAACATATCTTCTTTCACTTTTCACCTTCAGATCCTATTTTAGGTAGTAATCAATATTCTATACTCTATCCACCTGTATATTGGTGATCTGTAACGCCATAAAACGATTAAAAACGAGTGCATTGCTCCTCTGCGGCGCGAAAAGAAATTTCAGTCCTCATTTTTGAGGACCTTTCAGTCAGATGTGTTTTCCGGTCAGGAAGAAAAGCGGTCGGTCTTCTTTGGCATTTGCAGTCTGAAATTCATCACTAAGTCTGAACCTCCATTGTTCCTCGAGCTCCAGCCTGCCCACTGTCTGCCTCAGTGAGCTGCGATCTGCACTGATGACGCACAGGGTTGCACCTACAGGAAGGCAGACAGGAAAGAGGGAGAGAGACCGATACTTAAATAATTTACACATGTAGGTCCAAAGGAGGTTGAACCATGAATGCAAATTAATACAAAGTCGTGACTCAGTGGTCAAAAAGTCTGTGCGCCTTGTACATTTTTCCATCTCAGTGTGACTATTTGAAATAAGGTTGTGTTATGTTATTGTTTTTTCTACTTAATTTCCAAAAATTTCACATGCATACCATTTAGTGACAGAAGTCAAGTATTTACTGCCTCAGAAAAACATCAAATCAATCTCTGTCTGGCTAGAGGTAATTAAGGTGTGTCCCCTAAAAGCACTTAATCTTCTTCAAAACAGGCACAAATTCCCTCAAAGCAACCCTATAAACTTATTTATCTGTTCAATTGTTTTTTTCAAAACAAAAAAAATCCACATGTTTCAATCAAATGTGGAATTGACAGAAATGGCTGATAGTCTAAAACATTCTAAAGCTTGTAAAAACTTGGACAGAAATGACATGCACCATAACAATATTGGTGATGCTGCAGCTATTTCCACAATTCTTAACTAATCAGTCATCATATGGCCACATGACATTTGCTTAAGTGTCACATAAACACTCTTTAGCATGTTAAGACTTATTATCCTTACTATGGGTCGAGCATTCTGTGCTGTATTTGATCGACTGCTGTACCTTTAAGGAAGGTGAACTTTTTGAGGAACGCGGACGTCACAAAGGCATCAGCAAAACAGAGAAGGAGGCCACTGAACAGCAATCCTGTGGTGCTGATGTTGACAGAATGAGGTCTGGAACTCACAAAACACACCGTCACCTGTGAGGGGGCAAGTAGAACGCTGAAACGTAGGTGCACATGAACCCACACTCATGTTCAAAAGTTGATTATCCGCCACAAAGAGAGAGAGATTTTTTTGACGGGCAGATGAGTCGGTACCTCCGGTCCCAGGTTGAGGTAACAGTCCACGGACAGAACTGGGTGTGTGTAGTTCTTTGTGCTGAGTGGAAACAGTTTCTGGCTGGTGTGCTGGAGGTATTTTTCCAGGAGGAGTTGAGCAGGTGTGGCCAAAAAGAGGTGCTTGCTGTCTGGGGCACAGATGTATTGTGAGGGCCCCACTGAGGTGGGAACATCTGTCATCTGGAGATATGAAGGGTTTGGGGAAATCTTAGCGGTAAATATCAATCACAGATTACTTTTTTTTCAAAAGCAGCTTCTGTGCTATCTTGACAAGCCCCTACCTTGGTCTTGATAATAAAGGTTCTGTATCCTCCTATGGCGATCTGCTTCTTCATGACGCTAAAGCTGTTGAACCTGCAGACCAGCAGGCCGGCACTGTGAAGCCTCAGTGTAAAATCTACATCATGACAGGTGAAGCGGTTCTGGTCGTACTGGACATTCTGACTCCGGTCCACATTGAGGAGGAGGAAGTCATGAAGGTGACCTCTGGAGAAGGGCTCCCACTGTTTATTACCTGATTCAGGAGAAAGAAAGAAAAAATCAGTACAATAACACATTAGAGATGTTTGTTGAACTTCTGCTAATTACATGGTGATCATACCAAATAATATAATACTTATTCTTTACAATAGCTGCAGAGTTTATCGTGTTAATATTCTGCTCTACACTTACGAAAAGTTACAAGATCTGAGATACACTCTGGCTCAAAACAAAACAAAATCTAAAAGCTAAATATTAAAGGTAAAAGGAGAAAAACAGAAAGAAATTAAAGCTAAAATCCAGATAATAGTTTAGAAACTGCCATGTTTTATGGATACAATGTCAGTATTTTCTAATCTTAAAAATGTTCCCTGTGATGTTGCGCTCCTCACCCGTGACTCCTCGGCTGCTCCACTTCCTGATGCCACATAGACCATATTGGGCTAAATCTGGACACGCCTCCATGTGCTGTAGGACCTGCTTGAGTGACACAGATTGCTCCACAGGACCACTAATAACAGAAATTGAAGATGGCTTTGTTAAACTCCGATTGTAAACAGAACGTCTGTATTCTTTTCAGATATGAAACAGCTGTATCATCCCTTACCTTCGTCCATCGAGGTCCACTGCGTTCCACATAACACAGGAGTCATCAGCTAGAATGATGAAGGGCCACACATCACCTGCTGGGCCTCCAACCTCCAAACGCCGGCTGCGCTCCAGCTCCAAGTTGTGATATGAAAGTTCTTTAATCAGGAAGTGAGCTGCACCTGCAAAGATATTAAGAGATGGTGATTAAGGTCAAGGACAACAAAGATGGTGAAAATAGTCAGAACTTGGGGGGTCAGTTTACTATGCAAGAATACCTCTTTCTGTCTTAGTAACATACCTATTCCAGCACCATTGAAGAAAGTGGGTAGCACCAGCATGATGTGGTTGGGCCAGTACTTCTTGTAGACAGCCATCTCATACTCTTTAACCACCAGGATGTGTAGATGTGAGGCTCCATCCATAGCATGGTACAGATTAAACAGTCCGTGCTCGTGACGACCAGTGGTCGGGGTGAAGATTGGACTCTTGATGGAATCTGGGCTCTGTAAAATCAGAAAGAAGGTGAGAAAAAGGGCAGGAAAATATTGTAAGTGAAAGCATTCAAAAGTGAAAGCTTTTTATTATTTTTCAAACCTTTGTAAATAATGTTGATAAACCAGATAAGCTGGTACTAACATGTGGCTAATGTGAGTAAAGAGGAATAATCTACTCCATCAGTTTATGACACTGACTGAGAATTCCTGAAATATTTGAAATACGAGCTATGCTTTTACTTATTGCACCACCTAGTGGAGACACCAGGCAGTTGCGGAATCTCTATGTGGGAAACTGTGAAAATCATGACTGAAAGGCACCCGTGATGTATCTGTTTTTTTTTCAAGCACACGGCCAACTGAAATTCAAGAAAAACAAAAATTTCTGTCTTTAAATCACCAACAACGTTACTTTTTCTTTTAGGACTGAAATTATTTAAGCCTCATCAAATAATCTGTTGGGACCAAAAAAACTGCATGATTGTTTTCTTTCTGAGGTACAAAACCTCAACTTTCTCTGATAATTTTTGTATTTAATGGTAGACCTACAGATGGTGTGAGATAAAATGGGACTGTTAAGCCAGCCAGACTAAAATCAGTGTTAAATGGTGGTGCTGATGTAAGGAAATGTAAGATTGTTTTGGAGCAGGAATACACTCCGGATGATTTAAAGGACATACCCATTCAGACGCGAGAGGGAGCCGCATGCTCTCCAGCTGGCCGCCCGGCTGGCTGAAGCTGAAGTAGTGCTCCTTAGATTTTGGGATGATGAAATAGAGCTGGATGTCTTCTCCAAGAAGCAGATGGGTGAATGTGAAGGCATGCAGCGTTGACTCATAAATCTGAATTATGATTGGAGATGGCTCACATTTACATTTCAGAAGATGACTGAGCGTTGTTTCTCACAGGGATGATTTGTGTGTATTTACTACACTGACCTGGTATCTGGGGTTGAAACCCAAGTACTGATGACACTGCTCACAGTGATGATAGGTGTTGTACGCTGCATACTTAGACAACTTAATCCTTGATGTCCGCCTGCAGAGGTACACATCTTCCTGTCGCACAGGATTTCCTTGAAGACACAACAGAGGAAACATCAGATCAGATTACATCTAAATCATTTTTAAAGGAAGACTTGATTTGCTCTGAGAAGGAACAATATGTCCTGGTAGTAGACTTGTGGCTTTGTTTTATTATGCTGTGTCTGTTTTCTCAATGTGCTTACCCTCAACAGTTGGTTTAAATCCAGGGCAGTACACAGTGCTGATGTCATCATACTTGGAATCATGGATGATGTAGTCAAAGGGAATGGCATTCATAGTATCTGTGGTGGGCCAGGGAGCATTAGGTAGGTGGTACTGCAGCCCTTCTGCCTGGACATCTGAACATACAACACATTTAAGTGCAAACATTTAGTATTACGGGGAGTTTACAGTAATAAGAATACTGAAGTTTATGAGAACACATCAGGACACATCCTGACAAAAAATGGTGATGCAATCACATGATCTTTGGAACAGCCATCAACAACGAAAGTTTTGAAAAATCATGTGAATAGTACTTTTGCAAAAAAGCCCCATAATCATTGTGAAGTAGCTAGAAAGTGGATTGGGCTACAAATATACTAACTGCAGTTGATGTCTTCCTCATCGTAGATGTCAACCTCCATAAGCCTGATCAGCATACGAGACAAGATCCCCAGAAAGTGCAAATATGCTCCTGTTTTACCCACCTGAAACAAAAGCGGAGGATACGACAAAGCTGAATTCATCATAAGAAAATAAAGTTCTGAAAACTTGAGTGTTCCAGATTGAATGTTCTTGAGTGTTAAGTCGTTGACTTAAAAGACAAGACAAGCTTTTCTAAACAGCAGGGACACAACATAAAAGACTTTCAAGCAACTGGTTGGTTTGAATGAACTATTTTAATTCTGTGCTGCCAGAATTCAGCAAGATTAGTATATTTGCAACATTCATTAAAAAAATAATTCAAATCAAACTGGTTTGTGCAAGCTAAAAATGATACAACTGTTCTACATGCACACAGAATTCTAAAGCTAGTTTTAGCTCATTTTAAAGTCCAGAGAGAGCATCTCACAGATGAAAAAAAAGACATAATGACAGAACCTGTGGGGGTCCACTGAGCAGGAGCCTGCGTGGGTGAAAGTTGTCACTTCGCCCTTCAGTGCGATTGCTGCTGTCCATGTGGTAGGATCGAGGCACTGTCCACTGACGGTAATAGAGTGACTGCTCTGTGCATGTCATCATTTTACTCAGCAAAGGCCTGCGTGCAAAAGGCATGTCTCATGTTAGCCTTTCTAACCAAACTTTTGATCTCAACAATTAAAAAAAGCAATCACAGAAACATTATTGTACCTGAAGCTGCTTGCCCATGCAACGGAAATGTGTGGCAAGAAGGAGGAGAATCGTGGAAGTCCGCTGCTGTCACTGGCTGTGATTATGTCATAGAGAGCACGAGGAAGGAGCACAGAAGGGGGGCGGCTCACTCCTCGCACCCACGAGCAACTCAGATGAGGAGAGGAGGCTCTTGGAGTTGAGGAGCCTGATGATGTGGATTTGGAGGGAATTTGTGGCTGGAGAAGAGGCTGCTGCTGGGTGGAAGTTTGAGTACAAGGTTGAGAATTAGGCTGGAATGACGGCTGATGGTGAGTCTGAAGCTGCGAAGTAGACTGGGCCTGTGGTTGACTTTGCACTTGAGGTTGATAAAGCGATGCTGTTCGTGCATACAGATATGGCTGAGCTGAGGTCTGGGGCTGAAGTTTAGTCTGTGATTTTGAGGGGGACTGTATTTTGTCCAAGGTTCCTTTCTGGACATTTGGAGATATGACACTTTGACTTGAGAGGGGGTCTACAGCTTTCCTGTCTGGGCATGGTGGAGGTGGCTGGCTTGAAGGCAGAGGAGAGTCTCCTGGAAATGACAAGAAACAGAAAAACGTTTCTTTATTTTATTTGAGTGAATTAGCTCAGATCTAATTAGCAGCTTATTCCAAGTCTCATCTCACGGTTATCTTGTCCCTCCTCCTCTTCGTTGTCGGTGCTGCTGAGTTTTTCAGCATCGCTTTCAATCACGTCGCTTCCTGGTCCAGGATTAAGAGGTGGTCGTGACTCTGCCTTCACAAGATAAGCAGCCAGTCCCAGCTCCTGCTCCAGTGTGGTGCGGTGCAGATAGGAGCAGCTTATCACGCGAAGGTCACAATACTTCAATGACCTGTGTTAAAAATCCAAATGACATTTTACTTCAGCTTCCTCAGAAGAAACAAAATGTTTAATAAAGAAGTAAACATTTCAGTTAAGTTTGAAAATTGTGGTCAGAACTCGTGTGCACCTGGGCAGCGATTCCCCGAGTGGCTCAGCTCCCGACAGGATAAGGATGCAGGGAAGTGCCTCAAGCTCTAAGTAAGTATGAGGAACCCAGTCAGCATCCTGGATCTTCAGCCAGGTCTGCAGAACACAAATACCCACATGAGGAAGGAAGCTACATGAACCATAAAGTTACAGATGCAACCCCAGGTATGGGCCCACACCAAAACCCCAAACCATGTTAAAATAAGAAGGGACACCAAACCTTTATCTGATCAGTGAAACCTGGTCCAATTGTCAGAGTTTGACTGGGATTCCCCAGTATGATCTCAAACTTCTCCTCCAGACCCAGTTGCTTCCTGACTGTGGACAGCCTTCTGTGGGCCCATGCTGCCAGGGCCGAAGAGGGAATCCGCAGGAGGACCATGTGACCATGGTGGGCGGGACACTGCTGAGCAGCTGTGAGCAGGGATTGTACAATTTCCATGGTCTCCACAGACGTGTGTTTGTGGAGATTGTGTGAGCTGCTAATTCTACCAGATACAGCCATCAGAGCTACACAGTAGTGTTGGATCAAGACTATAGTTCGGATGACAGCACTGTGCAGCTTTGGAAACCTGTAATTGAGTAAAAGGAAGATTTCCTGATGTATTTTTGTATAATGTGCATGCTTTTTTCAGATTTAAATGCTGAAGTGACTGAGGATACTGTATTCAGACACGGTACCTTTCTTCCAGGGTAGTTGCCATGCTTTCAAAGGAGGAATCATAACGCATCAGAGGGAGGCTGCCTCCTGAGCGCGTAGACTCTAAAAGCTCGGACACACCAAAATATCGTGTCCTCTCATGATAGAGGTCTACATCCTGCAAACACATGCATCCATGATCAGATATGACTCCCCAGACAAAGAAGTATTTCTAAATTACACCAGGAAAAGGAACTGTGATAATCACGGCAAAGTTTTGACATACATTACTGAATGCAGAAGGCCAGTGTATCTCGTTATAGGGGCTGATACGAGTGCATTGTGTCTGGAGAGCAAACGGGAACGAGGTGACATGGAGGATCAGAATGTTGGTAGCCTCCTTCACCTGTCGAGAGTTTAATAGCTGATCCACCAAACCCAAACCGCTGTCTGAGCGGCTGCAGGAGGAGCTGAGTTAGAGAAGGACAGACAGAGACTGAGTAAACACAACGGCTGTTTATGTTGCACCAGATAAATAAAGGTGAACTCTTTAGCCGTTCATATTTCAGTAAATTTAGCACTAACTTGCAAATGTCCCAGTGGGCGTGGTCATGAACCAAGATGTAGAGAGTGTAGGTGTTTTTGTGTGCTTCCTGAAGGAGGTTGTCAATTCGAGCTTTGGCACTCTGGTCGAACTTGACCACATAACGCTCAGCGTCTTGTTGAGATAGACACTCATCCTCTAAACTACCCAGCTCTCGAAGAACACCTGAGATACACAAAGCATCACCGTGGTGCAGGTTAACACTATAACATCAGAGCATTCAAACACACTCCTTTGTTCCTGACTGTTACAACACAGTAACAACAAATCATTCATACATTTAGTGAAAAATGATTCAGGTCACTAACCAGAGCTCCACAGATGGAGGACAGTCTGCTGATAGGCCACTTCGGAGGGCGGGACAAGGATGAGGAAGCTGATCCGGTCGAAGGAGCCAAGGTCTAGGTTCTGTGTACTGGAGTCTGCGATAGCACAAACGTGGGACAGCAGCTTTCTTGCCACAGCTAGCTGGATGGGACGGACCTCATGCCATTCAGCAGAATATTCTACAAACATAAGTAACATTGAGATTAAAAAAAGAAAGAGGACTATGTGAAAGTTGAGTCTGGCTCTGAACTCACCTGAACAACTGTCTTTGGGACTTGAAGCTGCCTGTTTAGGACTGGGTACATCTTTTGAACCTTGCATCTGTGAATCATTTGGACTCTGTTTGTCTTTGGGGGTTAGAGTATTTTTTAAACTCTGCTCATCAGCAGATCCCTGGCTGCTGGATAAGGGAGATGATTCGTTTGTGTCGAAACTGGCACTGTCCAGAAGGGAATCCACATCACCATCTGAGAAACATTAAGGCACTCCACATGTCAGTGAATCATTGCTAAAACCACAACAACGATGTGCCACCTTAACATGACAAACACAGTCAGACTCACCTGGTCCGAGGCAACTGCAGTGGTGAATCAGTTCCTGGGCGACACCTGTGGAGAGCTGGTGGTTTATTTCTTTCAGTCCTTCACTTGGAGAGAACATGCTCTCTGCCAAGGCTCGACACTGGTGTTTACCTGCAATAATGAATACAAATCCATTTTAATACCAGTACCTCCCTAGGACAACTTCATCACAGCTTCACTTTTCAAATGAAAATAAAGATCTCACCGGTAACCACAACGCAGGATTGTGTTTCCTGGCCCTGAGAGGTCACAATAATGACCACGTAGTTGGTGTTTTTAAGCCGCCCTTCCATCAGCCTACTGAATGTTTTCTGGAGGCCCTGAGCCAAAGATCTGACTTCTTCCCCCAACACTATGACCCCTTCTCCACAGGAGGATGCAGCTAGCTGAGCGAGCCAAGGAAGTTGGCTGGGGGTCAGGGGTTGTTGGCTCTGCGGAGGTAAAGAGAGATGCTGGGGGAGCCCAGGCAAAGTAGAGGAGGTCTGGGGACAATAAAAGGTAATAATTTGATCATATTTTCGGTTAGGCTCTTATCATCTGCGTGAAGTTAAACATGAATTGATTGATTAATGTGTAATGTTGCAACATGTTGCATGGGAAACAACTTATTCTAAGGCATATTTTTTTCTCATCATGTCTGACCTCTACGCCATAGTGCCTCCCTTGGGTTCCTGGTGTTTGTGCCTGTTGGAACTGTCTGATCTCACTCAGGTGAGACTCTCTCCAAGATCGCATGAAAATCTGTTCAAGGTCTTCAATCAGAGGAACCTGCTCAACCCCTGGAATAAAATAGCATGTGGTGAGGGTGCTATTCTTTTTAATTTACTCAAAAGGCTTTACATTCATCTTTACCTATTTATTTATTTATTCAACTTTAGACGTATCGATTTTCCATATTCTGCCATGTCAAGTTGGGAGACAGCTTTTTAGTAGAAATTACTTAGATCTATGTTAAAGCCACCACATTCTATAGGGTTACATGATTTTGGAGGAGTCTTTTCGGCTGACCTAGCTGAACGAGGTAGTAAACCGTGAGCAGAATCTGCATCTCTGTGGAGAGTGGCTGAATGGGTGATGGTCCATAGTGTTGGTACACTCTGGGTAAGGTTTGCGAGCTCAGATAACAACTCTGGAGCAGAGAACTGACGAGCACTTCCCTCACATTCCCCGTCAGTTGAGGAAGAGTGCCGTGACCTGTGTAAATGAAAGGCAATAAGGAAATAAGTAAGAAAGTTTGGTGGTACTCAGACAAATTGACAGCCGACACAAAGGAATTGAAAAGCTAAAAAAAATCCCACAAGTGTAGTCTGACCTCTGACCTATGTAAAAATGGGTCTGAAACTGCCATCTGTTGAGTTGTGAGAAATGTCGGACCTCACAGAAGGGTCTAAATTTGGACTATTGGTCACATGTAAAGCCTTGTAAAATCTGAATTCCCTTATGGGCTATGCACGCGTCTGTTTCTGATAACAATCAATATCATTGTTTTCACCTTTGAATATAACAGGTTGCAGTCTGCAATGGTTTAGCAATTGATCTGGCACCGTCACAGACAGCTCTGGGGCAGAGAGCGGAGTGGAGGACCCCTGTGATGTACTTTGCAGGGATGCAGTCTCTAGTTACAAAAAACAAACAAGCAGAGAAAGACATCTATGTTCATTACACAAGGAATCAAGGAAGCACAAATATCATGGTGGTGTATTTAAAATGATCACGGATGTACCTCTACAAAGCATTTCTTTTCCCTTGTTTGTACCTGATCTGGCTCCACTGGTGATGACAGAGGACGATGGTGGTGACTTTACAGTGCTTTCCGGCACGTTAGTGGCAGAAGTTTCAGGCGACCAGCCTTTGTGCCGCTTTTTAGGGGGGCCGGCATTTGGATGTGGTCCTGCAGGATTAAAACAATTACAAAACCTATTGTAGATTGACTTCACTGTCTATTGTTTTGTGCTTTATTTTTGTCTCATCGTTTTGTTCAGCTCGCATTAAGTCAAAGTAAAGTGTCTTTTCAGACACTTTTATAATGATAATGATTTCCTGAGAAGCCAATGAGTAGCATTTCTCATTCCAATACATCAGAATTAACATGTGCCAAAAGAGTTTTAAGAAGTGAAACCGTGGACACAGTGATGCAAAGAGCTGTATTTTAGTCATGCAGCTATTTGTCTTTCCCTCTCAAGTATCTGCTAAAATGAAGCAATGCAGACACATAAAGAATCCACTTGTTAACGAGGGCAATGCAAAAACAACATTAACAGGAAGGAAGCTTTTCATTCAGAGAAAAAGCAGGAAAAAAAGATGAGACACACAGGATTTTTACAACCTTGGTTTATAGAGGAGACAGACAGAAGGAGAGGGAGGGAGAGGGACACACATAGACAGAAGAGAAAAGAGGAATAGAAGTTAAGTGCCCCACGTGTTGGTAAATGAAAGCCGGGAAAACAAAGAACAACCCCAACAGACAAAGTAACTGGCTGGCTACTTATAACGCCTACACTCACACAGACACGCACATACACACACTTTGAGCTGCTGGTGGCGGGAGCCTTTCCAAACAGAGGTGTGAAGACATCAAAGGGTGGAGTTTAATGACAAGAGACAAAAATCGATCTCGGGGGTTAGTTAGTTAGTTAAAAGCATCTTTTGTAATTCATTAAATCAGTAATCAAATTTCATTCCAAACATAAACCAGATTTCTTAACAGAAGAGGTGAACTCCACTTCCAACTTTAATACAAAGTTTAAACAGATAAATTGATGTTAGTGGAGTTTTGTGTCTTTTCCGAGAGATGTACAGGCTTCCTCTCCACTTTTTAACCTATACAAAGTAATGGAGCTATGCAGCTAAATAAGTCTTTGAGAATAAGATTAAATAAAGGACCACAGTCACCCGTGGGCAGAGTTAGTACCTGTGGCAGAAGGTCTCCCAGGCCCCGACTGTTTCAAAAGTGGCTGAGCTGTTGAGGAGGCAGCATGGTTTCCGTTTATCAGCGTGTTGGGAACATCAAATGCTGCATGTGACCCTGCCATTTACACATAGAAAAGACAAAAATGAATAATTACCATAAACAATGTGGACCCTTGTGACAGTTATTTGTAATTAACATTCAGCAAATGTATTAACAGTTTCTCTCCAACACTGCTGGAAGTGTTAATGGACAATAATGCTACTCAGAACTCTTAAAGGTAGGTAGGTAAGGTCTTAAAGGCTTGTGTTAGGGTCGGCATTGAGACATTTTTTAGGTTTAACACTAGAGGAACACAAGGGTTAACCTCCTGAGACCCTGTGTCCTCATAAGAGGACGTTGCATTTTTGTCTCTCTTTACCATGATACTTCTTTTTTTCTTTCAGCTTTGACCTCTTGGCCTCATAGCAGATGCTATCAGACACTGTTTGAAATCTAAAGTAAAATGGTTTTATACATTTCCATCCAATCATGTTCTTATTGTGTAATAGAAAAAATGTAAATAAGTCAATGAGACTGTCAGAACAAAATTGTAAAAACATTTAATTAAATATGTATCTCATATATCTTTAAAAAAAAAGCTAAAATGCATGCCAAATAAAAGTTCGGGTCTCAGGAGGTTAATACTTGAGGAAGGTTAAGACAATTTAACTTTTCTGACCAACTGTGTGCTTCTATAACCTGTGTGGATAGAGGGGACATGTGATGAGTGAGTCAAAGTCAGATTAGGTGGCTGTTCATCTGATGCAAGGTGGCCTTCTGGGAGACTGGACCTTATCTGTCTCATCCTACCATCTGAAACACAACAAAAGTGTAAATCATGAAGACAGGAAGAGTTTTTTTACATTCCTAGAATTATTTTGCATGTTTGTGTGCATGGACCTCTGTGTCTTACCATTTCCCCTCCAGCAGATGGGAGCCCCTTTGACCAGGATGCCTTGGTTGTTTCTGTACAGATAATACTTCAAGTGCTTCTGTTTCTTGGGCTGGGTGCTGAGCTTCAGGTTAATGTGGTTGGAAAACTCAGTGAAATAGCGGAAACCTTTCTCTCCGCATCCCATACAGTTTCCTGAGAAGCCTGGAAGAACAGATTGTTGGTGACCTACAATTCTGTGCACCCTATAACTAATTGTTTAGTATTACAATTGGATTGAGTTGTAAAAAAATGTCTTCTGTCTCACCAAGCAGGGCATTGAGACCCCGTTCATCTGGGAGGAAGCGACGGTCCACGGCACAAACTAGTAGGTTGTCAGGGAGCGAAGGGGACTTTACCCCAACTAGCATGAACCCTGGTGGAACATCCAAGGGATCTGATGCAAGACAGGACAAACGCAAGTCCTTACCGGCCTGACAAAAGCCTGTAAGGGAGACACCATCACAGAATATAAGACAACAGCTTCCTAAATAGAATTATTTTTAAATCATCTAATGGAAGACCTTTAAAAGGTCTATTTTCAGATGTTTTCTGATCAGATGTGCGTATGTATGTATGTCCACGTGCCATCTGTAGTGCAGCAGCCCTCAGGGGGTGACTTCATCTGGTAAGGTATTGGTGGGCTGTTAGACTCTGAGCCATCATCATCATCTTCATCATCGTTCTCTGTTCGACCTGTTGGAGATAATACAATATCCAGTGTTAAGGGTGAAAAACAATACAGGTAGATTTCTGTTCAAGTCAAAGCAAGGTAATTACATTTGTATAGGGCTAATCACACATGTCGATTCAAGGTGCTTTACAAGAATATGTGAAAGGAACATTAAAGGCAATGCTGAAAGGATGACATCACATGTAACTCACCATCCTGCACCAGTGACTGCTCCGTCTCAAGATATAGCTGTGAGAAAACAGGCCGCGGCACAATGGTGTTCGACCTCAGTGATGCCTCGATGGAGTTATGGAGGACCTCCTCGAAGCGTGTGTTCCGCAGCTGGCCTGCGTAAGAGTTCCCCATTTGGTGTCCTGCACAACAAAGTCGCCACAAATAGAACATCCATAAAATGTTGTGTCTGTCTGAATTTTTGCATTAAATATTGATTAAGCGGTCTTTCATCCATCCATCCGTTTTCCGCCGTGTGGTCTTTCCATCATCCACTGTTAGCCCGCTATCAGTCTGCACTCTTCAATCCAGTTGTTTCAAAGGAAGCAACAAACACATTGACTGTTGTGATTTCTACGAAAAAGGAGGACGACTCTTAAGAACTCTGGTGGTATATAATAATAAAAAGATATTAAGAAAAGAAATATAATACAAATATTTTAAAAACTCAGAAGCACACTTACCCAGACATAAGCACACACACACACACACACACACACACACAAACACGCGCACACACAGATCCCAACAGGCCCACAGACTGTGCTTACTGGGAGATGGCTTATACCCAAACAATGTAATTTAAAATCAGCTGCACTGACAGTGTCAGGGCACCCTGACCTAGACACAACTCCCTCCCTGTTTTTCTACTCTCTGTGCATCACTGTTTCTCTCCCTCATTCACATCTAGCCCTGCTTAACAGATCAGGTTTTAGATTTTTTTTAAATACGTCAAAATACAAAGTAATACAGAGTTAAACAAAAGCTGCAACACTGTCATAGAGAAAGACAGACAAATGTGTTATTGAGGATACAAACTGGTTCAGAGAGGATGGAATCCTACAACGTGGATGGATTGTGAACACCAACTTAATGCTCCTTTCAGTAAACCTTTGACTGCCCACATGGGGACTGACTGGTCAGTGAGCAACGCGATGAACCAGCTGAAGAAAAGCACATGCAGCTTAGCTAAAACATATTTAGTCATCTTTTTAAATATGAAAGTATATTGATTTATGTCTTCCTCTGACCTAGCGGCAGTAAAAGCGTTTACACTTGTTATTTACCACAGAAGGTGGACAAATTAGAAAAAAAGCTATCAACAGCCTGGCTCACCATCCTTTAGCAAACACAATCTGACCAGAAACCAATAAAGCATTGGAAATCCTTACTTGGAGTCTTTTAACAACAAGACTGGATCTTATCAGTTGTGCTACACCAAGGTTATGCCCCACATCAAGCTGTGCATTGAATGCTATCAGGTCTCTCCTTTAATGTTATGTAAAAGGGTTATCTTTAAATCAGACAAACCACATTAAAAAGCGTATTTGTCATTTTGAATAGAAAGGGAACTACAGTTACTGCTGTGCAAGTGATTGATGGGACTCATTTCCAGTTTTACTAAAACCAAAACGCAGTCAAACAACAACACAGCCCGCCGTAGCAATGGGTCGGACTCCGCTTTACGTTCTCTTGACAAACTCCAGCTGTAGATGAAAACACACCTTTCCAGCCACCTTCCCCACTCCACACTTTCATATGTAAAAAAGGAGTGCAGACTTTAGGGCCTTGCACCTTGTAGAGAGACACAAAGCCATGTCATAACACAGCCAGCACTGAGAGGAAGCAATCACACCTTCCACCAAAGAGAGATCTTTTTTACAACCAGAGCCAGAGGAGACAGGGAGGGAAACAAAAAGAGAATAGATGGAAAAAGTGTATTCCACTTTTAATGGGATCCAAGCCCCTTGATCAACCACATACCAAAGACGTCCAGTGACTTGTGTTGCCACTAGAGAAAAATAGAACTTCAACAAAGACAGTCATGTGTCACAGGAGATACAACTATATGATGTCAAATCAACAGAGCTCACAACACACACACACACACACATTCAAAACTGGACCCATCTCTTTCTCTAAACTCTTGGTGCACATTTGCTGTGTGATAGATTCTGCATACATCTGCAAAGAAAGCATTCCTGACTAAACCCAAAAGGCCTCCAACACACACAAAAGGAAGATGGGCAGAAATGGCAGAAATAAGCCGTAAGTAAAACTTTTGAGGGCTTTGTTGATCTTTTCTCCTCCCAAACACCACCCCCCTTTCCTCTCCTTGACATGGAAGTGGGAGATCCTTTCATCCCCCTACTTCTTCTCTTCTTCTCTTTTCTAGCTCTCTTTCACCCTAGGGAGAGAGACACCATTGTGGTGTTTTATGACCTCTTGAACCCCTTTCCCACCACCCGCAAACACACACACACACACAGACTAATCTACACATTCAAATCTTATTCTCTTCTAACAGCTATTTCAAAAGGATGTAAAGCAACTGACATACGCTGACATTTCGGAATTGACATGTTAAATGTATAAAACTGGATGTAGCTCTAAGTAACAAAGAGAGATCTCTGAGTTGAATATAACAGATGTTAAAGTAAAACTAAATCACTGTATTCCCTGGTATTTAACAAAAGATTAATCTCCACACAAAGGTATGGCCACTGGAATTCCTTTTAGTACTTTAGGACTCGACTTCACACTAACATATGTTCACATGCATAAAATCTCTGTTTTTATGGAATGGATGAATTAGTTTGAGGGATATCTCATGACTGCAAGGTCAAAGGTGAGTCCAGATAACAATGTTTAAGTAGGACTTTGATGTGACCTCTGCTTCTCAGGCACAGTCTCACATACACACACACACACACATATACACGAGCACCCACACACGGTCTCCAATGGTCTCAGCTCTGCGGACACAAAAGGCTTGTCTTGAGAAGGGAAGAAGGTCAAAGGTCAGCCTGGGAGAGGTCAGATAAGAACCCCTGGCTTTTTCCTCTGTTGGCCAGCCCCACATACCAGTCACAGACAAAACCATGCAGCATCCCTGCTATCCTCTTCCTTTATGCTCAGTCTGGCACGCGCTCCCGCCACTTAAACATATACTCACGCGTGCAACCATAATTGACCATTAAATGTGACCAGGAGGTTATCAGCAGTAACAGCTGAAATGAAGAAATCTTCAAACTGTTTACCTGATAACTTTTAGGTTAGGTACGCAGAGCAGTTCACGTTAATCAAGGTCAATGAATAACACATTTTCAAACGTTATGGACTTAATGACTGTCTGTGCACTTTTGCTAGTTTGTGCTTGTGTGTCTGCGCGTGTGTTAGAGATAAGATAATGAGGTGAAAGAATGTGGAGCAGTGGCAGCTGGTCAGTGCAGCATCTGTTTTAGCCCCAAAAAGCAGACTTTACAAAGAAAAACTAGCACTTTTGCCGTGGCTATATGACCAGGACCTCAGATGGGAGCCCCACCAACCGGTGACCCACAGCAAATGCTTTCATTCACAGTTTACTCAACAGACACTGGGATCGATGGCCAACCAGTAAACGGGTGAGGCACCCTTTCAGCTAGCCATTCAACTAGACATCTACTCACTCATCCCCTCAGTTTACCATTACCCCCACACACACACAGACAGAATTCTAATAACTCTTACTTATCTTATGAGCACCATCTTTTTAAAGTTCAAGTTACAGTTAATTTTATAATTCAAGCTTTTTGTTTGTGGTCTGTTTATAACATAGCAAACACTTTTAGCTGTAGTGAGACAATGCCAGCAACACTGTACCTCCACAGGCCACTGTGCCTGAACAAAATATATTTCCACCTCAATGAAGGCTCAGTGTCTCCCACTGCCATTACTCCACTATCTCAAAGAATGTCCTTGAGCAATTTTTAGCCTTCTTCTCTCCTCAGCCTGCATTACTCTACAGACACTTGTATAGTCTACAGGCATAAAAAATCTGGCTTAATGTTAACCGTCATTCCAGCTGTCTTGAAAAACATCACAGGAACACGATTAATAGCACAGTCATCTTAATGACTTCCATTCAACTTTGAGAGATTTAAAATGAATGAAGTGTAGCTGAGTTCAGATGGGACACATCAATGCAAATCAAATTTGTGTTAATGGGATCAATACGGCATACAGACACAGGGGACATTTCCCCATCGCTCTTTGAATCTTTTTGGTTTAAACTAGCTGCTGCAAGATAAATAAATAACTATTAAATGACAGAAGAAAGTTAATAACTTTTATTACTAAGAACATGAAGACTGATTATAACTGTTTATATGTTATTTACATTTGCATAAAAAGTCTAACCCAACTGTCAACCTGTTTAAAAGAAAAGAAAAGATTTAAAGAAAAAGAAAAGAAAGAACCAAATAAAGAAATAACGATGACAAAAGTTTAGAGAGGTTTCACTGAAAAACTGTAAAAATCTTAACTTATATTTATACTGACACATGGCAGACGTGCAGCAAAGGCCGAGCATAACTCAGAACTTGCTGACAAGTTACCTGAATTTTTCTCGACTGAACAGTCATCCCTGTGGAGACATTTTGTATTCAGCTGAGTTCAGTGTCCATCCTCAGTCTCCACGTTACAACGACAACTGTTTTTACAGGGTTATGACACTAATGGAAAGCCAGAACAAAGTTCGGAAATAAATAAATACCAAGCACTTAACGGCAAAGCAGCCTTTCTAAACTTAGAGGCACCGCTCTTTTGGCCATTTCCCCTTTCGGACATCGCTCGCAGTGATTATTTCCTTTGTGTTAGCAGCATCAGCAACAGCTGGGCTGGCAGGGTGAGGGTCACTTTTCCATCAATAAGGAGTCAGGGCAGGTAACGCGTTCCTGCGCAGCAAAACAGTCAATGGCCGCTGCTGGAGGGACTTACCTCTGCAACCGTAAAAAAGCCGAACAACTTCTTTTCAGGAACAGCTCGCAGGCGTGTTGTCACCATATCACCGGCAGCCGGACTGGGCAGTGTGTCGCGCGTGTCATCACCTCTGATCCTCCGCGAGGTTCCTCCCCCCTTTCAGCGCTATAATGGTACAGTCCGAGCCAGCCACTTGGTTTGACTATCTGTATATATATTTTTTATTTACTTTTTTTTTTTAGTTAAACCCCCCAAAACAAAACAACAACCATAAAAAAACGTCTTTATTACTAGATTTTCGTTATAAGAAAATGTAACAGCGTAACCTCCGAAAAAATAAAACAAGGCCTAAATAAGTTGGCAATTTTAGCAGTGAGTAAAAGACTGTTTTTTGTTTTGGTTTTTGAAGGATGATGTCGTTCTTTGCTATGTAGCCTATAAAATTCGGGCGTTAGAGGTGTACGATATTTTGATTACATAATTGTCTTTTTTTGTTGTTGCATTAATTAAGTTTAAAAGCTCCCTCATCAATTTGAATGACTCGACAGATTCACTGACAAATAAAATAACGATTTAGAATGATGTCTGAAAACAAGTGCAATATACTGAATTCAAATTTCTTTATATAAAACATGACAACACTACAACGTAAGAAAATACGCGTTTTGTAATATGTGGGACTTTCTTTTGAAAGATACACATGTTTTATGGCAAAAGGAGAATACACTGTCCCAGGGTGTTTAATCTTTAAGTAAATGTATTCTATGTATTCTGATTTCTATTTAACAGCTATATCTCCAACCAGTGTCGCTCACATTCATGTTCTAAATTAAATAAAATATGTATCCATTAATAACATGAAACATAAGATTTCAATGTTAGAAAACATGACTTTACTCGCAGTCAAAATTCAAATGAATATCACTAAATTGTTTAAACGTATCCATTTCAACTGACGAGAATACCACATTAAAAACACACACAGGTCAGTTATAGGATTTTTTCGCCCTCTACTGGACACTAACCGGATTGACAATAGGTGAAGAAGCGGATATCCGTCTTGCCTCACCCCAAGATTTACACATCTTTATTCCTGATAAAATTCAAACAATGAGGTTACCACGCCTTGATTGTAATGTATAAAACCTTTGACGCTTTGTATAGAATATAAATCAGGAACAAAATGGAATGATTTGTAACAGTTAATAAAGTGTAACAAAAATATTCAATAATAAAATGGATAAAGAGATAAAGTTTTGATAGCTATAGAATGTTTTGTTAAATTTAAGTTTTGGAGTTGTGAGGATGAAGTCACTTTTAAAATTTTTTTACCATTAATGATAAGTCTGAACTGACGTTTTTGCTAAATAAATTTAGTTAAAGTCTCGTTGCTTTTACCCTTACAACTGTTGCAGAACTAAGCTGCATAATTGCTTGTGAGGACAAGAATTAGAGCACATATTACATCAGTTTGAATATTTCCGAATTGGCTTTACTGTGTCTTCAGCTTGATTTCAAAATTGTTTTCTGGTTTTGAAGGCTGTAATGGTCCAAATCCAAAATATCAATCTCTTTTTCTTTGGGTTTATGAACCTCTTCAATCTCAGGTTTTAAGACGCTGGTATTTAATCAATTCCTTAAATTCAAACCATATGGATAAGACTGACTAAATTACCAAGGTCTGTAGGTCTGGAACAGACTTCCTGGGGCCCTGAAGCAGCTGGGAGTTCTGTGACAGTTTTTAAAAATATTCTTGATGATTTATTACTAATAATTAACTAATTATTAATGTAATGCACTTTGTATACCCTCTGTGCGAAAAGTGTAACACGAAAAAGATTGTTCAGAAAAGTGGTATAGTCTTCCATTGTCTTCCATAAAAAATTAAAATATTAAAAAAGTATTTGTTGGAAGTTTTACTGGCAAGACATTTGTGTATGCTCATTCACACCTTTAGGGAAATATAAATAAGAAAGCATCTCTACAGTGTGTTTTAATTAACTTTTACCAAGACAATTATTGTTCTGACAGTGAATAAAATGCACCATGATTAATACATACAATCACTCATTCTTGAAGTGAATCTAAAGCTAAAATTGAGTTTAAGAATTTGGCATTACCCAACCTATAAAGCCTTTATTTTCCAACATTTTTATGTTGGAGTTGTCCATAGAAAATGTTGTTTTTTTTTACAAAAACAACAAATAATCTTGTATATTTCAGTTGTCAAATGTTTTGTTCTCTTTTCAACTGTTCCTTTCAGTTACCTTAAATTCAGTTGATTTTTTTGTTTTCTGGCATTTTAAATGTTGTCCATACTTTTTAAAGAAGTTATTTGTCTTTAAATGGCTAATCTCACACAACAAAAGACCTCTGCCATGTGAAACTGTCCTTTGTTCTCAAGAGCATGGGTAGAATTATGAATATGTGACAATAGTACATCACACCTGGATGAGAGCCCCCAACTCCACAGCAGCGCAAATTTCTCATTCAACACCTCCCCCCTCTCAGAGGCAATCTGTCATGCTGATGGGACAAAGAGACTCCCCTCTGTCCTCCCTGTGTAAAATGTCCCTGTGGCTACAGCAGACCAACAGAGAACAGAAGAGTTTGTCAGGAGGGTTGTGTTCCTCATGTCATGGTGGTAGAACCATATGGATGACAACTACTTTTATTTTCCCTTTAAATCACTGCAGACTGACACATGTGTGATAAATAACAATGAACAATGCTATTTACTGCATCTTCTTTTTTAATATTTTTGAAATGCACCATTTGGCTAAGGAATTCCATAGTAATGTAGAAAAGTCAATTCACAATATTAACAGTTTATCAAACACGATCAGTTGCTTCTACACTTGCAGTAAATATTATGTAAATTTACATTAGACAATGTACATGGACTGGGTTTTTTGGCCGATGCAGACTTTGGGAGTGATAATATTTTCTTTTATTTATGTGAGTTACAGGTATTTACAAAAGTTTTACAAAACAATTAAATTGTACATATTTATAGATGTTTAATGATGATTTAAAAACTGACACACATAGTTTTATATATATTCTACTATCAAATACCAAATACTAGCAAATGTAAATTTCTATAAATGAATGATATGACTTAATTTGAATCAATTGCTTATCAATATGACCAATATGAAATAGATTTGAATCAGTTATAGTCGGTCAAGATTTTCTTTGTCATCTCTCCTAGTTAGGGCTTAAAATTTGTCACCGGAAATTCCATACTTCATCCTTTTCTCTGCCTCAACTGGGCAGTACCAATCTGTACAGTGGCACAACCATGCCATGCCAACACAACATCCCCTGATGGGAGAACAGGTGTTGGACAGGGTCCAGTGGAGCAGAGCGGAGTGGGCTGCTAAGATATATCAGATGAACCGGCCAGCACTGACTCCTCTGGCCCGGGGGAGGGGGATCCGGCCATTTATTAAGGGTGTTTTTGTAGAATGTGTGTGTGTGTGTGTGTGCAAAATCTGTGAGGACGGCAGCAGTACAATGATGAACTCCCACAAAAGTGATTGTAACCCAAACACTCAATAGGGAGCCAGGCTAATCTGGGAAATCCCTCAGCAAAACCTACATATGTTTGCTTGAAGCATCAGAAGAGACAACGGAAACAGGACAAAACATCTGACTTTTATAACAGGATATGTGAAATAAGAAAATACAAACTTATTTTGTGAAAACTTCTTTGGAATTTTTACGATACGAGAATCAATCAACCCTTTATATCAAAGACATTGTAAGATAATATAAAATAAAAAACAGAGGCAAATGTTTTTCCACTTATTTGGCTATGAAATGAGTCCTCATCAATTATATCTGTTTTCTGACTCAGACCTAAAGAAATTGGTTTATGTTTTTTATAGTGTAGTTTCGACAGCCTCTTTACTGCTAATTTTACCGCCAAAATAACACTAGATATGATGATTTGCTAAGTCGCCATGGAGCCATATTGGTCTAGGCAAGGCTTGTAGTTCCTGTTAATGGGTTGAAAATAATATTTTATGTCCCGTTGCTATAGCCACGGTGCTTAACTTGAGGTGTAAAAATAGTCCGGCCCATTCATTTTTAGTATAAAAACTTCCGTTCGCTTCAAGACACAGACAGAGGTGTATGTAAAGCATGTCTGTTTGAATATGCCCGGGCAGAGAGAAAAGGTATTGCTACCTTACACATAATGATGGCCCAGGTCGTTTGGCTGAGAATAATGGTGGTTTTGCTGTAAAGCATATCACTCTCATTAGGTTTTTACACACTGGTTGTGCCTAACTGGTGATGCGCTTGTCTGCATACACACATGCAGACTCACACAAACTTGCATGCTTGCACCCATACAGTGCGCCCGCACACACATACCCATCTCCATCTCCAAAGTCATTAAAACCCTTTGAAAAGAGGCCTCATTTGAGGGAAGCAATAAAATTTTTAATCATTTTATTACCAAAAGAGTATTTAACAAGTGGGTAATGAAACGCCAAAGGCAGGTTAGCTGAGTTTAACCTTCATAGAGGAAGCCATGTATCACATGCTGCCCCCAGGCATGGTGGGACAGAAATGTCATCCTCCATTATCCACCATACCTGAAGTGTGGCGTTGTGCGGCTGGCAGGCAGGCGTCTCGCTCTGCAAGGCGAGGCTGACGGGAAATTAGGGGGAATTCAATTAATGGACGTTTTTTACGCACCAGGGAGAGGGCACCGCCGCACACACACGTTACCGTATGATACACACTCTTTGCAACAAATGAACACATACATACCTTTAATGTGTGTATCGTCACACTTTGATGGGCAGTTGCTGGGACAGGAGAAAAACATCTCTCCCTCGTGAGCAGTCGTTGTCTTGCCTTTAAGTTTTTCTTCTCAACTTTGCCCTTCCTCATTCTGCCGGTAGCAAGTCAGTTCTTTGGAACCCAGCGTTCTTTAAATCTTTTTCCATGATTTGACAGTACGGCTGGCTGCTCTGCTGCTTTCCCTCACTGGGTCAATTAAGATGAAAAGGAGGCAGAGGGGGACACTCCAACCTGCTTGCCAGTTGCTCATATTAAACACCTTTAAATTACGCTACAAAGTAAAGACAAGTGCATCTGTGTTTGAGTGGGAGAGGGCACAAAATGAAGAAAAAAGGGAAAAAAGTGCATCATACCGGAGAAATTTTAAAAAAGTGGATTTCGAGAAAAGCAATCATGAAGTTCTTCAGGGAGGCAAAACACACCCCCAACCTGTAGTGGTATCAAATACTGGTTCATACATTACATCTTGCAATTTCTTTGACACACTACAATAATTTATGGCTGATAACAAAAAAAGTCTTGCTTTTCAACATAACAAGCCTCTGTGGTACTCTGAGGGACTGGCCCCCAAAGTTAATTGAAAAGTGTCCTGGCTCTCATTTGCATAAGAATCACATTTAAAGGTGAAAAATTATAAATAAATATACAGCCACCTGTGAAATATGGCTTTTGGCCTGCTGGTCATTTATAACTTTGCCTTTAATTACGCGACAGGCTGGGTTTCTGCAGCTGTAATGAGAGGCTGGAGTGATGAAGAGGAGTGTGTCAGAGATAGAGGGCTATAGGTCATTTTGTGTGAGTGAAGGAAAACATACATGCAGACATTCGCGAATGGACAGACTTACACACATATAGAACAACACTGTGTGAGCACACACATAGCTGTACATGGGTCTACACACCAATAGGAGAACAGACATCCACATGGTCAAACATCAACATATTCTTAAGTTCTTAAAGTTACTTGTGAATTTATTTTCTTTTAAAAGACAGCCAGGTATTTGTGTAGATTCAGCCTGCTCTGGATCAGTTAGACCTGTGGAGAAAAAAATGATAAAATTAATTGAAAAAGTCTTGAGTTTTACCATCAAAGAGACTGTTCGATTTGCTCTGTAAGTCTTGAGAAAGTTGTGTTCTTCTTCTTAGATATTTTTGATGGAACTTACATGTGTCTTATGAAGTTAATTTAAAATAGAATCAAATGCAAGTTGCAGGGCCTTTATATTTTTGGGTAGTTTTTATAATTGAATATAATATTTCTCATAAGGTAACACAAAGCATCTGTTACAGCTGTTACACATAAGTTGTATTTGTTCCAATTTCAGACAAACAAACTCTATTGCTTGCCAGTTTAAGTAGTACGCGCACTGTCAACGATAAAATTCAAACTAAGATGTTCCAGAGCTTCAGACAGATATACTAAAAACCACACAGTGGCGGATGTGCAAAGCTTGGCACTTCTGTCTCTACGTCTCCTCTCTCCCTCCGTCTATCCCACCCCCTTCTCTTTTATGCATAAAGGAAAACAGCTTGCATTGCCCTGCAGGTAATACCAGAGCACTGTGCCGCCTCGCACCGCTTTCACTTTCACCTTCACTCCTTGTCCCAGGTCACTTCCCGGCAGAGTTTGCTGCGCAGCAGTGGTGCTTGCTGGGGTGGTCTCTTTCTCTGCCTTTAACCCCCCTCCACCCTCCCATTTCCACCCCCAACCTTTTTAAAACTCTTTCTCCATCTCTGTGGAGAAAGGAAGGGAAGGGAGGGAGGCAGGAAAGTGGGGAGGGAGGCTATAAGCATGCCCCAACCCAACCCAGTAAGTCCTATTATAAGCAGAAGAAGGCCATATTTCACCATTTCACCCTCCAGAAATATTACAAGATAGACAAGCAAGCAGGGGCTAATCCCTGGGATGAAATTAGCAGTGGAGGGGTTAGCGGGATGGAGGGATGATAGAAAGGGTGGTAGGGGGGTTGGGGTGGGTAGCTGAGCCCAGCTAGAGGCAACTGGTCCAAAGGGATAATTACAAGATGCTCCTGGGGTCTGTCTGTGTGTCTGTCGGCTGGGCTGGACTGGCCTTCATTTTTGATGGCTCTATTTTCAACAAGAGGGACTCGTTCTCTCCCTTACAATATGTGTGTGCAAATGTGTGTGTTGCCCTTTCTCTGCGTGTCTCCAGTGCTTTAGATACATAGTAAAAGCTATTAAAATTGAAATTGTTCTAGGGGCGGCGAGCGAATGAGGGAAAGAGGCGACACACTCAACCCCCAAGACAGACTGTTTAATAATGGCTGTACTGTACTATGTGTGTGTGGCTATGTGTGTGAGGTCAGCCTATGACCAAGCCGACAGGCCTTGTGTAAATTTGAGTCAAGCAAAACTTGCGCTAGTGCCTAAAATACAGATTTTGACACAGTTATTTCTCCTTTTTTTAATTTTCCATGAAACAAAGGAATAACATAAACATAAAAATAAAGGACACTGGATTTAAAACATATGCCGCTGATATTTTTGGATAGTTCCATTAGTCAGTCTAAGGCTGGAGTATGTGTACTATTTCTTAACTTTTCAATCATTTTAATACAACCAAAGATAAGAAAAGAAACAATAAAATTATTACTTTGATTTCCCTAGGCAAGCAATGGAAGTGAACGAGTTTCCCTCCCTCAATCTTTGGTCAGTGGAGGGAGGTGGGCAGAAAGCTTTGACCAGCACACTGATCCTTCTCTAGGGAAACAATGACTTTGAAACTGCTGGAACACACATGCACAGAGCCACAAAAACAAAAAGAAGAATGGAATGGGCCGACTCATTCATCACTTTAACAAATATAAAAGGCCACTGTATGAGCTCACACCACAGCAGACACAAGTTAAAGCACTTACACCGAGGCCAACAGCTGCCTGCATCTGTGTAGTAGGCCCATCCTCAAACACTTGCAGACACATGCATACATGCATGCATAATAGTTGTTCCGATTCTCACTATTATCTAACCAGGATTAAATGTCATTCTGATCAAAGATCTCTTTTGCATAAGCATACCAGCAATGACAAAAACATCAGCACAGTCTAAAAACACAAAATGTGAGGACATCAGAATAGCTTACTAAAGTGACTTGATATAAAAATGTGAATAAAACTGATAGGAGAATGGTCCAAAAATCACACAACCACAAGATTGATATCATGTGCAATATGCATATCAAATCCAATCTTTCCATCCTAAAGTATCTGCCTATTTGTCAAAGAAAGCCAGTCAGCTAATTTCCTAATGTTTAAAAAAATTAGAATTTTGAATCATCAATTTTCATTTCATCCAAAGTCAGCAGCACAGTTATTTTCCCTTTTTCAGTTCCTTACTGGTTCTTGGAACAGTCAATGAGAATAAATTCTCATATACAACAACAGCATGCATCTAAAAAAAGTAAGTGTAGCTACTGAATGAGAACTTCCTGCAAATGTTTGTTTTAGTAAATACATTTAATAGACTGATCCAGCATCCACTCACGTACCTAACAGCAACACAACAACTGCAATGCGCTCATTGCTCAGTCAGTTCAGAGGCCGATTCAATGGGAAACTGCCTTCTGTAGAATTAATAGGATTGTTTGGTGAAAGTTGCCAATTTTAAGTGATCCTTTGCAAATTATTATATCCCATGTGACATCAAGAAAATCAGCCACGTACTGCACCTGAAAACTATCTGTCCTCTGTGGGAAAGAGGAAAATGGGGTACAGAGTCTTGAGCAGGAGCTGATGCATTCCTTACGGGTCCTGTAGATGGCGCTCTAAACCAGGAAATGCTGCCGAACTGCAGGCATGCGGACCCGAGTGCAGAAAAACGGTGGACGTGTGTGGGTCAGTGGATGTGTGTGTGTGTGTGTGTGTGAGAGAGAGTGCGTTTGAGAGGCAGAAATAGAAAAATAGAACAAGAAAGATGGAAAGTGTGTGCGTGTGTTAGAAAAAGAGCAGCGGGAGAGGTGTACAGTACCTGATGTTACAGAATAGTCTAATGACCGTCCTTCTTTGTCTTTGAGCTGGCAGACAGAGTCATCCAGCACATTCAGCACCAGAATAGCCACAGAACACCCGCGCATAAAGTGAAGTTATAAACAAAAAAGAACACACTAGATCATCGAGAATGAGGGGGCCAGCCTTACAATTTCCTTCTGATGAATGCAACCTCTCACATAATTCACAGACTCACACAAATACTTTGACTGGAAGCTCTTGTGGGTTCACTTATTGTTTGCAAGCGCCTAAACTCCTATTAAGTAAATTGAAAATGTTCGATATGTAGAGTTATTATAGAATTATTCCCGCTAAATAAGCCTGCATAACCAAGTTTTATTTAAAAAATGTAAATGTGTGCAAACACTTCAATAGATGATTACTTTTCCATTCAAAGTTAATTTAATTTAATGCATTTTCTAAACATAATATTAGTTATTTTACAGAAGTTGGAATAATATAAAAATGCATCAAGATATTGTTTCCTTCATTTAGTATTTATGTTGTAATTAGAGTGTGGATCTAATGGTAATATAAGAGAACTTTGACAGAAATGAGTGTGATGAAGAAATTTAGGGTTTGTATTTTTTCTTCTTTCTGTTAATGGTATTTAAATATGTCCAGTGTCAGGATTGTTGGTTGCGACAGTACCATCCAGCTGTGTCACGTTCTGTTTAATTGTAATTATCCTGTAATTAGAGAAGATAAAAGGCATCCGCAATGCGCTTGATGAAATGACTCATTGCTTTTGTTATGCTGAGACATGAAGAGTATGTTGTGTTGTATCAATAAATGTTTAATTTTACACCGTCACAGTCCTCTTCACAAAAAAATGAATGAGCCTTTCAATGATTTTATTGGTGCCGTCACGATGTTTTCTCTTTTGTTTGTTTTCAGCATTCTGAAGGAAGGTGTTTGGGGGTGAAATCTGTTTGTGTTGTTTTAGTGGCAATGACAATAATCTCTTTAGGTTTCAATTTAAAAATAGAAGTGCAGACGTGACCAAGTAACACGCAGCTAAAGAGAATTTAAAAGAAAGGCAATGTTAAAAGAGGGTTTATATAAGTCCGAACAGATTATTGC